TGGGGCCACATCCTATGACGCAATACTTAAAATAAGAGCACATTTTAAATTTGATTGATGTATTCTTTTTTACCACGACTCGTGGAGTCCCGAGTCCTCCCAGGTTTGGAGTAGTCATTAAGTGTCTGTTATCATTTTGAAATCTCTTTTACCATCTCATAATTATAATGCATGGTCTATATTCCATATTTTATCATGGTAGTGTGAGTTTGTGGTTGTGAGACCAAGTATGCGCATTGCAATTAACTGAATCCAATGACTACCTATCAGGTCGGAGAATTGCAACCATTTTGCAATTTCTCGACCGTGACCACGTGACTGAGTTTAAATTTGGGACTGTTGAACTGTTGCAAACATCATCTTGCCCATTGTCATTATTTGTGCTGATGAACACCATGCTGAATAAATGTAGTAATTTCCCAATTATTCTGATTATTGAGAAAAAAAGAAATATAAGTGGAATAACTCTTTAGACGTTTTCATGATTAGAAAAATTGGTACCTGCCTCACCCATGCCACGCCTGCGTTGCTATAGGAACCATTTTTCAAGACTTAACATTGTTGTAGGAGGTTGATACTTCAGGATATAACACTTTAATTGCAGAATACGCAAAATTTAAAATGAAATGAAGAATATTCTAGAAAGTTAAAGCAAAAATTTCAAGACTTTTTGGACAACTCTCGTATTTTCGTATAACTATCAGATAGATAAGGGTAATATGAAAATCGATCAATTAGAACTGATGAATATTCATGTTTAAGGGAACTTTCTAATATCTGCCATGTTATCTGACCCGAATTAGCCACCTGGTGGTGAAACTGTTAACTACCTACTGGCATCTGGGTTATTGCAATAGGACATTTTAAAAGTACCGCGTGTGTTCTCATAGTTTTTGGTATCTTTTATAATCCCATAGCACATCTCTAGCACAGAAGTTCCTTGACAAAAGTTCGGATCATCCATCCAGTACGCTCAACCTGGAAGCCATTGAAACGCTACCCTGTCAACAGTATACTTTGCATAAACTTACTTGAGAGGTTTTCCCTTAATCTATTTTATGGTAACAGGTAGTAAGATAAACATATTGACAAATAAGTTTTATTCATTCAGGTAGAATTCATTAGAACTCCAACATTAACTTGAATGATGTTCAAAGAACGGAATGTATAATTTCATTACCAATCTTACAGTCAACAAATCATCAAGCCATTCGTAATGACCATCCGTCAATCTCATGATTTCAACAATTTGTGTATCGTCTGTGTGGTATGGCAGCGATAAATACTTAGTTGCAACTCAGGGTGGCCAATTTGTAGTAAATCAGCTCATCTGTAGATTATTCCAGAGCAACGTCAGAGAACATAGATTAGTAGCCTCCAAGATGCAATTGGGTTTTATGTCTCAATTCTGTTCCAATACCCCCATTGGGATAATTCAGCGTTTGTATAGACCTCTGAACATATAAGATCATAAGTAAGAGAACGACACTCAAAATCCATGTCACGAACTTATTTATATACGTGCATGGATTCAGTACTACACGTATTCAGACCCGGGAGCATTTCTTACATAATTTGAATAATATGAATGTTATTGTTACCTTAGTAATCTATGAATTCAAATAAAAGAAGTAAATGAGGCTCACGAGAAACAAAGTATGAAAATTAACCTCTCGTTCCGATCGAAAATCTAGGACAAAGGTGGTTGAAGAAAGATGAGCCCAGTTTATCTGGGACGGGGCCTGTTGAAAGATGAACCATGATTTTATCAAGGATAAAGCCTGTTGAAGGAAGATGAACCATGAGTTTATCTGAAAAAGCCTGTTGATGAAAAATGAACCATGAGTTTATCTGTAAAATCCTGTTGATGAAATATGAACCATGAGTTTATCTGAAAAATCCTGTTGATGAAATATGAACCATGAGTTTATCTGAAAAAGCCTGTTGAAGAAAGATGAACTATGAGTTTATCTGGGACAACGCTTGAATGAGTTCATCTGAGACAAAGCCTTTTGAAGGAAGATTAACCATGAGTTGTTTTGTCAAGGTGTTTCTATTGATAATAAATTCCCTTTGGTTGGCCAATTGGAATTTCATTGTATCTTCCAATTTATTTTCTTAAAAGTGTGGGCAATTTAAAGGAAATGCTCAGAAATAGGTCATTTTATGTATCTACTTAATTCCTAACACTAAGACATGCATAAGCACTTATTTAGCTAAAGTAGCTTTAATCATAATATTTATTCTTTTTTACTCAAGGTCATCTTTTCCCCTGTTCAGTTTTGTCATTTGTGACCTGTATTTCTCGTGGACTATTGAAATATGTTTGCATGGAACGTTGACTTTTGAAAGAACACGTAGAAACTTTTATTGAAGCATTTATATGTCGGAAAACTGAAATAGGAAAAACATCGAGTTTAATTGACTGAATAATTAACGAAAGTCGTTTTAACCTGTTTGCGATATCCACGGATGTAATACACCTTAGTTGATTAAAAGGCACTTTCCGAGAGGAAGAATGTTCTAATTTCCTAAAGAACTACTGATTATTTACTCTGTGTTATCAACAACCTTATTAAGAGGTTAAGCTATACATTTTTAAAGGAACTATAATGTAAACGTGAACGTAATTATGATCCCCAGTGATTACTCTTCACCTCTCCAGGAACCTCTATTTTCATGGTACAGAAAACCCGTCTTTCTCGAGTGAAGACCTGTCTCTAGTGGACAACCATCCTCCACACATACTCTGCTGACTTCTGTATAAATTACCTTCTCTGTAGTGAACACCTACCAACACTGAACCTTTTTCTCGGCAAAAAATGTTCAATATACACAGGTTTTGCTGTACCTCTACAGGTTGTACAAATCCCTAGATGATCAGAATTCTACACGTTCGCGTACAAGTTATTTATAAAAACGGTTAGCTAACCTCCATTGAAGGGATCTGTTGACAGAAATAGGGATGTTCAGATTTTAAGAGAACCTGTACATGAGCGTGTAATATTTAGACCCCTGGGGATTACTATCCCGCCCTCAATTTACTTATACACTGCTATATCAGCATGGCGACTTGACTTAAGGCTATCATCAAAGAGGGTGGCGGACCAATTGAACTCCTCTTTTAGATCAAATACAATCCAAGTTGAAGGACTTGTTACATTATTTTATTACTGAGGACCCCTGACACTATATAACTGCAAAATTTGGTGTATGTAGGTTGGAAAATAAAAGTTATAATAGTGTCTTGAAAAAGTGGTGTTTTTGCCCACCCTGTATATCAAGGGATCTAATTACACTTATTTTCCGTATACCTTTAATATCAATCGGTCAATTCAAGGAAATGGTACAAATGGTAGAACAACTACACACAGGACCATAATTCTATACGTTCACGTACACGTTTTTTTAAAACGTGTATCTTAGCCTCCCTAATATTGTCAAGAAACTAGGCAGTGTTCCGCATACGGTCATTTTAATATCTGAAATAGACATCTGATCAAATACGGAAGTAATGAAGATTTAGATACAGATGTCTGAATTAATTAGAACTAAAAAGGGAACGTCTCATCTCACCAGGTATTTTTATAAATGGCGAAGATCATAAAAAACACTTTTAAAAAGACCAATTCACCGATATGAAACACTGACTTGTAAAAATATGGAATCCATCTTATGCAATAAGTTACACTTTACGATAAATCATTTTCATCTACTATACCTGTGCTATAAAACTCGAATTATAATATAACAAGATTCAAAACGTGCAATAAGCTAATAGTCGTTGCCCTATTGCTACTGAGATGATCATTGACTCTGCGATTAACGCTAGTTTGTCGAGTTAATTGCACATTCCGGGAGTCTATAACTTTAAATCTTAGATAATGCTGCTATAACTTAATTAAATAGTCTGTTATCATCGCCAGGCGTAACTATTCCTCCAATATACGATGCAAATTGTAGATTTCTATCCAATCCATCCATCATTGTAAAGATCCATGATTACATCTTTACTGTGTTTTTCTACCCTTCAAAGCCTTTGTTAACACCTATAGTGTGACCGGCTATGGTCCTTTGTTTATGTGATAACAAAATATATCTGCATATTCAAATTTCAATTACGTGTGCTAATATTTTGATGACGGGTGATATTTATGTATTATATTATTATGAGCACCCTGACTCAAATAAAAAGTTAGGAATAATGCGTCTAATCACTCTAAAGGAGATTTTTATATACTTTCATTATTGTCCAATGGCCACTGAGATCAGGAGATAACTCTTATCATTTTCCAGACAGAATGTGGATTAACCTCACTATCATCCCTATTAACTTTTTTAAAGTCAATTAAACTGAATTTAACGTCTTTTCTGTCCCATTTACTCTTTTGTTTTATTAGAACAACATGGTGAAATCGCTTGTTCACCAAATGACTATGATAAGCCCTTCTATCTAGGCACAAATGGTAGCATATATTACGTAATAAAACGTCGCATAAAGAAAAATTGGAACTGATAAATCTTTCAGTTTTGGCATATATAGTTTTACCATTAACAAGATAAAACACACGTGTACGTTATTTTGTCATTCCACTAAATAGCCTAGCATCGATTTATTTTCATCAATAAAATTGTCCTACTATAAGAATATAAAATTGTAATAATTGAGAAAATCATACTTTATTGCTTCAGAACAATTACTTTTATGTAAGACATCACACTGTTGGAGGATAATTCTCGTTTCATTTGTAAAAGGAGAATATAAAAAAAATCTTCGAAGTAATGAAAACGTGAAGAGGTTTTTGAACAAAAACTTACCTCTTCTCAATATAATTTTCGTTGCATTTATTAAAAGAAAATATCTTAGAAGTAATGAAAACGTGAAGAGGTTTTTGAACAAAAACTTACCTCTTCTCAATATAATTTTCGTTGCATTTGTTAAAAGAAAATATCTTAGAAGTAATGACAACGTGAAAGGTTTTTGAACAAATTTAACTTACCTCTCCCCAATATCTATGTATGTTATCATCAGCGTCTAGTTCGCAATAATCTTCAACGGCAATTGCTATTAAAAAGCCGTTTCTTATTTTCCTCAGAGCTGTTTACAGTGTCATTGCAATGACTCAATGCTTTCCTGATGTCTCGCTTTGCATTATTTTGTCTACTTTGTAAATAAGTAAATCGTGTTATTAAAGTTGATTGGTAAACAGAAAAACTGTTCTATTAAAGCGCTATAATTACTATGAGAGATCCGTGTTTTAATACCATGTTATCCTATAAACTTATTTCGCAATAAATCCTAGATTGTCTATGGCTTAGTCGCTTTTGTTTCACCTATTTCTCGTATTCTGGCAATAAGTTGTCTGGGCATTGCGATTAGTTCATATATAAATAGTAACCGATGTGTTACTTAGGTAGCGATTATCAATCGAATGTGTTACATTTCTAAACAATTGCTACAAAAGAAATGATCGAGTCAGTCAGCCACAGCATCTACTTCTTTATGATCCCGAAGTATACAATAACTAGTATAGGTTCTGGTTTCAGTCTCGGAACAAGAAATATCATAGCCTATCAACAGAATAAGAATTTGCCAACCTGCGTTTAGCGCTAATCCACCATGTAATTTTCTCTAGAAACGTCCGTGTGATTTTATGACGTTAAGATGATCGTAAAGGGACAATCCGTTCTTTTAATGGATTGTCAAAGAGCATATCTAATGGCATTTCGATATTCGCTAATGTATTTTCTTTAAGTCAAGAATGCGTCCATTAGTATAAGACAATGAAATAGGATATATGTTATCCTCAGATATATTATCTATCTTTATTAATTGGATGACCATGTCAGTATCATCATAAAATCCTAGTAGCATAACTACATTGTTAATGTCCACTCTCCAAGTCGCAACAATTAGTAATCTTCACCTAACCTATGGTATAATCTCTAGATATTTTCTTCCCTGTGAATTCATAAACATTATCTATACCTAAAACTCTTAACATGCAGACTGGGTCAAATTAGAAATAAAGTTAAACAAAAGATTACGTATTGACGCTAATGGATTTCAGATAATTGGTTTTCAAAAACAAATGGCCGACATTTGCCCAGGCTAAGACAATTTCTTCACATTAGAATGAGGATGTTGTGTAGATGCAAGCGACCTATTTTATTTCCCGTCAATACAATTGGTTCGAAATAAAGAGGAATTACATCCCTATAACTGCTAATTAGTAATTAATCTAGTGCATTGGCCTAACCTTTACATTTCATTCTGGGAACTAGCCACAAAGTTAAACAGGTATTATTTTAGAAAATATTATAATATTTATATATATATATATATATTCTGTAGAATTTTCTCCTTTCATGATCATCATATGGGACAATTTCAAGAATTGCATTGGCCTAACCTTTATATTTCATTCTGGGAACAAACCACAAAGTTAAAAAGGTATTCCCTTAGGCATTTGTGCTTATATATCATTTTAGAAGATATTATATATACTGTAGAATTTTCTCCTTTCATGATCATCATATGGGACCATTTCAAGAATTATAAGATAAGTTGAACAATACGGAATTTATAGAATTAAAGGAAGTGAAGTGATTGACCTATATCACATATCACTTCCAACCAATCAGAACAAAGTATATAATATGAATACATAACATTCTATTCCGCCTTCTGTTTTACTTTTTGATAAACTTTATATACCAAAATGTGGACAAATTTAGGCACAATTGTCTATTATCAAACATTGAATGAGGGCGGGGCCCTGTGATACAAGACATATGTACATTAATTGATGAGTCTCGTGCTTAAATTCTGAAATTCTGAAATTTATGAGGGTCATCGATTTCACCGAATCCTAAAATAACCATTTTAGGTTGAAAAATATATCTGCATATTAAAACGCAATTATAAAACATATTATAAAAACTGATATAACGACAGTAAAAATAGTTGTGTATTACAGAGGAATAGGACTCTTTTGCAGCATCTGTCCCACATCATTCGAGACGGAAATACAATTTCTTTCTTAAATGTTGTTTCTCATATTATACCATAATAATTACTTCATTATATAAATAATATGTCCCATGATGTAGTGGTTTTCAATGTTGACAATGATTTCTGAATGGTTTGTATGGGGGTTGTCCGTACATCTTTTTGGATTCTGGGGATTTGTTTACTTATGACGAGTGATACTCTTGGTTGTTACTATTCTTTGAATCCATTAGCCTACATAGTTACTGCCTACATACATAGTTACTGCGATATTCATAGGAATTAATGTCATAATTTAAAACGCTGTTTTTGCGGGAAAATATGATACATTTTTGCACCTTTTCACTGTACCATCCATGGCTTTTAAACGCGCCGTAATACCATATGATTTGTGTTAAGTGACTCAGAACGAGGCTGACAGTTGTGGCCTAGTGTTTTAAAAAATTCGATTTAAAACACTTAATTACTGGTGATTTTGAAGAATCTAGTGATGAACAGTCACAATCTTTGATCAGTGGACATTTATTAATTTGCGATGAGGGTCTGATAAATGCACCAAAAATTAAAACACTTACAAAAGACTCGTTTTGATATAGATAGTTTAGAACATAAAATACGTAGAGGCGGTGACGAACACGAGTGCATAATTTAACTAACAGAATGAAGAGAACATCCGATGATTTATGAGTGATATGATTTTTATCCACGAATGGATATGATATCTGTACGAGCGTGTGTATTTTAAGAATGTTTGTTTTAACCCTTGTGTGGCCCTTGTGTGGCCCTTGTGCCTACAGTACATATTCACTATGTGTTGATTGATGGAACTCATTACAACGACTTCAACATGTCTCATCTTGAATTTCCTCTTAGCCCTTCCTTTGATATCTCAACTGTGTATAAATGTACGAGAAAATATATCAACTTATCTTGATTGCGCTATTTTAAATGGTATAATCAAGCAAGTTCAGTGTTTACTTAATTCTTCACTTGACATATATTGACCGGAAGACTTATACTATTCTCAAGGTTACGTTTCTCCAAATATTGTAAATGGCCTTCAAACTTCTAGCTTGTGTAATTTGTTGAGAAAACTTTAATAAATGACAGTAAATGGAAAATCATGCAATCCAAGTGTTTTAATTTCATTATGGATACATGATTTATGCTCGGTGTCATATACGATTGGTTGGAATTATACATTCAATAAATCTTTGCCTACTAAGTAGCTTTAAATTACCTTAAATTATAGTAATTATCGGATTTTTCCCCTTTATAACGCACCTTTATTTTAGTACCAAATAATTTCATTTGAAATATAAAACTTATCCATTTGCTAACTTAGAAGTATCTTTATTTGCAATCCAAGTAAATTATTAAAGCATTTGAGCTCACCGTTTAATTTGAATAATCGTATTGATCAAAGTGATTGATATACAGAATTATTGATATGCACTTTGTTACTAAAGAAACTGAATAAAATCTGAACAAAAAGTTCAAGATCAAAGATGTATAATAACAGACTTCTGTTTTTTGCAATCAAGCCACCGTAATGATTTCTGTGACAAAATGTGGTCAATCTTGAAAAAGAAGAAGTATTTGAACACCATTGTTGATTGGTTGCTTGATTGATTTATCTTTAAACGTGGCTACGAAACAGTTATTTTGACCTTTCCCTAAACTGAGTTACCGGATTAAAACAATAAGGGTCACAATTTGAAAACAAAATACTCGCTAAGATAAGAAGTGGGAATCCATGAAGATGCACATGAAATCACTGACTTCCGTGGGTTATAATAAATAGTCAACTCCCCTTTCCTACCTCTGCGAAATCCCATAATACGAATACTCATTTGCCTAAAGTGAAATTTGGTTTTGAAAAATACCAAAACAATACAATGGGCAGTATAGGGGGCAATCAGCATTATAACGTCAAAAACGACAAGCGTTACATTTTGTCAAGTTAAGTCAACCTAAAAATAAGATGCTTTATTCTTATTCAATCCTGGTAAAATTAACACAGCAACAAGATCTCGAGGACAATATTTCTAAAATGTTTTTTGATTTGAAAACGGTCATGAAGTCCACTCGGGGCGTTAGTAAAAATTGATAGTATGGGATTTGTGGTAAAAAATCGATGCGTTACATTTTTTCAAGTCTCTAAAAGCAACTCTTATTCTCTTATTATTTGAAAAATAAAGAAATCGGTTATTGTTTTGTAAATTTCGCCATGACAATATTGTGCAGTTAAATTTTTTTTGAAATCAGACCTAAATTAGAAGGTTAAATAAAGGTAAACTTATTGCTTGTCTCCTTCGCCTTCAAAACCTTACACAATTTTGAAAATCTTAAAAGCGTTCATATAAGACTATTTGAACTGTAGCCGCTAGGCAATTGTGACGTCATAAAAGCACATGTTTCAATGAATAAAATGTGAAATTTTAGTAAAATTCTGATCAGTATAAGTTATCCCGATTTCAACGAACCGTGCAAGCGTGAAATGTTACGTCTTACAGCGTATTTGACGATGTCGGAGTACATTTAACTTCAAAAATATGGTAGATCCTATCACACTTTCCATGGAAAAATAATTTCAGTGAAATGCGAATAAAAAATACTTCAAAATAATATATAATGCACATAGTTAGCTTTTTAAATAAGGTAGATATTAACGCTTAAGCTGAGATTACCCCGTATTTCCCGAATTGTCCCCAGGTCCGTGCACGTCATACGTACGATTGTCCATTAAAATTGAGAATTCTCCGTTGATCCGCCGCTTTAGCTTACCTTCCTAGAACTTATGGTGAGGTAATTATCTTCGGCCCTTGTTTCAGGACCTTACATCCTTAATGTCAATACCACGTACTGTACATTATGGGGTCTTAACTACATCTCAATATATCAGTGTTAGGTACATTGCCAGTATAAATATCTTAGACAGATCTGATCATGGTGCATGGCCTCAATTCTTGAAGAAGCTATAGAAAACTCCCGACGTCAGTTAGTACCGGACTCAATTATTCCTTATGCGGCTTCGTAGACTAACCGGTAATATAAAGTTGATTCACATTACATTATTTTTTATTATTTTCTAGACAATAGAAGTCTCTAGGTCACGTTTTCAATTAACAAATAACATAAAGTTCATTTGAGGTTTTTCATTTTCCTCATCAATTCTGGCACTTTGGTCATTTTGTATGTACAGGTAATTTATACAGTGCAAAGGATACAGAGACACAAATGAAATACTATAGTAGATGATTGGTGTTATACTTTTTAAATCAGAAATTGTAACATGCATGGGACACATGCCTAAGCACGCGAGCCAGTGGCAATTACATTCCCAATGTTCACTCTCTCTTCATTCTGTCCGTACACTGCATTGTCAAATCCAGGTTTCATGGCTTGTTTTAGACCCAATGTTAAACCTCGTTTCTTCATAAACAGAAATCCGACAAATCCACCCACACCTATGACTATGAGCACCGCTATGCAGATACCAACTATACCACCAGCTCCAATGCCATTTCCTTAAATTAAATCAAAAGTAACGTGAATGATGGTTAAAGTTTATGAAATCATGTTTCGGTATGTTTGATCTTGTATTCACTTAAAGGTCTTTATTGATGGGAATGTTCATTGTGGAATATATGACCTTGGTGACCTTACAAATTCTAATGATTGTCACATCTGAAGTATATCCATTTTATAATTTCACATAATGAGATCAGCCATTACAACGTGGAGATAACCTTTGCAGTACTATAGAGCCTCATCAGATATATTTTTGCACATTTCGAGAGACGACAAGCCATAGCCAGGTGCGTTCTGTAGAACTCACCTTTCCTTGGAGCAGGAGTTCTTTGTTGGTTTGGACGGGTTGTCCAGAACCCTGTAAATGGTGGAAATGTTCCAGGTGGGGTGCCTGTCCATGGCGGCATTGTGATTCTAGGTGTAGTCACTCTTGGTTGTGTTTGTGGTGGTTCTGTCGGGCGTGTCTGTGGTGGCATTGTTGCCCTCGAGGTGAACTCCCCTGGGTCCCTTGTGGATGGTGATGTGGGTGGATAGGTCACAGTTGTATCTACAAATGATAAACTATAACTATGAGTTCATGACAACATGGGGAACACCTACCAATTTGATAAAAATCAATTTAATTAACCTACAATATGGAGGCCCCAAAAAGAGTCATTAGTAAAACTGCGAAATTTCGTGTTTCAGATTTTGTACAGACTTGCAGAAAAACATGTCCGAACTTTACACAAAGTAGCATCTAGACTAGGCCCAAAACAAGAAAGTAGACAAGCGTGCCAACATACGAGCAATCACAATGAAAATTGAAGACTTACCTGCAGATTGGACTAGGTATTGTAATGAGAAACCGGGGTGACGGTCCCTCGCTCTTCCTGCTTTGAAGGTGATGTTAAATTGGTTTCCTTTAGTAAAGACTGAAAAAACGTGGGTGACACAAATTAAGAAGTATTGCATAAGATGATAAATTGACGAGAATTAAATGTTTCATGTTAATCGATTACATCTTTCGCACAAACTTTCAATTAATTCCTCGTGCAAGATACCCATTGGTGTGCCACAAACAAGCACCATCTAGATATGATACCTCAGACAAAGGAGATGCCCAGTTTGACAAATTCATGAAAATGAGACTCCAGTAGTAATATAGAAGTATATAGAACGGAGATGATGATATGCAAACAGGTTTAATTTTTCGCTTTCCATATATATGATCTACACAACTACACCTTGCATGTTTATCTTTATTAGCTACTTCAAAGCCATTTTGAATGGGGATAAATCCCAAATGAATCATTTCTTCTGTAGCCCGTTTCTACCCTTCACTCACATTTATATGTTTGAATTATCCCCATGGCAGAATCGTCAAAGTAGCCAAAGCCACTGTACTGTATCCCGTTGATAGTCAGAACGTCTCGACGCCGTTCCGTCTCAAAGTATTGAACATATACCAACAGTTCTCTGTACGCCCCTTGTATACCATCAACCGTGATGTAATAATTACATATAGCATTTCGTGGGTAAGGCAACGGCCAATTTGGACTCTGAATGATACCGACTGGTTCAAAATAGTGACGTGGACAGTTGAACGTCTCTGAAACATATGTTAACACAAATGCAAAATGGGAAAGGACCAGATAATTGGGAAACACGGGAAGAAAACAAAATAATATCAAGGTAAAAACAATATCGGAAACTATGATCTACCGCAAACCAATTAAGAATCATTACGTGTAGTACAATCCATGACTGGAAGAAATGAAGACTACACTACCATCACTCTGTCTACATTAAAGATAAGCCACTCCGACTCACTCGTTCCAGTTACACATGATGTTAAACGTTAGTACTATGGATGTAGCTAAATATCAAGTTAGAATGGACTTGTAAGATCAAATTGGAACTCGGTGTAAAGAAACACGCATATAGCTGTCAATGTTACCTCTTATACTCTGACATAGGTTACCACTATACTTGGGGGGACAGATGCACATAGGACCACTGTCCAAGCTATGACAGATTCCGCTATTCTGACAGGGATTGTTTACACACGATTCTGCAAGTAAGATGTGAAAGCGTCAATCACATACGAAAAGAACGAAGAATTTTACTGTTCATTGTCATTGGGTATGGGTCCCTCCATTAGTTACCATCCAAATTAATTAAGTAAATTGCCTTATTGTGTGTTGATGTTGGTAGTTGTAAAGACTTCGGGAGATAATAAAACGAACGAGATATTTAATTTTTGATGCATTTATGCAACGTGTAACTGTTATACAAAAGAAGTTGGGGGCGTTGATTGATTCGATGATAAGCCTTGGTAAGGTCATAATGCAATCATACAGTTACAATAAATTTACGATTAAACATAGGGTATACATTATTTATCGGCGAAAATTTCAGATGTGAAGAATGTAATTTATAAACAATGCAGTCTTTACCTGTTAGACCATCGGGGCTGGCACTGTTTCGAACATTGTAGCTAATTGAAAATCCTTTGTACGTAACACTTCTATCAGTGCGAAAATTCATGACGAAACTAACATCCCTGCTGCGAACTGTAGAAAAAGGGCAAGGAATAATATTTTTGTATCCAAAAAATAATAAAATGTTAATGATCTAAGTCTCGCTATTTTGATTTAATTTTTTTTCATGCTAATTTTATGTAATTTGTTTGATCTACCATATCATGGAAGGAAATGGTCAGGTGGTAGTCCAAACGTTACAATGGACTCTTAACTCGCTTACACAAATATGTGCGACCTTCCATCATGGCTCGCATTCCGCGTCTATCCCCTGACCCAGTAACACTTCCGTCTCCAGCATATGGGCGTCCATTTATTGTCAAACGATCGCAACAGGACTCTGTCTTGAATCCGTCAACGGTCATCGTGATGTCTTTCCAAGCCTGCCGTTCGTTATTCAGATTCAATGTATACTGGCAGAGTATCCCGTTGGCATACCTATTCGGATAGTTGTCACTTTGCATTATCCCTGTTGGAGGGTTTAAGGTCTTTGGACACGTCGAGGGAACAACTACAAAAGGTGAAAGAGCAAAAATGTAGAAGTAAAAACAAAGATATCTGATTACTCTTTTGTATCATGATTATTAATGTTTAGTGCTTGATTCATTTATCGCATAAATAATTGGTGACATTAAAAACTAGAAAGGAGATCCGAGAGATACGCACGTAAGCAAACGATGCTACGAGCAATAACAATGACATGACTTACTAATAACCATGTCGCAAAGTGTTCCAGTGTACCCCGGTTTACAGTAGCAAACAAAACCTTCCACATGACTGTGGCATTCGCCATTTCGTCCACATGGATTGTTCTCGCAAAACTCTGAAATGTTACATAGAGGTGTAAGCCCGCTCCAAAAGTGACCGTATATAATATACGCAAATTGAGTAGTAAAACGACATGTCGGAATATATGAGAGGCTACAAAGCGATCACAACATCCAATCTAGTGCAGGAAGAAACAATTACTCAGGGACCCAAGTTCTGAGAAACAGCTAGAAAGTAAAAATGGATATTGGAAAGTATTACGCGAGATTTTTTCAGTTCTTGTTGGAAAATAAGTTACTTTTATGATGTGGGGTGATATCTAGAGTTTGAGACTTGCGAAAATAAGATATCTTCATCTTTATACCCCCCGCCCTATAATTTTAGGGGAGTCAGAAGAAAATAGACTTTAATTCATAACTTTGGAAGTATATGAGATACAAACTTAATTTTTTCACCAGAATTTATGAAATAACATCAGTAATGAAGAAAAAAATATTTTGAATGAAAAAAAGCTAATTTGCATAATTTAACCCTTAAACTGCCATAAAAACTAGTAAATGACGAAATGATGTTATATCACATTTACTGTTATTGCCTTCATATGAAGTTATAACTTATGAAATAATTCCTAAAAATGCATCTATATATGTATAATAAATGTGCAAAATATTAGAAGTGTATCTTAGATAAAGACTGTGAAAAAAATTCTCCCCCTACCCAGATTTTTGAGGGGAGGGGGTCAAATAAAAATGGACTTTAATTCATAATTTTAAAAGTATATGAGGTACAAACTTAATTTTTTCACCAAAGTTTATGTAATAACATCAGTAATTCAGAAAAAATATTTTTGATACGCAAATAAGTTAATTTGCATAATTTAACCCTTATACAGTCATAAAAACTGTTAAATGACGATGCGATAAAATACGACATTTACTCTAATTGACCTCTCATGAAGTTTTAACAAATAAAATAATTCCTAAAAATGCATCTATATATGTATAACAGATGTGCAAAATATTAAAAGTGTATCTTACATAACGACGCTGAAAAAAATTTGTCCCCCTACCCAGATATTTGAGGGGGGTCAAATGGAAATGGACTTTAATTCATAACTTTGGAAGTATATGAGGTACAAACTTAATTCTTTCACCAAAATTTATGTTATAACGTCAGTAATTCGGAAAAATATCTTGATATGAAAATAAGCTAATTTGCATAATTTAACCCTTATACAGTCATAAAAAACGTTAAATGCCAAAGTGATGAAATACGACTTCTATGAAGTTATAACTTGTGAAATAATTCCTAGAAATACATTTACAACAGGTATGCACAATATAAAAAGGGTATTGTATATAATGAGTGTGAAAAAAATCTCACACCCTACCCTAATATTTTAGGGTTGGGGGAAGTTAAAAGAAAATAATAAACTTTGATTCATAACTTTGAAATCGTATAAGAAAGAGCTTATTCATGTATTTCTTCGCCAGAATATTGAGAAATCACATCAAGAATGAAACAAATATTACATGGAAACAATATTATACTAGTAGTAGTAGTAAATTTATTAATTAAAGTCTAACGCACTAAAGATGTTACATTTAGATACATACATGAATTAAAACAATTCCTGGTTGATGCCAACCTATTAGAGACCATCGCATGTAACTATTTCACGACTTTTGACTAACATATTTGTCATACATTTTCCAAGTGTCCTTTGAACAGTTTTTTTTCATTCATTATTATACAATATTTTCCTAGACGTGTATACATGTAAAAGTCACTATGGATATCAGTCATATAGGCAAATAGACTTAATCGTTCATTTTCAAACATATGACATTCTATTTTAAATTGAGTTATTGTCTCCATTGACTGTCCACATGGGCACGATCTCTGGTCTAGGGGAGTTGCGTTATTTTTGTTTATATTTCAATATAAAAACAAACCATCATTGGATGTATTACACTTGTTTGCAGCATCCAAAATTATATTAGAGCATTACCACTCATTATGGATGCATTTTTGGTTTATAACAATTATACATTTCAATGATCTGACAAACCACTTTTTGAGATTCCAGAGCCAGGGAATGGATTTGGATGTCAAGTGGTTCATATTACTCTTGAGACCATTAAAATGACCAAAAAACCGAAACTTGATATAACAAAAATCCCAAAGTCATTTTGCACATGCAAACGATACAAGGACAAAGCAATATGTTAAACCACTTGCTCATGTGCCACTGCAGGTACAGAATGTTTTGCTGCATGTTCATGCGGCTCAAAGGAAAGTGAGTGTGGACGGGAATAAGTGGATTAACCCAAACATATATGATGACATTTTCACTCTATCAGGTACCTACAACCTAGAATATGACACCAGTCCCCACAGTGACTCTGAATATGGTTCAATAAACTTTAGAACTGTTATGGTTACCTTTTTAAGGGTTATTCTGAAACATTGCAAGTTCAATTCAACTCAATTTATTATTAATAATAGGTGGCACCACAGGTGATGCTTAAATACCCGTACATATAGTAGTTAAATCATGAAGTATATCATTATGTTGTCAACGAATCAAACCGGAATGTAATCACAAAACTTAGATTATAATAAATAAAGGTATGAGGGATCCATGATGCTCGTTTCATTTTAAGCCAAGAAGGTACCATATGCCATGGGGAAATTTTATGAATGTGTAGCTTCATTAATTATTATTTAAAGATGCCAGGCTACCGCATTGACGCAAATAATCTTTAAAAGTGTGATTCTTATAAAATATTAGTTATTATTTTACCTTCCCCAAGGTTGGTATGGTCAAAATTATTATTTTAGATCTTAAGTAGTTTGGAGCAGCCCCCAGGTTGGCCCATGTACCTCCCTTGAGAGCCTACCCTTCTTACTGAAGAAACAAGAAATGATATAGTCAACTAATGATTAATAAGCTAAGAGAATATGCTTCTTCAGTTTTGATTTAAGAAAAGAAATGGAATTTGACTTTTTATTTCTTCTGGGAGATTGTTCCATATGGAGTAACCACTAAAGGCTATTGTTTTTTGCCATAATTTTCAGTTTTGCTTTAGGAAGGGTGAAGTTTGATTTGCCTCTAGTATTATATCTATGAAAATCTCCATGGGTATTGAAATAGTTGGGAAAAATAGCTTCATAATTGTTGATATCATTTTTCCATTTAAATGCTAGTATTAAGAAAGGATATATTGTCAAAGTCCTTACTTCATGTGAAGTCAATTTCAGTATAGAACCACTTTGCCTTATAATGATTCTCATGACTGTTTGAAGCTTAAATTATGCAAATTAGTTGAAATATAGTATTGTCCCCATGTAATATTCGTTTCATTATTGATGTGATTTCTCAGTTTTCAGCGAAGAAATATAAGCTCTTTCTTAAATTATTTCAAAGTTATGAGTTGAAGTCTATTATTTTCTTTAACCCCCCCCCCCCAAACCCTCAAAATTATTAAGGTAGGGTGTAAGATTCTTTTCACACTCATTATATAAAATAACCTCTTTATATTGTGCATATCTGTTGTACATTTTTTTTCGAAGTTATAACTTCATAAGAAGTCAATTAAAGTAAATGCCATATTTTATCACTTCGTCATTTAACGGTTTTTATTACTTTATAAGGGTTAAATTATGCAAATTAGCTTATTTGCATATCAAAAAATATTTTTTCTGAATTACTGATGTTATAACATAAATTTTGGTGAAAAATTAAGTTTGTACCTCATATACTTCCAAAGTTATGAATTAAAGTCCATTTTCATTTTGACCCCCCCTCAAATATCTGGGTAGAGGGAGAATTTTTTTCACAGTCGTTATGTAAGATACACTTTTAATATTTTGCACATCTGTTATACATATATAAATGCAACTATATGAATTATTTCATAAGTTATAACTTCATGAGAGGTCGATTAAAATAAATGTCGTATTTTATCGTTTTGTCATTTAACGGTTTTTATGACTGCATAAGGGTTAAATTATGCAAATTAGCTTATTTGCATATCAAAAATGTTTTTTCTTAGTTACTGATGTTATTACATAAATTTTGGTGAACAAATAGGTTTATACCTCATATACTTCCAAAGTTATAAATTAAAGTCCATTTTCAGTTGACCCCCCTGAAATATCTGGGTAGGGGGAGAAATTTTTTCACAATCTATATATAAGATGCACTTTTAATATTTTTCACATCTATTATACATATATAGATGCATTTTTAGGAATTATTTCATCAGTTATAACTTCATATGAAGGTAATTACAGTAAATGTCGTATATTATCATTTTGTCATTTAATAGTTTTTATGGCGGTTTAAGGGTTAAATTATGCAAATTAGCTTTTTTTGTTCAAAATATTTTTTCTCCATTACTGATATTATTTTGTAAATTTTGGTGAAAAAATTAAGTTTGTATCTTATATACTTCCAAAGTTATGAATTAAAGTTTATTTTCTTTTGACCCCCTCCCTTCAATTTTAGGGTAAGGGGAGAAATATTTTTCACAGTCGTTATGTTAGATACACTTTTAATATTTTGCACATCTAATATACATATATAGATGCATTTTTAGGAATTATTTCATAAGTTATAACTTCATATGAAGGCAATTACAGTAAAAGTTGTTTATTATCATTCCGTTATTTAATAGTTTTTATGGCGGTTTAAGGGTTAAATTATGCAAATTAGCTTATTTTCGTTTGAAATATTTTTTTCTGCATTACTGATGTCATTCTATAAATTATGGTGAAAAAATTAAGTTTGTATCTCATTTACTTCCAAAGTTATGAATTAAAGTTTATTTTCTTCTGACCCCCCTGAAATTATAGGGTGGGGGGTATAAAGATGAGGATATCTTATTTTCGCAAGCCTCAAACTCTAGATATCACCCCACATCATAAAATAAATATATTTTCCAACAAGAAAATGAAAAAATCTCGCGTAATACTCTCCAATATTCAAAAACAAAAATATTCAGGCTGGGTCCCTAAGTAAATGCTAATTGGCCCCTTCCCCATCACTTAAAATAAACTTTACCACGTTTTGTGACCACAGTACCCTAGGGCATTTCGGTTATACTAAAGTCGTATACTTATATATATGGTATCCTACCCATATCAGCCTTAACAATTTATTGTTCAACGCGTGAAGTATTTCCCCATTCAATACCTGTGATATTATGTCGTTCCTTGGATGTAGTAACGTAATATTGGAATCGGAATCCTGGAAAAACATTCCTTGAATCTGTCCTGAATCTCATGTGGAACCAAATGTAATTATTCCTGACTGTGAATGATTTAAAAAATGTTATGTTAAGCATGCATTCAATTATTGTATACAACAAAATCATTTATGATCAATTTCATTTTTATAACCTTTAATTAATTTTTCTTATCACCCATTGTGACAATACAAAAACAGAGAAATTAAAACTGTAAATAATGTAAGTTATCTTACATACATTTACCCAGCATCAACGAGAAATTGACAAAGGATTTCATAGTGTTTAAATGAATACGAGTTTTGTCTGGCGACTTGTTGAACAGTATTTTGGGCTCACATAGTTGTTACTTACAAAGGTATCTCCTGCCAACTTGTAGGGCCGTTCTCGCGTTTGGATCGCTGCCATTTCCACTATATTCTCTACCGTTCAAAATTAGTCGATCACGTTTTGTTTCCGTCATAAAGGCTTGTACTGTGATTGTTATGTCTTTCCAGATGTTTTGATTATTATTCCTTGTGTATAGAATAATATCACAGAACAGTCTGTTGGTATACCCCCGGGGAAATCCTGGGGATTGGATTATTCCTCTTGGAGCATAGACATACAGTGGGCACGCCCTACCTGCATGTAGAAAACAAGACACACTGATAAATATCGATATTTGATTGAGTAGTACATTTTTATACAAAGGCCAATCCAGAAGTTCTGATAAAAATGCTGTATCTTTTTCTTAAGAATTTTTTACACAATTTACATAATTTATATGCCTATGCAGCAGGGAATTTTCAGAATGATTTCTAAATAGCTCTTTTTTAAATGTCACTTTTACTACCCCATGGTCGGGGCACTCGGTCCGAGACTTGAGCTCATATTGACGTCATAACTCATATTGAAAATCTGAAATTCTAAATCCAACTGTGCAATCCTATTTTAGATAAAACTCAACAAAGATACTCAAAATAATGTCCTTCAGCATTAATACACTACATTTATACACCCTGGTATCTATCCACCCCCTGTTTGTACACACCTTTTCAGAGCTTTCAGTTCTAGTGAGGTGTCAACAGCATTCTTGATTTCAACAAATGTTCTAAAATATGAGACACTTGGATCATTCTCTTTCGAGCCGGTCCAAAGTCCAAACACAACAAAGTCCAGGGGGGGGGGGGTATTATCTGGGAAGTATGGATAATGGCCTAATACCTTCTGTCCTAATACCTACATATTTAACTTGTTGCTGATAACTATAACAGTGCAGATCATGCCAGATTTGTGACATGATGTCTTGTCCTAGTCAAACATGTTTGAATCTTTGGCTCTGTTTGGTCGCTTGTTAGGAATTGCTTTACCTAGATTAACTGAGAGCTTAGTGTCTTGTCTAATGTATCATGAAGCGTTAATGTTTTCTGTATCAAACAGGATTCATAATAATGATATCACACTTATGTGAAGAAGACATTAACAGCAGTTACTATTAAAACAGACATTTGTAAAATTACGTAACCTCGTATTGGGGTTTTGATCATTTGTTCAAAAGAAACCCAATTTTAAACTTCACAATTTTTACCTTTATAGCGTTATTGAGGTTACCATAGCAACCATAACTTTAGAAATATTCATTACCAGCATCGAATTTTTTTTAATATCTTATGAGGGAATAAATGACCCAGTTAATCTGAAAATATTGTGGAAAACGAATGATAAACGTTTAAGTTAGAGCATTTTATCAGAACTTCTGGACCGGCCCTTGGAAATGCAATAGATCTGAATCCTACATTATACAGAACTGTTATTCTAACTAGAAACTCACTTTGTAACTCATAATAAAGGTTTTGGCCCCTAGGTTTGCTAGGAGCTAGCCCAAAGTTTATAGGTTCGCCCTCGTACTCCACTTCTTCCCCAGTCTCCTCGTCAAAAACCACTGTGTTGGTATTTTCTGTAAGATCAAGGAAATACATTTTCAAGCTAACTTTTAAAATATTTTGAAATAATATCCCTACATTGTGATATAAATAAAGTGGATATATTATACAAATGGGTTCTACAATAGAAATCGACATGATAACGATATCTTGGATACCGCATAGCTGTAAAACGTTTAAAGTGATAAAATATATTTAATACAAAATCTTACCAGGAACAGAATAGTCATCATGGTCCATGTACAACCGGTCTATTATAACACCACCGGGAGGAGGCCTTTCTACAATGTGGAGTGTGAAAATCATACAAATATGAGTCATCAAATCATCATCTAACATTACAACGAATAGATTGATACCCAATCAGCAGCCATCTTTTAATTTCGAATGAAAACATTATGAACGTTGATTTTGATATTACTTAGGTGGTTCAAAAAGTTTTGCAGTTGATGCCATAACTTCAAGGAAAATAGGACTTTTACAATGAAACTTGGAATACATATGTGTTATACATTTATACATTATATGTTAAAATAATTGGCTAATTGCCACTTTATAAAGAGTTTATTCAAGCAAGAAAACTATTTGGAAAAACGTAATTTCGGGTTGAACATTTTACCCACCACTCTGGTTACCATAGCAACCGTATCTCAAGAACCAATCAAAATTGAGGTCCCAAATTTTAACATATAATGTATAAATGTATAACACATATGTGTACCAAGTTTCATTGTAAAAGTCCTATTTTCCTTGAAAACATTTTGAACCACCTAAGTATGTACCCAATGAAGAGAAAAAATGGTATAGACAGAATCGTCAGGCTGGAAGAGTACAAAAAAGCACACCTGGAAAAATCTGGTCGAGTCTGAACAAATTCTCGGTATAGTGAGAATTTTGCAAACTGTCTTTAAAGATGCCTAGATGCCTAATGTATAATTTATAATAAATTGTTCACTTACGAAGTCCATAGAGGTAGAAGTTCATCGCCCACCCAGGATGCAACCGAGTACCAATAAACTTTGTCATAAATGTCATATTGAACGTGTCTGCTTGAGTATATACTGAAATGAAGTGCGCATGACAATTAGCATTGGGGCCATTATTGTGGTGGATCCGCATGGTAGTTGGTGAGAGTTGTATATATTTTGGTATGTTAATATCAATTTTAAGCGGACCTGGAAATTGGCATTTTTGAAAATCCTTTACAAGTAGTAATTTGTGAAAATTTGGGTCTATTTTTTACAAAGGTATTGGCTCATTTTCCAAAATGCCATCGTCTCAAAATTAAGGCACAAGTGACCTCAAGGGCGCAAAAGTCCATTTAAGACCAAAAATGGGCATATCAAATATGGAACCTTCCACCGATCCGCCACCATGTAGGCTACAGAAAGGAGGATTGGCTCCCAGGATCGAAATTCGATATTTTCCAACAATGAAAACGTCAAAATGTCGTTATTTTCTGAAATTATAACTGACTATAAATCCAAAATAAACAGTTAAAAAGATTCGAACCAATATATCGATCATTTCTTGTGAGGTTTGGAATTTTTCATTAGGAAATAAGACCAAAATTCAGGATTCAAATGTTGAAGTGAACAAAATGGCGGCTGTTTGAATTCGAATTTTGTATCACGACATCCCCATATATATGGGACAGAATATCGATGTTGCACTCTGGGAGCCAATCCTCCTTGGACTACAGAATTACAATGACATCGTGTACCACCAGTATCTCTGTTCTTCTTTACTTACAGTAGTACCACTTCCTATTCTCTGGCGCAGAATCCCGATCAAAGTATCCCCATCCACTAAACCTTTGCAGACCATTCAGATCAAGGACGTCTCTGTTTTTCTCAGTCTCAAAGTACCACACGTACAATCGTATTTGTTTCCATGGGAATCGATTGTATCTCGATAAATCGAACAAATAGCGACAATGCATATTGCTGGGGTATGGTCTGGGGTAGTTGATGCTTTGTACAGTCACCCTGGCTGTCCGATACCTGAATGGACATCCTTTTGTATCTTAGTAAAAAAGAAAGAAAATGTATTGAACAAAATTTAGCTTTTTCATTAGGTAGCGATATTTCAAGACACGCATAGTCTAATAGACCAACAATATATTATTTTCCTAAATACTTTTAACTAACATAGGTCAAAGGCCAAGGTGATCGGAAATGTAATATCGTTGTTTTCCATACCTATGTTCGACTAAGATTTTCTCAACAGTAACTTACCTGAACGGTATTCACACATTGTTCCACTGTAGCCGGTCCTACAGAGGCATGTGGGGCCGTTCCTATAGCTGTGGCACGTTCCTCCGTTTTGACAGGGTCGTGAAGAACAAGTCTCTGAAAATAATACAAACGCAGTCACGATATAATTGTAAATTGTAATTGGTAATATGGCGGCGTGTTATAGTTACTTTTGGATTAATTTCATGATTTGAAGTCAAAGGCTATTTGTTTTATTTTTCGCCTATTTCACTTTCTTATTGATTTACCTGTTACACGATTTCCTTGGTCCGGTGACCTTTGAAGATTGTATCTAATGCTATAGCCTTTATACACAACGGAACCGTCAGTTCTAAATGACATCATAAAGTCCCTTCGGTTGGATCGAACTATGAAAAAAAATTATAAAAGTGTTTTAATAAAAACAAATCTGTCGTGATGAAATGGTTATTAGAAGCATAGAACAATTTTCATGTTCACAATCTGCTCGGGAACACAATCTTACATTTGTATGTTTGTCCTTTCTGTAAAGCGCCCGTATCCTTGCTACCATTTCCAGCGTAAGTTCTAGAGTTAATAGTAAGCCGGTCGCAACACCTTTCGGTGATAAAATCATCGACAGTCATAAATATGTCGTTCCACCCGTTTGGGCTATCCTGTATACGAATACTAATTTGGCACTTAAATGAATTGGGATAAGTTCCAGGGTAGTTGTAGCTTGTCATAGTTCCAGCGGGGGGTTGTAGCGTTATGGGGCAATCCCCGACCACTAAAATGATTAAAATTTCCATGAAAACACATAATTCTAACATTTTTAAATTACATCGACCAAACAAATATGGAACAGAACTTTACATTTCAGAAACGATTTCATGCAAATGCGATAACTTTTATTAATTAACTAACTTTTGCTCGGCCACATACGTGAAACTCGCGAAACCTCGTCTCCAACCAAATCAGAAGTTTCCAGTTTGAATGACACTGCATATTAATTCTCAAGTTACATATATTTATATGTACATTAAAAACGATTTCGATGATTATAAATGTTAACAACGAAAACTTGCCGACTCTTTGATCACATCTAGGTCCACTCCATTGCGGTTTACAAACGCATGTAAAGCCTTCTACATGGCTGTGACAGACACCATTGCGCCCACACACTCTATTGTTAACTGTGCCACATACCTCTACAATCAGATTGAGGATTACAAATTAGAATCTAGTATACTAAATTGCAGCAATATCCCCGAGTAATCAGCACAAAAATATATAGCTAATATTATTTAGGATTTGCTATATCTGTCTGATCATGGGAGGACATTTTGGTGTTAAAACGCTATCTGGCTCAATTCATTACATCAAAAGTGCAATAAAATGGAGTTATCATTGACAAGGCGCGGACGTCACCCCTAACGAATATTAAGAAAAAACAAATCCAATACAATAATACGCGATAGTACAGCATGACAACAATATTCTTACCTCCCGTGTTGAAGAGCTCAAATTCAGGGCACAGGTTTTTTACATCCGTTTTTCCCCATTGAAATATACAGGGTCCGATTTTGAACACATCATTTGAGCTTTATTTGACATTATTATTCATGTATCTGTGCACAGTCTATATAGAATATTAGTTTATTACCTGTTTTGACCACAATCCTAGAAATGGACATTTTTGGTTTTGGGTTTTATTTTTGAGAAAATGGGCTTGATATTTTGAAACAATGTGACCAAATCATTACTAAAGCAAGGGCCAAAATTGTGTTTTCTCCACGCAACAACAAGATATGTTGAAAAACCACAACCCCTCCCTCAAAAAGCGTGTTCAGGCCTAGGCCTCTACCTGTAATGTTATGGTTTTCACTGGAGTCTTCAACTGTATAATCTATGGAGAAGCCCATCTTTTGCACTGATCCATCAGTCACAAACCGCATGTGGAACCAAAGAAAATTGTTCCTAACTAAAAGAAAAGTTCAGTATAGGTTAGTAACATTAAATGGTTTTAATATCAGTGGTATTTGTTTTAAGTCTATTTTGAAATCGATCGAGTTATGAACTTTTGTGAGATTCAGACTTACAAAGATATGTGCGACCAACTTGTAACGCCCCGGGGTCACTTGTTCCATTCCCACTATATTCAACACCATTAATGATTAATTTATCATGTTTTCGTTCAGTGACGAATGCATTGACTGTTATTGAAATGTCCTTCCATATTCTGAGAGGGTTATGGAGCATGAGGATAATATCACAAAAAACTCTATTGTCGTAAACTTGCGGGTAGTTTGGACTTGTGATCGTGCCAGCAGGGGGATTGTGCTCTTGTGGACAGACGCTATCTAAAATAAAACAAATAATTAAAAAATTGTTATTTAGTCCATTTGAACGTGATCGTTGTTTCATGTTTCTGTGTCACCACGAGAAGTGGGGCAACCAGAGTGATGACATATTGTTTTAGTCTCCAACTGTTTTGTGGACAGTGTTCGGCGTCTGTAACAAATGGCGTCTGTAACAGATTACGGTAGTTATGTCACATTTTGGTGGAAGACAATTGTTAGCACTTAGCAAGATATCACGTAAGTCAACATTTAACCTATATGTCAAATTGATCAAATAAATTCAATTCAACCTGTTTTTATCTGTCATAATACTATCTTGTATTTTGAACGTACAATAATAAAGACAAGAGGTACTCGAGAGCACATAATGGTTCTCGAGGTTATGTTAAGTGCTTTTTGATAAGTTCTCTCCCAAAAGTGATTTTACCTTCATTAATAAACGTACATTTAGATATAATTATACTAAATTTCAAAACTACTGAAAACGATATAGAGTTGAATTATATGTATGAACCTATTTTTACTTACCGTCGCCAGTCGCAAATAAACCGTTTTCGGGATTGTTGAATGCAAGGCTGACTTTTTGACGTGAGCCGACCACACAGCAGCTACAATATATTCAGTTATATTTTTAAAAAGTTATTTTTGAAGAAGAAATTAATGTAAAGTTCACAAATATTACTAAAAATGCAAAATTACTACAATATAACTCAGTACAACAGCTACTTCATGAAATAACGTAAAATGTTAATAGATTTGAAGTATAGATTAATGAGTTTAAATACTACTAGGGAAGTTTGACAATTTTTTTGTATTAATTAATACCTGATAATATTTCGCCGTATTAGATTTAGTCTAGCCTTGCCCAAGTCGGTATTTTTTTTACTTATAGAAATCAAGATAGTAAAAGAGACCGACTTGGGCAAGGCTAGATTTAGTCTAATAAAATACTTTTAAATGATCATGAAAGTTTGTCAATAAACCTATAATTTTTACAATAATTTAAAATATTTTGTCAAGATAATAATAACCAATTCAATAATTTCAATGTATTACTTACAAATATGTCACCACTGCTGCAGCGAAGAGATTTTTTCGAAACATTTTGATCTGAAAATAAGTATACTTTAAAAAAAACAAGAACTGATTAAAAGAAAAGTTTTAAATAGAAAAACAGTGTGTTGCAAAATAACAACATGAAACTTCAATAAAAATGCATTAAACTAACATCATTCAATTAGTATTTTAAAATGTTTACCTCTATTTTGGATTCTCCAAATTTAAAATTACTCCCACTTCATCATTTAGCGTCTGTAAATGTGAATGCCGAATGCAGTTTAGAACTCGGGGTGATTGATAAATAATGAAATCTTAATGATTATCTCAAGTATTTTTTAAGTATACCTATTGTCTTTTTGTCAAATAATTGAGATAGGTTGATAAGATGCATTGACTCCGGTTATAAGATATTTGACTCGTTATGAAATATTTGACTATCATGCACAGGGCATAGTGTATATTCGTGAAAGAAATATTTTGATTTTTTGCATATTGGCAAATAACGAATGATATATCAAGTTTGCCTTTTTAGGAATATTGTAATCTCATTGATAAACACCACCATTGCTCCTATATTTGAGATAGTTCTATGCGGCCAGCTAAACTATGTGATTGAATGTAGTTTTGACAAAGTTAGATTATTCTTGAAAAAACAGTAAGAATGACAATATTTTATATTTTTGAACATTTTTATTCCGACTTTGATTTAACATCATATATGTACATAGTTAAAAAAGATGCAAAATGTTAATTAAATTAATTACCTACTAAGCTGAAATACCAACTATCTAAGCATGTTGTACGAATTACAACTAATATGCATTGTGTAAGATATTCACTGGACTACGATATCAACAAAGGAAAATCCTAAAATTTTATTGAGATTTCCCATGCATGTGATCTATATTCAGAATGAAGAATTCTTGTGACGGGTCGCAAAAAGCTCGCGCACGCATTGTTACACATTTTGTGGCGTAATCCAGAGGATCCTCGCTTTTAACATGATAGAATGTGACGTTTTTGAGAAAAATGTACACACATGAAAATCCTTTCGTCCTCCACATTTACCTCTATATCTCAAAACATTTTAGACGAATAACTCTGATATCATATATATATTGTTAATGGGCTAGGAGCATCATAAAACACGAATCAATTGATATTTTAGGTGAAATAAATATACGTGTTGCTGTGCTTGAAAATAGGCGAATGGCGTAAATTAGCCCTATTTTAATGAATTTTGAAAACCTTTCGTCCTCCACTTTTCCACATACAACAGAAAACACATACTTTTGTGAACAAAATCAACTAATTATTAATAAACTAGAGTTTAGGAGCAAAATAATCATGTATGATTTATTAAAAATTGATCTCGTATCTTTTGTTTAATGTACACCTGAAAAGTTGAAGGTACCAAAAAATGAGCAAAAAAGGTCGCTGTCAACAGATTCTATTTTTCAGACTCTATGACGTCACAATATGGGACGCTTACTAAAATTCATCCTTTGAAATAAAACTTCCATCTACCTTTATCAAGACGAAAAATAAGTATAATAGTCATATATTGTTTGAGTTATGAGCGTTTAAAGACGAAAAATAATTCAAAATGTAACGTGTCAACATGGGATATTTGCCAGATGTTTTGGTAAAAAACTCTTTTTTAAAAACGAACGCGCAAAAAATGTGAACGGAGTGTAGTTGATCTAAAATCTTCATCGAAACAGCTTTAAAATGATATATAACTTTAATTAGAATATTATCTTATATTCCGGGGAATCAAAGTTACATTCACGCGATACCCTTAAAAAACAAATGCGCCACCTTTTTGCGACACGTCTGTATTTTTCAAGATATTATCCAGGTCAGTACACAATTTTAAAGTGGAGGGATTCAAAACATATTCAAGTACTGATGCTGTCCCCAGCTCCGATTTCGGTGATCGGCTAGTAAAAAAGGTTTGAGGGTATCATTTTGTTCTAGACACTCGCTAGAGTAAATTAACCTAACTTGAGTAAAAATGTGTGGTAAGTGAATTCGCTATGGGCAATTAGAGAGGCGCCATCTATTCATTTTCAAACAGGGGGTAGGGGTATAAAATAATTTTTTATCACATTTTAATAGTGAAATGACATTGAAATACTAATAAAATCTCATCAAAAACAATATTTACAATCAGTATGAATTTTCTTGTGTGGATTAGGGTGAAAATAAGGGCATATTTTGAAATTCACTACAGGGGCACCACCTATTTTCGTACTTCTACCACATGTAATAAGTTATTTTAGATTCGTTAAGGTACGAAATGTACTGAAAAAATTCATTCTAAAGGACCTATATATGTTCATACCACATACTAAAAATTGGATCAATGGCTTATGTACCTGGGGAGAAAAAAATTCTTGAAATTTGAAATTGTGGCACCATGCAGGATAGGGATGACCATATCTCACATGATTAACTTCCAAAATATGGAGCATATGCATCTCAAATGTACTCAAAATGGTGTATGTACTCTTACTTTGTCATAATATTACTAATAAGAAGAAAAATGATTGTACAATTTTAAAATATATTAATTCTCATTTTGGCTTCTGACGTCCCAGGGGTGACCATATCTCACATTAATAACTTCCAAAATATGAAGCATATGTATCTCAAATGTGCTCAAAATGGTGTATGTACTCTTGCTTTGTCATAATATTACTAATAAGAAGTAGAAAAATGATTGTACATTTTAAAAATATTAATTCTCATTTTGGCTTCTGACGTTCCAGGGGTGACCATATCTCACCTTAATAACTTCCAAAATATGGAGCATTTGTATCTCAAATGTGCTCAAAATGGTGTATGTACTCTTTCTTTGTCATAATATTACTAATAAGAAGTAGAAAAATGATTGTACGATTTAAAAAATATTAATTCTCATTTTGGCTTCTGACGTTCCAGGGGTGACCATATCTCACCTTAATAACTTCCAAAATATGGAGCATTTGTATCTCAAATATGCTCAAAATGATGTATATAGTCTTGCCTTGTCATAATATTACTAATAAAATGTAGAGAAATGATTGTACATTTTAAAAATATTAATTTTCATTTTAGCTTCCGACGTTCCAGGGATGACCACTGACCATATCTCACCTTAATAACTTCCAAAATATGTAACATATGTATCTCAAATGTACTCAAAATGGTGTATATAGTCTTGTCTTGTCATAATATTACTAATAAGATGTAGGAAAATGATTGCAAATTTTTTAAAATATTAATTCTCATTTTGGTTTCTGACATCCCAGGGGTGACCATATCTCACCTTAATAACTTCCAAAATATGGAGCATATGTATCTCAAATGTACCCAAAATGGTGTATGTACTCTTGCTTTGTCATAATATTATACTGATAAGAAGATTATACATTTAAAAAATTTTAATTTTAGCTTCTGAAGTCCCTCAATAACTTCTAAAATTATGTAACATATACAACTCAAATATACCAAAAATGGGGCATATGGTCTTGCTTTGTCATAATATTATTCATGAGATGTAGAAAAAATTATTGCACCTTTTTTGAATTGAAATTTTCATTTTAGCTTCCGAATCTGATATCCCAGGGGCAACTATATCTCACCTTGATATAACTCTCACGATATGCAACATATGAATCTCAAATGCGTGCCCAAAATGGTATAAATATAGTCTTGTTTTGTCATATTTATTGAGATTCATGAAATCAGAAGTTCAGAATTAATGGATTGGACTGTCTCCCCTGCAGGCTTCAGCTACATATAGTCCAGAGACATTAAGATCTACTTTCAAATATTTGCATCTTCTCCCCAAACACTCCTTATATTACAGGAACAATGGACGATAAGTTTTTTGCATGCCTTGGATGCAACATCTTTTGTATACTGGTAGCCTATCAGTAGTGTGAGTAGCCTAGCCTCATTTACCCAAATTGGCCCCTTAACCCCAAATCTGACCCGAAATTTTGAAAATATCCTGAAAAATTAGGCCTAAAAGGCGCATTTATGCCCAAACATACACCAAACTGTCCCACTGCTAAATTACAAGGGCGATAAGTCGCTTCTAATCCTGATTGACATTCTCTAGTTTGCATGGTTTGTCATGTTGTGCTATATTGTTATTGCCCAATCTCAACAATTGTATTCACTGTATGGCCTACCATGCCAAGAATAATGCAATTGTTCCAAAAGCTAATCTCTTCTTTAGGAACCTAGAAGTGTGGAACATCACAATCATAGATTAATATTTCATTACAATCAATGTATGTTGTATGACAAACATGCAAACTAGAGAATGTTAATGTGGCTAGAAAGATTTATCATTACAAAGAGCTCCTTTTCCCGTATTTTACATACTCAAAATCCCTTAATTCAGTGTATAATCCAAGGTGCATATATTACAGGGCACAGGATAACATGTTAACACCTTACATTAGCAGTTGCCATTACTTCATGAATGGAGTAAAGTACTCCCACTATTGACAGGCTAAAGGATTCCTGTATGGATTACAAAAGATGTTGGGTCAAAGGTATGCAAGGGAATAATCTCATCCATTGTACTTGTAAAGGGTGTTTGGGGAGCAGATGCAAATATTTGAAAGCAGATATTATTTGCCCTGAATTATATGTAGCTGTAGAGGACACAGTCAAAATCCATTGATTCTGAACTGTTGATTTTATGATTCTCAATAAATATGACAAAACAAGACTATACTTATACCATTTTGAGCACACATTTGAGATGCATGTTGCATATCGTGAGAGTTATCAAGGTGAGATAGCCCCTGGGACACCAGAGGTTAAAATTAAAATTTATAAAAAAAATGCAATCATTTTCTACATTTCATTAGTAATATGAAAAAGACAGGACTTTTCTGAGAATATTTGAGGATTATATGTTACATATCTTAGAAGTTATTATTATTATGATATGGTGCGATATGATTACCCAGGAACGTAAGAAGCTAAAATTAAAATTTTTGAAATGTATAATCATTTTTCTACTTCTTATTAGTAATATTATGAAAAAGCAAGAGTACATACACCTTTTTGAGTACATTTGAGATACATATGCTCCATATTTTGGAAGTTATTAAGGTGAGATATGGTCACCCCTGGGGCGTCAGAAGCCAAAATGAGAATCAATATTATTTTAAAGGTACAATTATTTTTTTTTACTTCTTATTAGTAATATTATGACAGAGCAAGAGTACATTCACCATTTTGAGTACATTTGAGATACATATGCTCCATATTTTGGAAGTTATTAAGGTGAGATATGGTCACCCCTGGGACGTCAGAAGCCAAAATGAGAATCAATATTTTTTAAAATGTACAATCATTTTTCTACTTCTTATTAGTAATATTATGACAAAGCAAGAGTACATACACCATTTTGAGTACATTTGAGATACATATGCTCCATATTTTGGAAGTTATTAAGGTGAGATATGGTCACCCCTGGGACGTCAGAAGCCAAAATGAGAATTAATATTTTTTAAAATGTACAATCATTTTTCTACTTCTTATTAGTAATATTATGACAAAGCAAGAGTACATACACCATTTTGAGTACATTTGAGATACATATGCTCCATATTTTGGAAGTTAATCATGTGAGATATGGTCACCCCTATCCTGCATGATGCCACAATTTTAAATTTCAAGAATTTTTTTCTCCGCCTGTACAAAAGCTATTGATCCAATTTTAAGTATGTGGTATGAACATATATAGGTCCTTCAGAATGAATTTTTTTCAGTACATTTCGTACCTTAACGAATCTAAAATAAGTTATTACACGTGGTAGAAGTATGAAAATAGGTGGCGCCCCTGTAGTGAATTTCAAAATATGCTCTGATTTTCAGCCTAATTCACACAAGAAAATTTATACTGATTGTAAATAATGTTTTTGATAAGATTTTATTAGTATTTCAATGTCATTTTACTATTTAAATGTGTTAAAAATTATTTTATACCCCTACCCCCTGTTTGAAAATGAATAGATGGCGCCTCTTTAACTGCCCATAGCGAATTTACTTACCACACATTTTTATTCAAGTTAGGTTAATTTACTCTAGAGAGTGTCTGGAACAAAATGATACCCTCAAACCTTTTTTACTAGCCGATCACCGAAATCGGAGCTGGGGACAGCATCATACGTAATCAACTTCAAAATGAAAAAAACTCCCATATCCATCACTAATATGAATTGAAGTTATCCAAGTATCAAGGTAAGATAGTGTTGAGAATTTGAGATGATATTTCACAGATTTTGCCAAAACCGCCTTATATTTCTTCTATATGACTTTACCCATGTAGAGGTCGCGAGTGTATTAGTTTGAAATTAAAAATAGATATGCCCTGGCCATCTTTTTAAATGGGGCACAAATCCAAAAGTTTACCTCGAATTATAATTCATCAAGTAGTCCACTGTTTTGTTCCAGTTGAATATTGTTATAATTGTGGCGAACCTACTCTTGATCGTAAGCCTCATAATCATAACGTTGTGGCAAAGCCCCATCGCCGCTGTGGGTTTTGGTATCTTCATCCTAGGGGTCACTCTATACGGGCTCATCATAGCAGTAGCACTAGCATCGTAGACGTTAGAGTTGTACGTGTTGCAATGTCTTCGAGCGATCTGTATTTGATCTTAGTGAAAACGTCTACAAAATAGGCAATGTGTGGATGAGAATTGTATTGGAAACTTCGCACTCCTCGCAATCTTGAAACAATTCTTAAATAATGAATAAGAAATTAAAAGTAAACTCGGATGATAAATATCAAACCATGTCCTCCCAACATTACTTGGCAACTAACATGTCTAACCTTCCAAGGTTTTGCATCTCCAATTTCCCCGTTGTGCCGCATATTATAGTTTACTTGCATTTTGATTGATCAAATATGACAATACACCGCCTGTATTACAATTAAATTCAAGATCATGGGAATAGAAAGTTTAAGATACAGAACCGGCATTAAGAATCGACATACGAGTACTTTTAAATAATCAAGTTAAAGTAAATAATCATCATGTAGTTAAATCACTACATCTATTGAATAAATACAGAATATCACATCATTTTGAGTGATATCATTTTTATCGCCGAGTTGATATCAAATATCAACACGAGTGAGCGAAGCGAATGAGTGTTGATAGTTGATATCTACGAGGCGATAAAATGATATCACGAGAAATTATGTGATATTGGGTTTATCCCATGATTACAATCACCTTGTGATGTTCTGATCCAATTTCCAGAACATTGGCAGACAATATAAACTAGAACTTAGAATATCAATTGAATATTTGAAACACTTTATTTTAACAATTAAAAGTAAATAAAATGAACATGTAAACATTGTTTTTGTCAGTTTTATGTCAGCTTATATTGGGTTTATCCCATGATGTTCTGATCCAATTTCCAGAACATTGGCAGACGGACCTATTTTCTCAAAAGAGAATAAATTATTTGACCTAATTTCCAACAATATTGTGGCGCGAAATGCAAATGTGATATCACACGGATATGCGTGAGATAAACGATATCACACGCATATGAGTTTGATAAACGATTTTCTGGAATATATCACACGGATTTCAATAATATCAGAAATATCAATAGCTGTTATTGTACAGATAACACATTAATCGTGGGATAAAAGGCATTAATATGCAAAATATCACCACCTGACATTTGTAAAAGATGTATGCTGACCGCCAAAAAGTCGGAGACTACAACAATATGTCACCACTTGTGACATAATAAAACTCCCAAACTAATATGAAAAAGTAAAAGCAAATGTTTCATCTTTTAGTAACATTTATTTCATATTTCAATATTTACATCATTATTACAATAATCATTTGTGATTCTGGGAATAGTTCGTGCTTTATACCATTATATTTAAATAAAATTATTTCTATATTCAGCATGAGTTGTGAATCAATGTAAGCTTTTACTTCCAAATGAATTGTTCATATGGGGGTATCTTTGTTCCAAGGCAGGTTTTGGAACAAAGATGGGGTTTATTCAATTCTTGCATGGTTCCATAGAATCTTGAGCTAAAACCCAGCTACTTTGGTTTTATCAAAATTTAGACAATCTTTCACCATCATATCTTGCTACTAGAAATAGTATATAACAAATATCTAGTATTACCGTATGATCTGTAAAATGAAGCCTTCTGATTGGCCAGTTCTTGTGCTGTACCAATCTGTATTGCTACTGAGATTGTGCCCATTGATCATCTCTGTCACAATACAGAAAATATTGGTATGGAGGGGACAATCTCAGTAGCAATTCAGAGGATCACACGATAAAAATGTTATTGAATGATTTGAAGTGCAATACAGGATATATTCTGCTCTCGATATTCTGTATTGTCACTCGACTTCGTCTCGTTCCAATATGGAATTTCTCGAGTAGAATATATCCTGCATTGCACTTCAAATCAATCAATAACTTATAATACTTCAACAAAATACACAGTTTGTCTTGAGACAATAATATTGCACATTTCTCATAACATTGCATCCATAATGCTTTCATGTTTCATAGTATGAGTTAAATAAGCCAGTCTTACTTTAAACCAGAGGCTTATATCATATACATGTATCTTGATTGATTCAAATGATTGATGTGGTATACAACTTCATACAGTACTTCTAACTTATCATAACAATGTACAAAGGACAATTATTGTATTCAAGAGGACCAATGGGTATGATTCTATTTGCAATTGATGTACATGCATAGATGAGTTAAGTTATATTGAATTTTTAATTCAGCGATGTGTGAAGTTAAGTAACACATACAGTAAAACTGTCTCGCTGAAATATTTCTGGAACATTTGTTTCTGACATACAGAATTTAGAAATGTTATACTATTACTAACTTTGAACAGACAGTTTTACTGTACTATAGTTAACGTGACATACTGATACCTTCAGAGTTCCACTAATAAATACATATATTTTGCTATCTGATTGTGCCATATAAACTAGGCCGACCACAGAATTAGGAAATTTGAAGTGACAAGTAGGACTTAACATCAATACAATCCTACATTTCTACAAATATTCTGATTGACAAAGTTCATTTTTATTCTATATTATCTAAAGTGAATTTCCTAGTGTCTAGTAGTATCTGGAATGTTAAGCCTTTGTAGCTGCTACATTTCCCCCATTGTTCTCTTTCTTGGTCTCAAGCTGTTTTCCAAGGTATTCCCTGCAATGTAAAGATGGCATTATACTAAAACAGGACAAGGCATTTACAGGCAAATGTCACCACTTGCCATTTGTTACAAACACCAACCTCCAAACACCGACAACCAAACACCACCACAAAAAAAGTTGGTGACTATTGCACTATGTCACCAATTACCCTGCTTGCAGAGTCTAGTTAAACTATACTCTGCCTAGTAGAGACCATATTACAGTTTAGTAGCCCCGCCCCCACGACGGGTACCGGTGACAGTTTGGGTAATAAATCACTTTTGACCTACGTGCTACTACTGCTTGAAGAAACATACGCCAAATGCGTTCTAATTAAATATGCGCATGTCATTGGTCAATTCCGGGCTCAACGATGACGTCAGAAGGAATGACCATATATAGAACGTCGGTCAAATTTGGCCGACGAACACTGATTGGCGCAGTGAGTTCACAGATTTATTTTAGTTTGAAAGAGTGAAAACGAAGCTCTCTTTTAAAAAGTGATGTAAAACGAATGCAAAGGGTAGTCACCAATGATGGTGCTGACATAAAAAAGAATCATTTCTACCTGAATATTGGAATTAACTGAGCATCCACTGAACACAAGAAAAAGTTCCCCTTTGGATATGAAATTCATTATTGATGTTGCCTAAACATTCATGTATTTTGCTTTAAAAAAGTAGAAAAAAGACAAAACAGAAGGCAAGTATATGCAACAGGGGAATAACATGAAAGCCAACTCCTTGATTTGATTTGATTTGAAAACTATATTTATTCTGGGTAGCTCTATCAGTACAAAAACTGGTCTTCCTAGAGGCCCAGAAACAGATCCCTGCAGAAACAGATCCCTTTTATATTTAATTGAGTATAGCTAATAGAATAGGATTAATGTTATGCAATTTGTTTCACATATTTTAGCAAATATAACCTTTCAACAGTGGCATTTATTTATGAATTCCACAACATAGCTGTGTACTTACCAGTTATGCACCATAAGTTTCTGTACAGCTAGTAGGGCCTCATATCTTACATTGGGGTCTTCATGGGAGAGATGTGTCATCACAAGCTGTTTACCACCAAGCTGTTCTATCACACTGGAATATAACAGGTGATGAATATCATACAAACATTTTGAAACAGGAGAGACATATGAGTTTGCTTCTCAACAAATACAAGTCTTATGAGCTACTTAGATAAAGACAAAAAGGTGCAATCCTAAACAATGATTGATATGCATAATATGTTATCAATATATTGCACAAGGGTGTAATAACAATTCTTGGAATGTGCAGAGTTACCTCTTTTGAAATCATAAGGCACACAAAAACTCTCTTTCTGATTGGACTAATTTTTAAGCTGGGAAGTTGCATATTCATGATTCATGAAATTCATTTCTAAATAACTAATAACCATTAGCAAATGACTTCTCAAATCCATATGGAACAAAGAGTATTTCAAACTATGCCTACTTTTTGCCCCTTGGGTAGTGTCTGACATATTCGCCAACATCATGTGCAGCAACAGAGAGTATTAAAGGGTCCTTGCTGGTCTCCAATAGCTTCACAAGGATCCTAGAAAAATATGAGAGCATATATGCATTACATGTATTAACAGATTGATGTACTAAAGTACATCATCAAGTTTATTTCAAAAGTAATTCTGATTCCTTAAAATGATTTGGGATTCATACATGAATCTTTCAACCTTAGACATTCATTTGGTTTAGATAGAATCTAGATCAAATTTTAATAAATGTGGTTCAAGAATAAAAAGCATGAATTTCTCAAACTTACTTTAGCAGTTCATAGTTTTTCTCATTTAGACGGCCACAATTTTCTCGCCAGAATTTTTCTGATTTGTGCACTGGACTCCACTCAAGACGTCCCGACTTCACTTCAGTGGAATACTCATCAAAGGAACTGAAAAAGTATATCCCACAGTCTTGTATATATGTGCATTATATTATATTAAATTATATGTGCTCGCTAGTCTAGAAATGAAGTAGCAGTGTTTCATATATATTAATTGAAATTACCAAAAAATCTCCAAAAGACTTTCATTTTGAATTTCATCTCTGACAATCGACCTACCTTAAATCTTGCACACTGGCCTGTAGTTGTTCAGTGAGGAACTCTATATCATCTGTGATATCATCATCATCAAACCTACGTCCATCTAGCAGCTGCAGTTGCTTCAATACCTTACACTGTACCATAGATAGAGCATGGTCCTGCCTGATTTCACGCTCTGATGGTTTCTCTAACATATTCTGAAACATACAGGTACATACAGTAACATTGTTATATGGATTAGCCCTTTAAGTGGAACCTTTGTAAGTGGAACACATTTCGGTCTAGTGGCCATTGATTCCATATTAATTAAACCTCTGGTGGAATACCTAAGTGGAACAATTTTTAGTGGAACCAAGGGTGTTCCACTTACACAGGTTTAACTGTACACTTTCTGGATTAAATATTTTGTCATTCTTATATGGACAGTAGTATGAGTTATGTCTGAATTTCATACCAGAGAAAAGTCTATTGATCCCAAATAAGTTGTTTAGTGCAGGGTCACAGGAAAAGCCTCAAAGACCTCAGGAAAAGTATTTAAGTCAAAACAAATCATATTTAGCTGGTTAAACAATATTTTCAAACTTTGCTCAGGACCCTTGAATTACCTGATATATATTACTCAATTTATCTACCATGCATAGAAGTAATGGGCTTTCTTTCTGGCACATTACACTAGACTAAATACACTTATGTGTATGTAAATCTATACTTACCCTGAATGTAGCTAGGATGATACGTGTCACTTTCTCCTTTACTGACTCACTGAGTATATCTGATAAGATTGGAATAACATTGTACCTAAAATAGACACGGCAAATGACAGTGAGTTTATGCGACATAGCCATGTTGGAAAAAGAAATAACCTATAGTGCAGGTGGGAGGAATGGGGAGTATTTAGTTTTCCATAAGATTAGAATCACAACTCTACCATTTGTGGATGCCTGTGTTACTGTATTTTCTATTTTACCATTGAATTTACTATTATATTTATCCATTTTTTCAACACATGATCTACGATACGTAAACTGTAGTTAATGAAAATGTGTCTGAAGGAGTCCATATTCAATATTCTAAATGTTAATTTGAAGTCTAGCAGCTGCATAGTGAGATATTCAGAAGCCACTTGATTTGATTCAATCAATTGATGTTTAGTGGAATGATTCTACAATCACAAAAAATATACTTAGTTATTCATATTTCAAATATAAAATTCATATGCCTTCTCTATTTACAAATTACAATACATGATGAATATTGCATGGTTTCACTGATTTATTTAGATTTTCAAAAATGTTAAGATAATTAGCATTATTATAATATATCTAAATAGCATCAAACATTGTACAGACATTTTAAACATGCGCAGAAAACCCAGAAAAGGTTACCTACAACATTAGTAATATGTGCACAATAAAGAACAACACACGGACACATTATCATTACTAATTAGGTAATTATTGATTAATATTATTTCTTACGAGGATTCAATATACCAGATGCACTTTATTTCAAGATTTCCCCAGGCCAAAGCATGAATAGATTAATAAGAGGAAGTAGTATAGGACAATTTAAAATAAAATATTAAAGCATTAAAATATATCAAAAATGAAATCCACCTCCACAGCAAACAAGAAAATAAATCTTACCCAAATAGATACATAATTGCTTAGAGTACATACATACATTTCAAAGAGTTGATGCTAAATACAACCAAAGCAAGCCATGACAAGGTAAATCTGCACACAATACAAAGCATCAAACAATAACTGTATTTGTTAATAAATTGGTGTGGCAGAAGTGTTTCCCATATTGGATACATCCGTGTCGAAATAAAAAAATTGGGGGTTTTCTTGATGTTAAATGAAAAAAAAAACATTTTGAATCTGCATACTTAAAATAAACTTTATTCAAGATATTCAAGGAAATCCAAAATAAATATCTGTTACCGATATATGATAAAATAAAGACAATTGCCAAATGTCCTTAATGTTATAGGAATCTAACATACCGTATTTGTATTTATTTCAATTTGTATTTATTTGATTCAATTTTTTAAAATTGCCAAATATGCCAAAATAAAAAGGTCGCCAATGAATGAACAAATACAGTAAGCACAATACAACATTAGAAAGTTTTTGAAATAATTATTTATTTTTTCTCAATATATCAAACACAAAATGAAAGGGCATATTAGTGTAAAGGGTGGTAGGAGCATTACAAAATGTGAAAAGAGGTGGTGAATAAAATATATTCATTTTCTGATGAGTTATACTTCAATATACATTTTCATGGTATATCATTGAAAACAATTTCTAGAAGTACGAGAAAGAGGAGGGACAAACTTGAAAAACAGGTTCTTGAAGGCCCATGGAGAAACTAGAAACTACCCATTATCCATAACTTCAAAAATTATGTATTCCAAAATTGTATTCACCACCAGTGTTATAAGGGGTTAACAAAACAAAAACAGCATACTCAGAATCGACTGACTTGTTCATTCTCTCAGCAAGTGTTGTGTTGAAAGTCATACACCACAGACAGAATGTCAACTGGTACTGGATCTGGAAGCCAACTTTTCCTGCCAGCACTGATATCAAACTGAAATAATAAACATAAAGCTGCAACAAGGGTGCATACATGTACAACATGTTCCCACCAATGGGTGATCCTATGTAAGTTTTTAAGACAAAATCCAAGTTGTAGACTTTAATAACAAGAAACACCCATAGAATTTCAGATTGATGGCTCAAAACATGTATAGAAGACTTTACACACAATATTTTAGGATGGAAAATCCAAAAAGGATGGACAGACACACTGACGCACCTCAAGCCAACAATATGGCCCCACGCTATGTGGCGAGGACATGAAACAGGTATAACCGAATGTGTGAGGTAGAGATAAACTTGATTTATTACAGTATATCAAGATTTACATGACTGAACATTGAGAATTTCTAGCTCCAATGTTGTAGGCAATACTAGGCATACTTTGTTTCTATAAACTGTCTCTTCCATTTCATACCTTTCTGTATATTCATCTGGTCATATTACTTACGTGCTAATGCCATCTACCTCCACAAAGGCAAATCTGTACTCATCTATCCTCAACATCATCTGTAGACAACGAGCTATTGTTTGCAGATATTCGTTGTTCTGAAAATATCAAACAATAATATACTGTGATAGTATTTGAGAAAGATTGCTTTTTCTAGATAATCATGCTCACTAGACTAGTGCTGGGTATTTTTTTGATCATTTTGATAATCATTAAACATTCAAATCAATGAATGGCTTGAACTTTTTAACATAGACCCATTTCCATTTCCCAAAACCAATTTCAAACTACATGTTATCATACATGCAAGACCTCAAATCTGCATGTTAGTTAAAGCAGGCAGTTAATCTGCATCACTGGCAATTATGTGATACCATATTCCCTCTAATAGACACACATACTCCATTAAACGAACACCTTACTTTTCCATGAAAGAACTTGGTTATTTTGCACTGTGCATTTAATAGAGAGAAAATGGAAAGAATGTTTGCATCGATGCAAAGACATTTCATTTAGTAAAGAGATATTAAGAAACAATATACAATATTAAGAGATTACTGGACATCATGAACTTTGAATCATCATGACAGTTGCAAAATGGTGAATTATACATTTAACCAATAAACAAGCAAAGGACTGATGAGCCAGCAAAAATGATTATTAGTATACGATTTTATGCAAATGAATTGAGGCATCATGTTAGGACCCATAGTAATGAACACAAAGGATTTTTAGCAATTGAATATATTCCAAATTTCAATTGCTATAAGTCAAGTGAACATTGTGCATATTTCTTTCATATAAGCATCTGATATAAAGAATCATAGATTCACCCCGCCAGATCCCCGATATGGTGTCTTGGGAGAAAAAAGATGTCTGTGGTCTTGTAACTCCTAGAAATAATAGCATTATATCATATAAAATATTATATTTTGAAGATTTTAGTTGGTAAAATGAAGTTTAGAGATCTGAAAACATTTTTTTTACCGTACATGGTTTGCTTTAGAGGGATACATATGGAAATATACACTTACTAATATGTCAAAATATTTTTTCGAAGCAGAGTATAGTAGGTAGGTGAGGTTCTTATACAAATACTTTGGGATTTGTAGTCATCTCTTTTACCATACAATGGGATACAGATATTATCAAAAATAATTTATCAATATTTGTAAATAATATATATTTCAAACAAGAAGCTTGCTAATACTGAATGCTCCTCTTCGCAAGATGCTTATAAGAAATGCATTACAGCTTTAATCAATTCAATAATAATGATATCAGATATCAGAACACATGATTTCATTCCGTGTTTTCACTAACCAATATCACCAATCAGATAACACTTCCATTCTGCCAACTAGATTGGAATAACTTCAGACGAACAACATGTTTCATCAAATATCAAGCATATGAGATATATGCAATTTTTAACAGTGCCTCAAATCTGAACAGCAATGATAGTCTTACTGTCTGCAATGTTCAGTGCTCTAACATTCCTGATCAATAACAGCAGAAGCGTCAATTTACATGTATGTTTTTTCATTAGCATACAATGCATGTACTTACAGGTAGTTTCATCTGGTCTTTCAGCCAGGTTAGATAGTAATGCAAGTCTGAGCCATCCATGGGTTCTCTCCCCCAGCAAGCTATTTTGGCAATTATGCGGCTAGTCTGAAATAACATTACTGAATGTTACCTTTGTACTTGTGTGCTATAAGAGAAGCAATGATAGTAATGACTAAAGAAAAAATTAAGTACATCAAGACTTCATTGATAATAGCCCTTTGGTAAAGTTAAAATGCTGGATTAGTGAACGGATCCATAATTTATGTCTAAGTGATGAAAATAAAATGTAAATATTAGATAACCAATTTTTCTTTTGATTCATAATTGAAAATTTTGTTTAAACATATTTATTTGCTCCAAAATATCCTTGTAAATCTCAAACCATTTTTTCAGAGAATGCTTCTGTACCTGATTCACAATGAAACCATCGGACCTGTTCAACATGTTAAGGAATGGTGTCCAGCAGGACTCTTTCTTCTTCTTGGCATACTCTTTGAACAGCTCCACTCTGGACTTGTCCTCCTATAGATGAAGTAGGGTATGAGATTAAAAATGTTGTTTAAGTTATGTATACCACAGGTCTAGAAAGAAACACATATAGCTAGTACTCATATGATAATACAAAATTTTGGACAAAATATTTCAATAAGGTTAAAAATATTTGATAGACAAACCCTATTAATCTAAGTTAGTAGTGATCGATAAGCCTGTAATGAAGTTAAATATGAATTAAAAACATTTATCATTATTTTGTGCTCTTTAATTCTATTTTCAACATACATATGTGACCAAAATTAGCAAAATTCTACTTCTAACCATATAGGAAATAAAAGTCAAATATTTATCAAAATAATTAATAATGTAAATAGTAATGATCATCAAAGTAAGATAATTAATTCTCATGCAAACACATACCTGTAGCATATCATCTATCATGGTTAAGATATACTGTACAGTCTGATCTTTGGAAATGTGATAGATTAGATTGAGGAATGTTTTAACACACTGTGGACCATGTTCAGCGCAAAGTTTCTTGCGACTCTCAGGTGTAGAGTTGTCAAATTGTGTGATGAAGTTGTAATCCTCCTGGGATATCATCTGGCCCCTGAAATTGAAAAAAGGATATTCTAATATGAGAACTGTATTCTCTGTCTGAGGTCCAATCGTTTTATCGTGAATCAGATACAGAAGTATTTTTTTTGAAAAAATGTTTTGAGCTTTACAATGATATTTTTGAGCAAACATATAAGAAAGATAGTCAAAAATACCTGGAAATTTCATGGCAATTTTTGCCAAGAATGACTTATTTGCAGCATCACGACTGAGTAACAGCATATTGTTCTTATTTATTGGATATTTGATATTATTATATCACTGTCATATTCCTCACTCTCTTATTGGTCCATGTCCTACACGTGACCAAAAAATAACTAGCCATATTCAACGGAAGTCACGTGACTTTCGGTGAATATCAAATGATATTCAACGGTCAAGACTTATACATCCCCGGGGTTGACTTAGTCCAGTCTAATTTTCATTTTATATATCCCATAATAACCAAAATGGCAGACGGTAAACAAAGGTTTCCAAATATTTCTGCTGAAGAAATTGATAGAATCCACAGGAATATTCATTCAGATAACACAATAAAGGCAACAAAAAGATCAGTGAAGATCTTTCAAGATTGGATATCTAGCAAAGACGATGTGATTGATTTGGAAAATGTATCAAAATCGTAGTAGTTGTTATATTGTTAAAGGAAATATAAATGTATTTCAATGTTAACATATGACTTATCTAATTATAGAAGATGTAATGACAGTGATATAATAAAACAAATATTTAATTCCATTTTCGGTGACACTTTCACAAGATGATATTCCACTAGCCCTTCGGGCTTCGTGGAATATCACTTGTGAAAGATGCACAGGTATTCACCTCAATAGAATTAAATATTTGAATAATATTTGATCATTCCTCAATATTTCTCAAACTTTGAGAAGTGGGGTAGTTGCTTATTAGGGGATGGGCCCTTATTACAGAGAAATCATAAGAGCATTTTGGATAATATATAACTCACTGCAAATATGATTGCCAGTTTACTCTATTTGCTCGGACCTCAATGGCTCGTTGCTGCAACAAACTTGTGGCCACCATTACACCTGCAAAATCAACGAACAATTTACTTTGGTGACATCAGGGAAAAGGTCTATCTTGCTGTCTGACACAATATTGGGCATGTCGTTTACAGACATAAACAAAATCGCTTGAGGGTACCCCCATAAAAAAAATTCCCTTATCCTAATAAATCCAGATTAAGAAATTGAAAGAAAGTGTGCCTGTGTGGGAATCGAACCTAGGACCCTTAGATCCAAAGTCTGATGCTCTTCCGACTGAGCTAAAAAGGCTTACAGCTGGGCCATTGTAGCAACTTGATATTAAGGGTCATTACAATATATTTGGAGAAACAAAAAAGGTAAGTGGAATAAATCAGAAGATGGTTTCAAGTTATTACAGATATCAATTTGAAACTCAAGAATGCTTTCTTAGACTCATAATGACAAAAAGACGGGTAACTTTTGACATTGGTATCCATGGGTGTAGGGCTATATTTTGAGTTGGTATGCACACTCGGAGCTGCCGTGCATCGCGGGGGTCTGGGGGTATGCTCCTCCGCAAAATTTCTTTTCAAAGACGTTATTTGATGGAATCTAAGCGTTTTCATCAACTTTAAATGTTGACAATGGTAAACATACAGATACGGTAGGAAGCATCAATAAATTCGCAAATAAATTAATGCATTTTAACACATTTTTAATTTTTTTCAAATCTATTTGGTACGCCTGTGCATATTTTGCATAATAGGCGCTATGCCCATGGTATCCAGCTTAGTAAGCAGCCTTGCGTGGAGACCCTATCTGTTGCAAGACTAACGCCTGGCGTAACCGTCACCATGTTATTCAGTGTTTTTAAGTAGCGCAAGGATCCTGCCATGACCGTGGTAATGTTATCGTGAAAGCCTGGTATAACCGCGACAATGCTGTATTATATTGCAATGCCTGCCATGACCGTGACAATGTAATATAGTTCTTCAAGGCTTGGTATGACCGTAACAATGTAATATAGTACTGCAAAGCCTGGCATGACCGTGACAATGTAATATAGTATTGCAAGTTCAGGTATGAGAGTGGTAATGTAGAAATTTACGATTAGGACTGCTATAACCGTGACAATGTGTATTGCAAAGCCTGGCATGACCATGGCAATGTAATATAGTATTGCAAGGCTTGGTATGACCGCCATGGCAATGTTATATAGTATTCCAAGTTCGGGTATGAGAGTGGTGATGTAGAAATTTATGATTGCTATAATTGACCGTGACAATGTGTATTTGAAAACCTGGCATGACCATGACAATGTATTATGGGATCGCAAAGCCTGGTATGACCGTGACAATGTAATATAGTATTGCAAGGCCAGGTATGAGGGTGGTAATGTAGAGATTTAGGCTTAGTTCTACTATGACCGTTATAATGTATTGCAATGACTAGTAAATATGTATGACATTAATGCCAGGAATATCCTTAACAATTTTAAGTGATCCTCGTCACAGTTTAATACTATGATCAAGGTGTTTAACTACCTTAATCATGTCAAAATCAAAACTACCACTATACATTAATATTCACATTCGCTTATAAACCACAATAAAGGCTACGGTCGCGCCAGGCTTCCACGATAACACTTCCAGGGTCATGACAGGCCTTGCAATAGAATACAGCATTGTCACGGTTATACCAGCCTGTCACGGTTATACCAGGCTTACACGATAACACTACCACGGTCATGGCAGGATCCTTGCGCTACTTAAAAAACACTGATTAACATGGTGACGGTTGTGGCAGGCGTAAGTCTTGCAATAGATAGCATGTGCTTGCGTGACGACTCACAGAATCTAAGGCTTCCTAAAATCTATATATACAGTCTGTGCGCAACCTGCATTAAGAAAACGGGTCCAGGGTTCTCGGACTTGCAATAAATTTGTGATACAAGATTGCGACCTAGATTCAAAAGAGTCCAACATTATAAAGCTGAAAAGGGGAGGAAAAAACCTTTTTGATTTTGACAAAAAAATAGCCCACCTTTTTCAATGTCATCTATGCTGGATATGACAGCATCAAGCCTACCCATGCCAGCCATATTACTTCCTTAGTCTACTTTGGTTATTTTTGGTATGCTCCCCTCTGTCAGATGGTCGTGATTTTATCTGCAGTCATCAAAAACTGATAAAGTTTTTACTTTTTTTATTTTTATGAAAATAAAAGTCATGTGACCATTTTATGTGGATGTCAAACGAGAATACTAGAAAACGAATTCACTATATTTCAACATTGATGCGTTTGACAAAATGTATCAAATTGGCAACATAAATTAAAAAATATAACAAGATAGTTGTATAGAAATTTTAAACATTTTTTACCATAGAATATCAAGAATTATTTGGTATTTAAAAATTGTCTGTCCCTCAAGAGTTGGGCATCTTGTAAAACCGGATGTAGAAAAATGAAATTTATCCAAGCACCGATATTTCCTCTAAGAATCGGCATATTGGGGCCTTATTTGGTACGTATGTCTTGTAAGTTACTAAAAATTAGAAAGACTAGATCTGTTTCTCGTTTTAACTGACTAAATCGTAGACAAACCTGACTTTCTAAACACAAAATTGTACACATGAAAACAAAAGAAAATCAAAGAAAATGCCGGGGTCGTAGGCCTCCGTGTTGGTTGGTCGGTCACGGTCGGTAATCTAGAGTAAGCTTTAGTAATTTATTAAGCTAATGATCCTACGACTTACGATCTGCTAGAGTTCTGTATCATAAATCACATGTACCCCATGAATGTTTCATGTATGTTGTCAACATTCTCCCTAATTTCTGAAAGCATGAGCTCTCTCTTGAAAGCCCATTCATGCTAAAGCTTACATCCTGCGAAAGCTATTCGGATTTTGATATAATAGCTTTCCCACAGCGCATTTGGACAGCTGAGTGATAGTGACCTTTGAAATCGAATTAAGTCGATCAGCGGCTTACTTTTGGTCACTAACTGTGTCTTACATCAGTATCATCAATCCGTGTAATATAATAAGAGCGCTGAAATACTTCTTTTTCGATCAAGACTTGTAAATTGTTCATCGAGTGAATGTTTTTTAGACCTATTTCCAATATGGCGGTTTGCTAGGAGCGAGATACGCAACAAACGAAATGAATTTTGAGAATTAGTTAGGTTCGGACAACCTCCGGAGATTTACGAAAACGCCATATTGGAATTTGGCAGTAAAACATTCACTCGACTAACAATTACACGTCTTGATCATGGCCATGTCTTGATCAAAAAGGAAGTACTTCAGCGCTCCAATACTTACACAGAAGGATGATAATGATGTATGTGACATAGTTAGAGAACAAAAGTAGGCCGCTGATTCGATTTCAAAGGTCACTATTAATCAGCTGTCCACTTCCCCGTTTGAGAGCCATAAGTTTCAAAATCTAACATGGCTCTCGAAGTGAGTAAACTAAAACCAGACAATGAGACATATGCAACATGTAAGCTGAGGGTGAAGGGGTATAATGTTGAGGCCATTTCATTTAAATTTGGTGTAACTTTGACATACAGTGGGGAACATAAAGAATTACTATAGCTATGAAAATTACATGCTGTCGCACATGTAATAAATTCTTACCTCAGTGTATTCAGTGCTCTATTTTCTCCGTCCTAGTAAGTCCAGATATAGTGGAATTTGTGTCCATAATGACAAATAAGAACTTAAAAATTTGAAGTGATATTCAATTCACATGTTAATTCCGACTCTTCAAATGTTGAGGTGATTTTGGAGCCTGATTACGGCGCAGTGAGGATTGGCTCCCAGAATGCAACATGACATGTGCCAGCTTTCAAAATGCCGTTCCACCATTTTGAAACATGTCACGTGTAAACAAGGGTAACTGATGTTGCATTCTGGGAGTCAATCCTCCTTGGATCACAAACATGGCGGTTCATGAAAACATTCTTTCGATTTGATAGGGATTTATCTATCATTTGCAGGTATGATGCTTTGGATTCATTTATTGTGCTACTTAAAGTGAACGGGAATTATTTTTCTACCGCTTGGGAGAGTTTGAGACACGAAATTTAGCTCATTGTGAAAACTTTTGATGGTTGAGGTTTATTTTTGTTCCCCACATTATGTGGGCAAATTTGACGCATTGTTGTTTATTTGCTCTACTCTCCGATCAAGGTGGAACGAAGCCAGGTTTTTCTTCTCACAATTATCAAGATCTCACAAAAAAAATTCCGAAATCAAACATAACGAAAAAAGGAAATTCTAGTTTCTAACATTGTTAGTGTCCAAATTACCTCATTTCTTGTGTCAACATTACCCTACATGTTTATGTTATACCTCTTTGCCCCTGGCCTCCATATAGTTCAACAAGTTTATACAGCTTTCCTTACTAATCTGAATTTTCTTAAAAAGCTGCATTGGGTTTAATTTCCATGCTACATCATTTATTCTAGCAACATAAAATTGCAACAAATACCTAACAATAATACAGAAATGCCTACCATCAAACAATTCCACATATGATTCACTTGTATACATTGTGGTCTACAATGTAGATTAGATCTACATCCATTTATAAAAGCACAAAATGAACGCATCTTGACATTGTTACTGTTTTCTGTATTTTTCAGAAAAGACCAACGAACTGCAACTAATCCAGCAAAAACACGTATGTAACATTTTTTGTTATGAGTGATTGACTGGGGTACAACCATACTACTGTAGTTAAATCTTTCATGAAAATGGCGTCTGAAGGAGGAAACAACACCATTGGTAGTGACACTGATCACCAAGGGTCTTCTGTTGACGATGCTGTTGTTAATGGGGTATTAATACAAAATACACCTGCATTGAAGTATGAGGAGACAACTGAACATGATGAGCCATATGTTAGTGATAGTGCTAAACAAAATGAACCATTCACAAATGATACATCAGAGCATGTAGAGCCCAGTACTGAAATGACAGATCCACTGCAAGAAGATAATGAAGGTGGATTTACAAACATAAAGACTGAAGTAATTGACCCACATTATGAGGATGCAGCCATAAATCCAGGAGATTTTGAGACAAATATTGCTGGTTCAGGTGATGAAGGAGGCTACATGAATGGTGAGGATGATGGCATGGGAAGTGAATACACAGATCACACTAATAACTATTTTGAACACAATATGTATGAGCAGACTTTTGGGCAAGAAGGTCAGATGGATTACAATGAAGAAGCTTTACCTGAATCCTACACACAAACTAAGCCACCTGGAAGAAAAAGGAAGAAGATTTCCAGTGTAAATAAATCAAAAAAGAACAATAAATCGAACAAAGGAAAGAAAAAGCTGCCAACGAAAAAGGCAAGGAAATCTAAAGAATATGAGGAGGATGTAAAGCCGAAAGAAAGTCTCACAAGAAGGCAATGTAAAACAATGATGCTAAACAAAACTGAAAGTTTAGAACATTTACGAAAGTCTGACCTGTTAACAATCATTGATGTGTTGCAGAGAGAGGTGAAAGTGCTGAAATCCACCAATGCAACTATAAGGAAAAATGCAAGTGGAAAGCGATCGCTTCAGCCAAGGAAGAGGGGCATCATCCCAGGAAGAAAGAGACGTACTTATGATGACATACCACATGAGAAGGTTGAAGATGGCATGCTAAAATGCCTCAAATGTAGTAAAGTTTTCTATAGAATGTTCCTGTTAGCCAGACACTACGACACACATAGGGAACGCCAGTATGAATGTGAAACTTGCAACAAGAAGTTTGGAAGCACAGGACTATTAAACAGCCATATGAAAGTTCACAAGAGTTGGGGATTCGCTTGTCACATCTGTGGAAAAGCATCTCGTATCCAGAGCCACCATAGAGATCATATGATGACTCACTTCAAGAAGGTTGGAGATATGAGGTTGAATGTACCAGGTGAACCAGAAAGTGATGTTATGAAATGTGCTGTCTGTTATGAAGATCTTGCATCACAGGATGACCTCCAAGACCATTATAACCTGCATGTTGGTATACATACCAGTGAGACATACTCCTGTGAGGTCTGCCAGCAGGCCTTTATGCAAAAGGCAAGATATGTAGAACATATCAATAAACACTCTGGACAGAAGCCTTTCACTTGTGATGTTTGCAATAAGCTATTCTGCCGCCAAGATTCTCTCACGAGACATAAACTAGACATGCATATAATTAATCCAAACGGTGAACAAATCTTTCAATGTGACCAGTGTCCTAGAAAATATGCCCGGAAGAAAACATTACGAGATCATATGAAGAGCCATAACAGAGAGCCTCAAATAATGTCATGTGAATTTTGTGACAGCACGTTTATGGAGAAAGATCAATTAAGAACACATATGAAGGATGTCCATCCACATGAGAAACCCCATAAATGTGACAAGTGTAGCCAGGAGTATGCGTTGAAAGATAGTCTCAAGCGCCATATCGAACGTGTTCACCATGGACAAAGTTTCATGTGTGAGTTCTGTTCTAGAACATTCAATGAAAGAAGCGTCTTGAAAACACACATGAAAATTCACGAGGATAAGAAAATTATGTATTGCGGTATCTGCTACCATAAGTTCACCAGAGATGACACTTTGAAGAAGCATATGAAAGTGTACCATCCTAGCAGAGAATCAGTTGAGCCTGTCTCCACCCCTCCCCCTGCTCCCATTAAGACTGAAGATGGAGATGATGATAATAATGATTTTGGTGGTCCTGATGACTTTGATGATGATGAGCCCACTGGACCTGTTAAATCATTCCTGTGTGACATATGCGGGTTCAATGCTCTACAGAAAAATAGCCTTGCTAAACATAAGAGAACAGTCCATGGGGAGGACAATGAGGAATTCCCATGTAAGATATGCGATATATCTCTCTGGAGTAAGCAAGCTCTACGGAAGCATAATTCAATGATACACAAAAAAGACACACCAATCAAGAAGACCCCCATCAAGAGAACCCCCGGTACTAAGAAACAAGGTGGACCATTTCCATGTTCGATGTGCAGCAAGATATGTTCAACAGAGGGAAAACTTAGCCAGCATTTTGCTTATAAACATTCAGATCAAAAACCTGTGCAGAACTTTGAAGGATGTGTGTGCCCAGTCTGTAACAAGACTGTGAACACCAAAGCAAACCTTAAACAGCATATGGCATTTAAACACGAGGGTGTCAAAGTTAAAACGCCCAAGAATCATGTCTGTCCTCTATGTGAGAAGCCTTACAGTATTAAGTACATGCTAGATCAGCATATGCGAGTGAAACATGGAATTGTAGATCTAGATAGCCCAAATAATTACCAGGAACATGCAACTCAGAAGGAACCAGGAGAGTTCTCCGGCCAGGGAGAATACATGTGCTATATTTGTAACAAAGAATGTGGTTCAGAATCCAAGCTGATCCAACATATTGCCCAGAAGCATAAAGATCATTTTGAGTTCAGTTGTGACTTATGCAAAGAGAGATTCTCTTCCAAAAATCAGCTGATCGCCCACAGGGATACTGCCCATGGCATTAGTGCATTTCCTGTAGCTAATAGCAGACCCCAAACAAGCGAGGAGGCTGAAAACAGGAGCAATAGTATGCCTACCTATATACCCCCAATGACAATTCAGACAGTGCCCACGAATGCGATGCACTCAACTATGCCCATGCAAATGCCCCAACACTCACAGCTACAGCTGAACATGCATCATGCAATGCCTATGAACCTTGCTATGCCACAATATTCCAATCATGGTCCCAATCATGGACATGAACATGGGCAATATAATTAAACAATGAACTTGGCCATACCACAATTAATATTCCAACCATGGACAGGAACATGGGCAGTATAATTAGGTTATGAACTTTCGCAATATCCCAATCATGGACAGGAACATGGCCAATATAATTAAATTATGAACTTTTGCAATATCCCAATCATGGACAGGAACATGGGCAATATAATTAGATTATGAACTTTCGCAATATCCCAATCATGGACAGGAACATGGGCAATATAATTAAATTATGAACTTTCGCAATATCCCAATCATGGACAGGAACATGGGCAATATAATTAGATTATGAACTTTCGCAATATCCCAATCATGGACAGGAACATGGGCAATATAATTAAATTATGAACTTTCGCAATATCCCAATCATGGACAGGAACATGGGCAATATAATTAAACAATGAACTTTCGCAATATCCCAATTATGGACAGGAACATGGGCAATATGATTAAACAATGAACCTGGCCACGCCACAATACCCCTATCATGGACAGGAACATGGTCAATATAATTAAACAATGAATCTGGCTACACCACAAAACCCCAATCATGGACAGGCACATAGGCAATATAATTAAATTATGAACTTTCGCAATACCCCAATCATGGACAGGAACATGGGCAGTATAATTAAACAATGAACTTGGCCATGTCATAATTGATATCCCAAGCATGGACAGGGACATGGGCAATATTATAAAACAATGAACTTGGCCATATCATACTTATAATCCCAATCATGGACAGGGCCATGGGCAATATAATGAACAATGAACTTGGCCATGTCATAATTAATATCCCAATTATGGACAGGGGCATGGGCAATATTATAAAATAATGAACTTGGCCATAGCAAAATAAATATTCCAATCATGGACATGGACATGGGTAATATGATAAAACAATGAACTTGGCCATATCATAATTAATATTCCAATCATGGACAAAGACATGGGCAATATTATAAAACAATGAACTTGTCCATACCAAAATCAATATTCCAATCATGGACAGGGATATGGTCAATATTATAAAACAATGAACTTGGCCATACCAAAATAAATATTCCAATCATGGACAGGGACATGGGCAATATTATAAAACAATGAACTTGGCCATATCATAATTAATATTCCAATCATGGACATGGACATGGACAATATGATAAAACAATGAACTTGGCCATATCATAATTAATATTCCAATCATGGACATGGACATGGGTAATATGATAAAACAATGAACTTGGCCATATCATAATTAATATTCCAATCATGGACATGGACATGGGTAATATGATAAAACAATGAACTTGGCCATATCATAATTAATATTCCAATCATGGACATGGACATGGGTAATATGATAAAAAAATGAACTTGGCCATAGCAAAATAAATATTCCAATCATGGACATGGACATGGGTAATATGATAAAACAATGAACTTGGCCATATCATAATAAATATTCCAATCATGGACATGGACATGGACAATATGATAAAACAATGAACTTGGCCATATCATAATAAATATTCCAATCATGGACAGGGACATGGACAATATTATAAAACAATGAACTTGGCCATATCATAATTAATATTCCAATCATGGACATGGACATGGACAATATGATAAAACAATGAACTTGGCCATATCATAATTAATATTCCAATCATGGACATGGACATGGACAATATGATAAAACAATGAACTTGGCCATATCATAATTAATATTCCAATCATGGACATGGACATGGACAATATGATAAAACAATGAACTTGGCCATATCATAATAAATATTCCAATCATGGACAGGGACATGGGCAATATTATAAAACAATGAACTTGGCCATATCATAATTAATATTCCAATCATGGACATGGACATGGACAATATGATAAAACAATGAACTTGGCCATATCATAATTAATATTCCAATCATGGACATGGACATGGGTAATATGATAAAACAATGAACTTGGCCATATCATAATTAATATTCCAATCATGGACAGGGACATGGGCAATATTATAAAACAATGAACTTGGCCATATCATAATTAATATTCCAATCATGGACATGGACATGGGTAATATGATAAAAAAATGAACTTGGCCATATCATACTTATAATCCCAATCATGGACAGGGCCATGGGCAATATAATGAACAATGAACTTGGCCATGTCATAATTAATATCCCAATTATGGACAAAGACATGGGCAATATAATAAAACAAAGAACTTGGCCATGTCGCAATTAATATTCCATTGCTGTATTTGTGTTTTATAAACACTGTAATGAATTTTTTATCTTGGAATTTCAGATCTTTAGGGAATATTGTTCAATCAACAGTTTTAGCACATAAAACAAAATTGACAAGGAAAACACTTTTTAACATTTAGAATTGTATTTAAAATCGGCTTTAATTTAGGTGGGATTTTTATCACATTAAATATATTGTTCATCTCTGATATTTCTCACTAATAGCTTTAATATAGGTGTAATATTTAAAATTAATTCTATCTGAAGATTGAATATACCAGGAAATTCCTCCTGCTATCTGATTGATCGTTGAATTTTGTTTATCATCATGAACCTGATTGGCTGCCTGGTTCAAGGTGCTTGTGTGACTCCATAGGGATTCCCCTCGCTAGCCGAGGAATAACCCAGATGTGAGTAGAAATAATCTTGATTTACGTCATTAAAAATTCAAAATTCAGTCAAAGTAATATCATATTTGAAATCTACATGTAAAATAACATCTAGAAATGTGGTTTTAAAAAGTGTTTATCAACTTTGAAAAATTTATTTTCTTTGAAAATGTGACTTCTAGCTCGGGGAGATTCCCCATAGACCCCATGCTATAAAATCACAAAAAATGAAATATCTTTTCTTTTAGTGGACAGATAATATTTTGCTTTACTGGACATATTTTCATTAGTATAAGTATCAGACGCATAAGGGTTATATGAAAATTGAGCCACTTAAATTGATAAAATTCAAGTTTAAGGGAACTTTCTTATATACCTGCCATGTTAATTGACCCGAATCAGCCACCTGGTGGTGAAACTGGTAACTACCTACTTGCATTTGGGTAATTGATTGTGTTTAATTCTGAAGGTTGGTTGTTTTGTTGATTATTTCAACATTTCGGCAATAATATACCTAAAAGTTATTCTCAAGATATATCCATGGTATGTGAGATATTATATGAGCAATAAAAATAGGACATCATTGATTGTCTGGGGGAGAAACCTATGGTATAATGCATCTTTAATGAATTAATATTATGTAAAGATTATATTGCTTATACAATTAACTTGCCGCTCAACTGTTCATTTATTTAAGATGTGTTGCATCCACTTTTATGTAGACTATAAAGATATTTCTCCTTTTGTTCAATGTTCATATACATATGTTATTTCTATATTTCATACATTCTCATCTCAGTTCTGTTGCATAATCAATCTTATTTTTTCTTAACCCGTTTTAGGCGTTTAAAGTACTGTAAATTAGCATAGTGCAGTGTAGTGTTGTATAGAATACTATTACTGGTAAGGAAAGACGGGATTGTTATTGCATTTCTTAGAGTCAATACGAACAACAGTTAAATTCTGTGCCGTAGATTTAACTTTAAAACTAAACCAGGTGCCAAATTATTCCAGGTTACAAGGAGAATGTCCGCAATATTTCATAAAAAGTGGATCTTTGATAATTAATACCAGTTGATATATATGAACATCAAAATATATAGTAATAATTACCAGTTGTCACATTGGGTTCAGATGGGTGTAGATTTTGTGAAGGCAGTGGGATTTGCTACTCCGGTAGTTACTGTTTTTAAAGTTTTGGATATTAATCATATAGAAAGCCATGCTTTTATTAAAGGGAAATTTTTATTTTTATGATCAATTTACCTTTAATTGGTGAGTTTATTACTCTGTGCCTTAATTTTAAGGCAGAAGTTGTTCTCAGTACATGTTCAGGTATATGTATCTATGAAAAAATAGTTTCATCCCGGTATTGTTCACATGATTCTTAGTGGTGTAATATTTTAGTACAGTAAAACCTGTCTAATTCGAACACCATTGGGACCGGCTTAAAGGTTTCAGATTAGGAGGTGTTAATTTTCAAGGTTTTTGCATTCGTGAGATTCCAGATAATGAAGAAATGTGAACACATATAAATAGTTCATCTAACCACCTAGCTTTACGGCATTTCAGAAATTTGAAATTTTTATTCAAATGAATCTAGTCAACCTGGAAAGCTCCATTATAATCAAGCCATTCAAGTTTCTTTCCCAAAGTTTTGATTTCATAATATTTGAGCAATTTTGTATAAAACTGCGCGTGAAATTTTATGAAAAGTGTTCAGATTAGACAGGTTAATTTTTTTTCAAATATGACTGTCCACTGTTCAAATTGAGAGCTAGAGGTGTTCACATTTCAAGTTTTTTTAACATGGGAGCCCATGGGAGGAAAAAATGGGACCGAAAAAATGTTCAGATTGGGAGGTGTTCTGATTAGCCAGGTGTTCAGATATACAGGTTCTTCTGTATATTGTTTTTATATGTACATGTTTATAAAACAATGTTGTAAATAAACAGAATAAATAATGAATGTAATATTAGACTTTAAGTTTGTAAAAATAGTTTGAGACAGTTAGTACATTTAAGCTGAGCTTGAACACTTCCTTACTAACCCATTCATTTATTTTCATATTTGTACATCTTTTACTTTACTTTTGCTATGTACCTTCTCATTTTCCCATTGCAATTTTAAAGATCCCCAAATTATTATGGAATAAAGTCCGAACTGTTTGATTTTAAGAAAACGGTATGTTGTGAGCAAAATATCATGTAAAATTGTGACAATGTTACAGAAAGTCATTCTCAAATCTTAATTACTCCTGCAATCCATTGTTAATAGGAACAAGTAGAATGCAGAAATATGCAGTAACAAGTATTTTTCAGTTTTAAATTTCTAAATCAGACACTGCTTTTATTGGCCATCATCAGAAATAATGTCATCACTTTTTTCAGTCTTGAGATACCAATTATGTGTTTAATTAAGAGGTTTTGAGATTTTATTGATCTTCAAATTCACAAAACTTTGGATCTTTCATCTAATTGGGTCATGAAATCAGTCAAGATGATGTCACCTGTGTCTGTGTATTCAGAATAATGCCTATTATGTAATAAATTTACAATAATATTGATATTATGAGTAACATTAACTCTAAAAATCATCACACTTTGTCATTGACACAGTTGCAATTGCCATTAGACCAAGAATGAAATCAGAGCAGATTGCTAATTTGCTTGTTGCAAAACAGAACTCAAGTTTCAAAAAAGAAAGATGTGATGAGTATTATATGTAGAGATTATCCTATATGAGGTTCAGGATATTGGGATTATCCCGAGGCCAATATAATAGGACTATAGGATAATATATTTATCCCATACCAATCTTGGTCATCTGGTTCACATTGTTCAATCGTGGAAATATTTTAGAATATTCATGTCCAGTTTTGTTTTCTTGACCGTGGGCGGACTTTCCTGTTCTCTCAAATATTCCCACATTTATTTTCTCGAATTTTTTTATTGATTAAGTGGGTGCTCCTTCCCTTTTTTAAACCATCAAACAGATCCCGATAGTCTGTGTTTTCTCCATTGTCGTTTACAGTCATTACGTGAATGTTACAAATTATGAACAAATATGCGAGCGGCGATTATGACGCTCGGAGCGGGACGTAAAGCTATATCTGCCCGCTGATGAAAATATAAGATTTTATAAACCGGCTTTATGTACCTGTAACACGTCCAAGTATGGGATAAATATATATATATTATATATATATTATGTATATCAGAAAGCATATCAGCCTCATTTCCTAAAGTATTAAAAAGTAAGTTACGATGAATGGAAAAATGTTCCAATTTTTGAACTTGCTGTATATGTTGGGGAAATTCTATACAGATAAATGGATGGAAAATGAATGACAATCATACTTAAGATTATTTCAGTAAGACATGGGCTACCATCTCCAAGGAGGGAGCGGGTACACACTATGTTAGCTTTATCTCCTCACTAAAGATTACATGGTAAGGTAAGCATACATTTTTAATTGATTGAGTGCGCTTTAAGATTGTGTTTAAATGCTCTGCTATTGTGATGATGTAATGCAACGTTAAATGCTATCTGTTTTTTACAGAAATGCAACAGGCTGAAAACATGATTTAATTTCTAATGCCAAAACTCCAAGCCCGGAAAGACATGGGTAGGTAAGTAGGATACCAATATTTTGCCAGACTTGCAGCTTGATTTTTACATTTTTTGTTAATGACTTGTTAATGTACTTAAAAAGTGTTCTTTCCCATGTTTTTCTAAAACATCACATGTTCACATGTCTGTCCACATGCATGCAACAGCAACAATTCTTGTCTTTGACCTGAAGCAATTAGAACAATGCAACATTAAATTCTTAGACAACATATTCCCTTGAAAAGTCTATGAAGGGGGGTATATCTCTGAACTTACTAGAGAAATAAGGATAAATCTCTCATCACACCACTAAAGTCTGACTAAGCAAATAACATATTTATCAAAAACATCATGGAACCTTAAATGTCTTGGCCAGTGATTAGATCAGGTCATTTAGTACCACTACTGGCCTTAGAGTATATAACTGCTTGGTCAAAATCACTTATCATTATTCATCTGCACTTGCAAAGGAATGCCTCTGGAAATATTGAGCTAGAAAAATAAGGAGTTTATACAAGTTGGTAGACACTTTCTGATCAAGATGTCATTCGTGCGAATTTATAAAGCCTTATTGCTTGTTTCTGCTTTATTTCTGCAGCTTTCTCTGGTACATGTAAGTAAATACATTTTGTTTACATATAATTTTGTTTACATATACATGTTTATTTACATATCTTTGTTTGGAATAAACAAGTCTATTTTTGATGTTTTACAAATGCATGTAATGCTGCACCTTGCCAGGGGTGTAGCTAGCCTCTGACAGTAGGTGAGGCAATTAAATAGGTGAGGCAATAGATTTATGAGGCAATTGAAAAGCTGAGGTTAATTTAAGTTAAAGAGAGTATTAAATGTTACAATTGGACATCATATTCACGGTTTCAATAAAAAGAGGGGGTAAATAATACTTTTCAGTAAATTTTAGTGAGGCTGCTTCGTGTTCGGATGCACTTTAATTTCGGGTTTATTTAGTGAAATCATCAAAATTATTTGCATAGGACACCCCTACCTGTCCTTGCATGTCAACTTTTACCTGGATTGGTAGAAGTCAGATGGGCATGACTATTGGACTAGTGAAATATTACATACCTAACATTAGTTACATTGGTACATTATAAAGTACATTTTAAAAATTGGACACACTTCAATATAATTCCACCTTTTACAATTTGAAAATTCTCTCTTGAATACCAATAAATTATTTATCAGGAAATATTTCATGGCTTTAATCTATTGAATCTGTTGAAATGTTATGAATAGATTTTTATTGTTATTTTTCAAAACATAATTATTATCTAAATGAGAATTAAATCTCAATTGAATGATTATGAGTATGCTCTATCAAAATTGTTTAGTATTTTAATGCAGTTGATAAAAGAAACATGGCCTATGGTTAATCAGTTATTTAAGTTCAACTCACTAATTATCAAGATTATATTTGTAATGAGACTCCAATGTTTACATTTTCTCAAGGTGATGTCCTGGATATTAAGTCCTTGGAGAGAGTTGATGTTGTTGATGATAGCAATACAAGTGTCTTGTTGAATGATACCTTTGTTGCACTACCTGTTAAATGTTTCAATTCCTAACAACTCATGTCAATCTAGATGTAGAAGGGAGTGTACATGTACTTGAAAATCACAATTATTTCAGATCTAAATTTTAGAAATGTGATCTCTAAATTCACAAAAGTTTTAATGTCAACCAAATATGTTGTCCAAATTTGAATTACAGTGTGCCCCCATTGGAACTAGGACTGAAATTGACTATGAACCACACCAGGTGGCACCACTCTGGCAGCCGCCCAACAACAGGAGCCTGGAAGACTGGCTTGTAAACAATGGGCAGACCCAGGAAGAGTGGCAGAAAGTTCAGGACATGATGGGGCAGATACAGCACCTTGATTGCCTGAGCCGTGACGGATGTCTCGATGATGGTCCTATGGTGGGTTTCTTCCTCAAAATCTGCCATTTAATGCAAATCTCTGTCTGTTTTTAGATGGTATACACTTTTGTCTTCAAACTATTTTGTATAGTATGCTTTCATTCATATGGTACAATCATGTTATAAATGCCCTTTGGTATACATTTACAGTCAATAAGTAATACAGAACCAACGATATCTGATTTGATGGATGATGACATTATACTAAACATGGAGCAAGCTATGTTCCTCCTGGAACAGATGCAGTCGAGACAGAAGAGAAAAGTGCACAACTTCGACAGATTCCCAACAAAGAAATGGTCCTCTAATAAACCAATCAAATATAAGTTTAATGGACAGCACAGTAAGTGTTCAAATTTTCGAAGTGCATATTTAGTCCTAAGTATGATACCATCTTTTTTATTTATTATTTTTATGCAGTCACTAGAGTGAGCATACATTGCTATGCAATTCATGCCAGTGCAATGGGCGATATTGCGGATTCGATATAATTAACTCTTATCATTCTAAGGCCTATGTTGCCACATGTTTTTAAGAAATCACATTATAAATTCAGTACTTGTTATACTCTATAACATGGGTGAACTCTAATTGACTAAAATGAACTTTATTGCAAATACAACTTTGTTCTATTATGTACCTATCAAGTAATGATGGTAGTGAGTAGGGGTGGGAGGGGTCGAAATTGCACGATCCGGGAGTTTATTGCTGTTCTGGAATATACACAGTCTGTGTGGCCCATTAACTGTCAATTGTATGTAATGAAAAAAAATATCTATACCATACTTGGCATTATCTACAGGTGTGTACCAGATGACCAAAATCCGTGGCGCCCTCTCTCACTGGCAGGAGCAAACTTGCTTGAGTTTTGAAGAGGTTCATCGTAACCAGATTGTCCCGGGATCTCATATTATCTTTGTGAAGCGAACTGGCTGCTCATCCTACTATGGTCAACAGGTCAGAGTGACCCCTCAGCCTATCAGTCTTGGGGCCAACTGCATTGGTTGGGTAAGTAAAAGCTAAACTGAAAACATGAAGTTTTGACAGTTATTCGTGTGCTTGTTCAAATCAAAATGATCTCTTTTGTCTTTATTGGAATTCAGACATGGGAGATAATGCTAGAATAAAAGGAATCGTGCAAAATTGAAGCTTGCATTACAAATATGCACTGTTGGTCATTACCCTTTACTAACACCATGTTTCAATCAATTTGAACTTTAGTGCTATTTTTAGATATTGGGACAGTAAGAATTTTTTGATATCAAGAATAAAAAAGCAAATTAAGCTCTGAAAGAAATTATTTCACTGCACAACTGAATTCAAAGATCATTGAACCTATAAACACATTTGTTGTAGTTTGGTACCATGGCACATGAGATTGGTCACGCTATGGGATTCTGGCATGAACATGCTCGACCAGACCGTGATGACCACATCAAAGTTGTTTACAACCAGATCTCAAGCACCAAGCAATCTCAATTCAGCAAACAGAACTGGGTGAACACCAAAAGTTATGGGGTTGACTATGATGTTGGCTCTGTCATGCACTACCATTCAAAGTCATTTACAAAAGCTGGCCAATTGACTATTAAGACCATAAACCCACTGTATCAAAGGACTATTGGACAAAGGGTGGCTCTATCATTTGCTGATGTGAAGGTTGCTAACATGGCCTACTGCGCAGGTACTCTTACATAACATAAGCTTAATTTTGACCAGCTAATTCTTAAAATGTGATACTCCTGTCAATGAGTAATTTATCCTTTTCTATTCATAGTACAGTATATACACTGTAATATCAAAAGATATAACATGTTTAATTATATTTTCAATTTACAATGGTATCCCTCTACATGATGACATCCAAGATCTATTGATGTATGATTAAAATTCTATAATCTAAAAACATTCATATAGGCAAGTGCCCTCAGCCTAGCAGCTTACTAAAGCCATGTCTACATGGTGGATACCAGGACCCCAAGGCCTGTGATAGATGTAGATGTCCTGATGGGTTGGCAGGTACATACTGTGATCAAGTTGCTCCTCCAAAGATTGGTGAGTTCTTATATTATCTTTAATCAATAATTTAAGTGACATTTATTACATTCTGTTAAAGAGCTGCTATGGTGAATTATGATAATACAGGGTGAGCCAAAAAAGGTAACCCAAACAAATGTCAATAACTCTGTCTTCCAACAGGGATTTCAAATCATATTTAGCACAATCAAACCTTGTTCAATGTTGTTTCAATGCTCTGCTAAGTTTCACTGGTCTTGTTTGAATGATCACCAATGAAACTTGGTTTAACGAAAAAACATTGAACAAAGTTCAATCCTGCCAAATATGAATGTAAAACCATACTGGATTATCATATCTGAGTTATTAACATTTGTTTAGGTTACCTTTTTTGGCTCACCCTGTAAATTATTGCAGTTAACAAATCAGTGATTTCATGTAAATTGTAAAATAGATTGAAAACATTTTAATGCTGCATAGCCTGAATTAATGAAATGGATAGACAGTGGTTGGAAAATGGCCTGGTATAATATAGTAATGTGAAACCCTTTTTCTCACTGATGTTATTCAGCAAAAATGACACAAATAGACAGATTTTTTTGTATGAATTGTTGCATGATTCAATTCAAATGAAATAACACATGTAAATTGTTTTGCATATATTCTAGCTGAGTGTGGTGGAGAGGTTATAGCTGAGAGTATGAACACTGTCCATTCACAGAGTATAGAATCTCCAGGATATAACTTAGGCCAATATGACAATGGACAAGAGTGCAGCTGGCTTATAAAGGTATGGTATACTTTTTTACAGTTACTTAATAATAAGTAAGTCAATATATTGTGAATACAAATATTATGGCTACTGGCAACTATATTTGCCATGCATCTTTGCGTTTTACACTTAATGTGTTAATTGATTATAATCCTATAATTTATTGAGAAATTTCAAATATGATTGAAGTTTGGTTTTGCTTCATAACATAATGTTATGCACATTGAACTTTGAAATGTGGTTATTTTGGTTCCAAATCTGGTTGTACTAATTTTAGCACAATTATTTCCAGGCCCCAGCCGGTTCAAGGGTAGTGTTGTACTTTGTGGACACATTCAGAGTGTTTATAACAGCATCGTCAAATGGAAAATCTTGCTTTCATTGGGTAGAAGTAAAATACAAGAACAACAAGGAACAAACTGGACCAAGGTTTGTACAACATGAGCTCAAACTTCAAAATAGAGTCTCAACTTATTTTTCATGCTCTATCCAAATATTATGCCGGGATTGCCAGTTTATTTTTGAGAACCACATTAAAATCAATGTGGATATTGTCATTGTAGACTTGTGTATGATAAATAACAAAAGCAATGTCAACTTGTGCTACTGACACTTTCTGACATGTGCATGAGCTTAATTATCCATTTGTTTTGTTTTTGGGAGGAAAATAATCGAAACGCCATTTTTCTTTGTTACTCCAAAATCCTAAAGAGGCAAACGAAATATTTGACCAGGGAGATTTTGAAAATTCTCACACAGGCATGTGCTAGTCACTTCTATTACATGATTCTAAATTTTGTTTTTTAACTTAGATTGTTGTTTCCTTGCTAGGTTTTGTGGCTATTCCACTCCCAGTGAGAGGGTAGAATCTGAAGGATCTGAAATGCTTGTTCTCTTAAGAGCCAACCATACTGTCTCCCGCTACAAGAGATTTGGATTCAAGGCAAGATTCTATGCAGGTAAATGAATAAACACAAGGAGCACATGTGTCTCGAACTCGCAACCTCGTGGTTAAACATATTCTATATAAGTTGCCAAATCATTACTCATATTAAATAAAATAAATGGATTAAATATAGAATTTAGTGCTACCCTTTATGTTTAACAAATATTTAGCAGGCCTTACTGTCATTCCTAACAAGCACTGTCAAACCTTATATTTGCTGTTGTTGTATTCTTATAGAGCCTATAGACGAATGTGCCAATGCTCCATGTGGTAATGGTAGTACATGTATAGATGACATCAATGACTACACATGTGAATGCTTGGAGGGATTCACTGGAAAGAATTGTGATGAGCAAATAGGTAATAAATCTTCATATTGTAAAATAAATATTTAACGAATGCACTCACAATCATTGATTGTTCCACTGTTATGGTACAGTAGCAAAGATTTCAAACAGTTAATAGACCTCTTTGATATACTACTGATCCATTTTAGTGAACCAAGTAAACTATGGTGTATTAGCTAGATTAATGATGTCACTGTAGACAGCAGTGTTAACAAAAATTGTTAGTAGTTTTAGAAAATTATATTTCCGCCCTGAAACTGTAAGAATGACATCGTAACGAATATTTGTCATAATTTCCTCCATTTGTCTATTGTAATGCATTTCCCTACTTTCAGAAGTAGACATATGTGCAGCGAGATGTCTAAATGGAGGTACATGTACTATAACAGATAGTGGAGATGGGTTTGAATGTACTTGTACACCAGGGTTCACTGGGACAACTTGTGAAATAGGTAAGAATGCATTTATAATTTTTTTTAAAATATATATTCATTTATTTCAATATTTATGTACATGTAAATCTATGTTATCTTTTGATGTATAAATTGTTAAAATGATCAAACATTGATAAACAAGAAGTTCATTTCATACACTATACAAGGTTACTTAAGCATATGAATTGATTCCTTATTTAAACACATAAGGAAAAAATACAATTGTTTTTATGGATATTCTTATATGTATTATCTAGCCATGCCAACCCCTGCTGCTGAGCTGGAAACAACACCCGGACAGAGAGATGGCAGATGTCCTGAGGAATCTGTTCAATTGCCAGGAGGAAAATGTGAAGGTATGGATTGCAACATTTACTAACATATTCTACAATTATTTAGGTTCTTAAATCATAAATTCAACTCAGTAGGGAACTTGGAACATGTACTCGTCTGTCAGGCATTGTCAAGGGAATTTAATAACTTGGCCAGCTGATAGAAAATTTATAGATAAAATAGTAGCCGTGATAGAACAGGTTTCTCTGTTTTCAATACTCACATACTATGAAATAACACTGCAACCCTCTCACAAAAACTCTTACGAAAAGTATCTCGATGAGGTCTCCTACATGATTCCCTCTGCTTTAACATTGCTGTTGTCTAGTCTACATGTAGTTTTAAATACACCACATAAACGGAGTATTTACACGTACATATTTCATTTAATTACAGTTGCTGTGATATCAGAGTGGAGTAGCTGGAGTGAGTGCAGCAGTAACTGTGGAGGTTGTGGCTTAAGGTACCGCTCCAGGAGGATCACTACCAGCCTCTTTGGTAAAGTGAATACTGAATCTAAGCCATGTAACATACAACGATGTGCAGAGACGAATGATTGTGCAAGTAGGAGAATATGTGATGCATTCCCACATACAGAACAATGTAAAAGGTAAGTTATTAAATATGATAACTTTTGGTGATGGCATATTGTTATAGTCTCCAACATTTTTGTGGTTAGTGTTTGGTGGTTGGCGTCTGTTACAAATGGCAGGTGGTGACATTTTACATGTTAATACCTTGTATGTTTATTAAAATTGAAGTATTATTTAATTGAATAACTAATTTATAAGGGCGGGGATTAAGATATCCTTTTCTTGGAAAAGCAATTTTTGCTATTTTAAAGGATGAATTAAACTACACGTACATCTGTTTTAACATGTGTTTACTAGTCATAAAATAAAATGAATTGTAAATTCATGAATTTTTCACATTCAGGCCGTGTCCAAGGTGCTGCCAGGGGTTCCATGAAGACTCCAGTGGTAACTGTATTCTAACCCTTTAGAATAATACAATATTGACTTTATACATGAGACAATTTATAAATATTAAATAAAAGTACAAGTTTGCTTCCAACTACCAAAAGAACAGACAATGGTATATGGATTTTTATATTTAAATACAACTAATTTCAGTATTATGGACTTGGCCTATCTCAAAAGTATGCAATGTTATGGGAGAGGTGTATATAAGTGATGTATATTATGACAATATATACAATGTAAATATGTGTATAAAGTGTAGATATTTTTTATGGAAATAAAGACAGATTTTTTTATGAAATGTTATCCTTTATGATGTTATTTTGATGTGGAAATTTAGTTTTACCTAAGCAATCTCAAGCTGATAAATGGTGGCTATAGTTGGTTGAACTAGATAGGGAGAATTCAGCTCCAACTTCCTTTGTGGTAACTCTTAAAATCAAATGATCTATGAAAAGTCAACCATTGTCCCCCTACTCATGTAAGTACTGCAACAACTTTGCTTTCGCGTCAACTTGTATGTTAAAATAAACCTTATTCAAAATTCAGATATCTCCTGGCAACCTTGGAGACTCCATGATAACTATTACACGCTTATTGATCCAAGGAATCAATATCCTCTGATAGATATGATGTAATTACAGTAAAACCTGTCCGATGGAATACCTCTCTGTAGGGAAAACCTATGAACAAGGAATGCTTTTCAAAAGAACCAAATATTTTTCCATTGACTTACATGTTAACGGACCCTCTCTGTAGGGAAAACCTGTGAACAGGGAACAAGGAACACTTTTTGGGGCAAATTATGAAAATTCACCTGTGAACAAGGAAAATGGAATATTGGTGACCCTGTATATTCCATTATATTTCAGAGGTGTGAAAGTCTTAAGCCAATATCTGATTCTAAAAAGCTTGGATTAATATGATTGAAATTAAGATAAGCCAATTGTTTACAAGATGTAGCATCCCACCCACTGTTAATTACCCTGATATATTTTAAAACTAATACTAATCTGTTTGTTACTAATTATCATGACACTAATTCGTCCTTTCAACAAACATAATTACATCAAATCAGTTGTGATAATCTAGGGATTGACACAATTGTTTTATGGAGATAACAGATAAGTAATGTGTCATGTTGAGCCAAATCTATCAATAATTACAACTAAACATCATCATACGCCAGCAGCAGCGGCTAAAATCAACATTGGGAGAATGCTCCTTACCCTCAGCTAAAGGAGGGAGGTGGGAGACCTTCATACATCTTCCAAGATGTCACAACAAGGTCTAGCAACCAAGTATGGAGTTGGCATTGGTAAAATCAATTAATGCCCAAATATAAACAAAAAATGCTTATTCGGCAATTCTGAGTTTGCTGAAAGTGCGGCCCCTCTCTATAGGGAAAACCTCTGAACAAGGAAACTTTCCTCCAGTCCGAAGAGCATTCCCTGTTCGCAGGTTTTACTGTATATGTATAGATCTTGAAATGAGTTATTGGTATTTCCTCCAGTGGGTTCTATGGTTGTGTCTACTTCGTTGTGTTCGTTCTTGTTGTCCATGTTCTCCAGCGGATCTTCATTCTTCTTTAGATCATTATTCTCCTGTTCCTCCACAGAGGATAACAGCATCTGACCTGCACGTGTCAGACAAACGAATACAATGAAAGCTCCGACAATAATTCCAACAGAAAGACCAACAAGTGCAGGTGCCAGTGGCCTTACAATTGCAAAGGCACCTATCAGCGCAGCAGTACCGATGATGTACACAAAACCAGCCAGGACAAGCCGATGGAAATGGGTGCCAATGACAGAGCCCAGTGGAGCCCCGACTACTACAATCTCAGCCGTTACTGCCAAATAACTCCAGGCATCTTGGTGTATCCCCTCCTGCATCACATCTCTCCAGAAGAATGCGAACAGTGCATTTCCAGCCATCAGTATTACAGAAGTAGGAGTAGCTGTTTTCTCAGAGACTCGAAACACGAGGGTGAGAATACTAAACGTGCAAATGTCCACTCCACTCGCTGCTATGGATGTAAATATCCCACCTATGAACCCAGTCAGCAACAGAACGAGGATCTTCCAAGGATTCATATAGGGAATCACCTCAAAAGTGCGCCTGTGTCTATAACGGTTCAATAGAAACAGTGCGAATCCAAAAGAAAACCATATCGAAACGAATATGAATTTCTTCTGTGGGGGAGTCAGGACGCCATCTATTACTTCAAGGCCGATGATAACACCAAACATACCTCCGACAGAACACACAATAATGGCTGTCCATTCCAATTTAACCCGCATCCACAGAATTGTGAAGGTCGCTGCAGACATACCGCAGCTTTGGCTGGTTAAGGCAAAATCTCTGGCAACATTTGGAGATATCTTGAAAGCGAGTGTCATCACAGGAAATGCGATAGCTGCAGCTCCTTCACTTGTCATCCCTGAAACACCGAAAGATGGCAGTGTTGATTCAACAAAGTACAGTTTATCAGCATATGCACATGATGAACGAATATGAATTCCGCTCCCAAATATTTTTGGAAAGTATAAGAACAGATATTTTGTTGTGTTAAGCTAAAAACATAACAATTTTGTTATAATCACGATATCATCATTTATTTATCTCTATTTACTGTAATACATATACCTGCAATCAGGGATCCAAATATCATCGTGATGCTCATGAAGTAGTTATCTACAAAGAGAGGCCAGAGGTTCTTTTTGATGGCTATAGCCAGCCATATAACAAGACAGAAGACTGTTGGAATGAGGAACCCTATCGCGCGTCTATATTTCACCAGAAACCTCCTGCCCATAGAGGCATCAACAGGAAGTTCTTCAACATGTTCTAGTGCTTGTCCTACAAATAGTGAATGTAAGTTACAAGTCGATTGAAATGATGTACTCAGATCCACTGACACTGATCTATTATCATGATAAACCACGACATCTCATTTCTTCTCAGTCCTGACATGTTTCAGGTGAAACAGAAAGATGTTATGAGTATCAGAATGCTGATCTATAATGTTTCACTTATATCTTGTTTTTTTTATCAGATTTTATTGCCATTAATTAAGCACAAGTCAATTATACGAGGGACCCAATCGCTATTTATATTTTATATTGTGATTTTGTGGAACCATCAGACTGTCAAGAGATTTACCCTTCTGATACTATACCTATAATAAAGTTGCTATGTCAGTTTGAAACGATAACATATATACCAGTTTTACCCTATTCATTCATTCATTTTAAGATTTTCTAAGCCTTAGGCAGTCAAAGAAAACATTTATGTTTGGTAATTAATCGTTTTTTTACCAGAGTCATCCTGACAGTAGAATATTTTACCATTAGGCTGGTTAAGAGTCCATTGCATGCTAAACACTGGTCTAATCTACTTGGCCTCAAAATTTATTTCTCAAAAATCCTAACCTAGATTTTAACTGTTTAAAATGCTATGAAAATCTTCTTTTTAAAATGCATTTTCCACGAAGATTTCAAAGGCAATTGTGTATTTTCCAAACCAAACAATGCTGCAATGATATATTCGTGTATGTACTGTATGGTGGTAACTAAAGTACACGTATGTAGGGTTGATCAAAACACCCATATTTTTGTATTACTTCAACTCTTTTATAATTCATGAATTTTAATAATTTTTGAGCAGGGATGCAGCAATTATAGTGTTTTCATTTAATACCATCCTTCAAAAAGGGGCATAATTATATCAATAGGCCTAGCTGTCTGTTCTGAATGAGTAGGGTCAACCGTGAACAGGGGCCACGGGTGTGAATGTAAAATTTCGATTTCAAGGTAATATTTCATGTCATAATTTTACATTGATTTTAGATGTGAAAATGTTTAAAAAACAGTGCGGTACCTTTTGGAAACTTCAATTATTGGAATTCCACTATAGACGAGTACTGAAAAAGCACTAATTTTCAAGGTGCCCTAATTTTCACTATTTTCGCTGTCAAAGAGGCTGGACCGTGAAAATAAAGGCACAGTGAATATTTGATTTAACATTGAACTCAATTGGATATTTCCTCAAACAGTGAAATTTAATGCCCATGAAACATTTCACATGGACAAAATAGTGAATTTTTTTGTCAGTGAAAATTTGGGCTTTAACAGTTTTCTGCTCTCCTCCACGAATTGAGCGGATAGGTCATGTCGGTGACATCCGTAACATATCCATAGAAACGATTCCAAAAGATCAGACCCTTAAAAGCATTACGTAGCATATATAAAAATAAAAAATGATAAAAAGACAAAAATAGATTACCTACCTTCGCAAAAGTATTTGTTAAACCATTGTCCACATCCTTTAGGTTTTGCCTTAACGTTCTTATCAATTCTCTTTTCGTTTTTCTTACTGGAACCATTTTCAATATGACTTTCTACGTTATCAGTTCCCATGTTCGACTCTCTGTTGATTTTTATGCTGCAGGTTGACCCACTTTTCCACTGTGAATACGTAGTATTTTATCGGTAACTTTATTACATGTAATTCTTCATAAACGTTTAACACACGAAATTTTTTTTCTTTATTTCAAAAGGTTGTTTTTGGAAGACAACTTGGATGAGACTTCTAGCAGACATAGTAGTAGTTACAGCAGAGGAATATGAAAAACCTTTATTATTGACTAGTAAACAAACCCCACTATTCCATCTTTCTATTGAAAAATTATGACCATTTTTGCCTTCATCTCGAATGTGGAATTGAGGATATGTATATATGTTCTAGTTAATGTTGTGGAGGGAAAAATGGTTGCATGAAACAACATTTTTTGAAAGGGAATGGGCGCCTGCACAGTCCTTTCCTAAGTTAGGAATCATGTATAAAGTTTGGTCCCTAATTAGTCTAAGAACTATAAATTTATGGGAGGAAACTTGTGTATTGTGTACTCCCCAGGTATTATAGAGACAATGATCTAGTCATTTAAATTGAACTATCCTGACACAGAAGTTTAGATCAACTGTACGATTCACGTTCTAGTTCTGAACGATTGAGAAGTTTGTCTGTAAAGACTGTATACCTTTGTTCAGAAATATGTATATGTCATATACATGTATGTATGTACATACATATATACTGTATGTGAACAAACATTGGAAGTCGAAGATGTAAGACACTTGGAACACATATAGATTTACCAGTGAAGTTAGAATTCTTAGCATTTTAATTATTGAAGGTTTGTTTTAAGTGCAGATCGGTCCAGACTTTTGACATTTCTGGAGCATGCCATTATATTACTCAACAATATACTACAGAAAAATGAGTCAGAAATATAATCAAACACAAATTAGGATATTATTTCTATCAGTAACCTAGCAACTAATGTTTTTAAAAATCATGGCACATGACTGTAACTCGACCTCTGATTGGTACAGAATGACAAGTGGGAAATCCTTCATTCAAAGAGCAACATAACACTAATAACAAAAAATATGAATGATGGGGATGCATATAAAATTTATTTATAATTGTCTAATAAAATATAGTATAATATAACTGTGTATAACACAAGTTATTAATTAATAAATTAAATACGATATGTAGCTTTGGCCGTTTGATTTTGTCATAAAAATATTAAATAAAATATATTTATATAATGATGCATATATTTACAATTTTGTCACTACGTTTGATCGACAATCAATGGACCAGCCAAATTGCCAACACAGCGGCATTGTACAGTTAAAATAAATTAAAAGCTATATTATAGCATTCAAAAGTTATATAATATTTAGACTTTTGAAAATAAAACACTGCAATCAAAACAATAATAGTAATATAATTTGCAGAACGTAACTGTCTGCAAAAACACTTTGGTTTTGGTTCAATTACTTTCAAAAAATCCATAGCTGTAAAAAGGCTTCGTAATTTGATACGGCTACTTGTACATACAAGTAGTTGCACATAACGGTACGTTTCGTAATGGCATTGTATTCTCTTTTATACCATTGTCTTGTATACGTGAAAACTTTGATAAAATACACAGCCAGTTCAAAACAAAAAAGTTCTGTTATAGAAATCAAGATAACCTGGTTGTTGATTGTCAAATTAAATTCTGGGACTTTTGATATAAAATTATATTTTGATATCAACATTGTATAGTTGAAATATTGATTAAATCACGTGAATAAAGATTCAACAAAATAATGTAATTTAAATTGCAGACGTGATATGGTATTATTAGATGATATTGTGATGATAATGTGGTTGTCCCTGAGACATTCAGCCTGAAAAAACTGATTTTATATGTAAATAAGCCAAATTGCAGTTGCTAGTATTCAGTTGTTAACAATATATAAGTAACATGCAATAATATATTGTCCTGTAAACGTTAACACTGATAACACAAATCTGACTTAGCGATAGATATTTAAGTAATATCGAAATCTTTGGTTTATGCTTTTGTGGGTATACTGTTAATTAACTCTTGTTGAGTGTTAATTGTTTCCTCTTTATTTTCGAGGCCCTGTGATGAAGCCGCATCAACTGATTCGTTCTCAACCATTGACAAGAGTCAACTCCTTTGAACTCCTTAACCTTTCATGAGGTTTCAAAGAACAAGCAAACATTGCTTCAATCACTAATGTCCTTCACAGTCTGCAGACTATCACTGCAATACCTTGGCATCCTTGCTGTTTCCTAGACGCGACCTCATACGCTAGGATATTATAAAGTGAGTACACAGTTTCCGTTGTTGTCTTCATGGTATCCTTGGCAACATCTGGGACAGGGTCTAAAATTGAAGAAAATAAATCGTGAATTCGTGATAAGTTTTCACGGTGAAATATTTTAATGCGCTTCTTTTGAATAATTGTTCCAGAGGCGCATTTATTTTCAGATTTTGACCATTGTGATTCCTTTACTATTCTGACATAATATAATGTAAGTTCTATCTTTTCTAGATTTAAACCTTACCGTCTACACTGCAGTGAGCGTGGGAAGAATCTACATATTCTCTTGGAATCACAGTCATCGGTGGCTGGGCATCTCTGAGCATTACATGACGTGGATTCTGTATTGACCTTGGAAAATAGACTGGTGGTAATTTTACGTGTTCGGCGTCTCATTCCACAACCTCCACATTTATTGCTACAGTCACTCCACGTGCTCCAATCTGAGGTAACAGCAACTAAAAAACCGGACAACAGATTTTCATTAGTTAATGAGTTGGCAGATTTTGACAATGATTTCTTTAACAAAGATGTTACAAATTGAAAATTTATTTTCCAACACTACTAGTATTTCATTTTGGACAAATTTAGTGTATACATGGGTGAAAATAAGTGCATTACGTAAATCATGATGGGGTTTCAAAGATTTTACCCATTGGAGTAAGCTTCTTTCAAATAAAATGTTTTATTTCAAAATAGTTTGTTTCAAACATGTAGAATACCTTCACATCTATCTCCAGATACAAGCATAGCTCCCCTGCAGCAACTCCCTCCACAGGAGGGTTGAATAGACCCAGGATCTGATGAACAACCACCGCATGCTAGAAGTTACAATTCAAGGTAAGTCATGCATAGTTAGTTCTTTAATATAAATAGCATCACTTCTACATTAGCATCTTGGCAAATTTTTCACTGGTGTATTGATTTTACTATACTATTGTGCTTGTAAGTATTTCAAATATCTACGTGATCTCAAATAGTACGTATGCACGATGCAGATGTAAAACGATGCTTTATACCATTAGTAGTGTGTGTATATCTACATACTCATGCAAAATATACAAATCAGTAGTCCACATCAGTATACAATTATACTAAATTAATAAACATTGCAGTGATATGACGAGATTCAAAGTAAAGAGGAGATACCAAGATGCCAATGTAAAATGAGTGTTGCAGGAGATACAATAGTAGTTCATAATATCATTATCAATGATTTCTGAGGCAAATTTTGAAGTGATGAAACAGAAGATATATACTTTCACCATTAAAAACCAAGCATGGTACATGTACGTGCAAGAACCGTGACATGAGTTGACAAAATGGTCGATACGTGAATATCCAATGCCTAAAAATCATGCACATTCCATTCAAACAAAAGCGTAGTCAAACATTCACAAGCACATTCAGTTGTTCTTACCTATTTCGCATGTTGGTCCTGTAAATCCCTTTGTGCACAAGCACTTGAAAGATTCTTCAGCGTCATTTTCTGATTCTTTACACGTACCTCCATTCATGCATTTCTCAAAGCAGATATCTGTTTCTAAAATCAAAGAAAACAAGTCATGTAAGATACAGCATAATATTTGAGCATCATATATGTGTTCCTGAATCAATTGATGGTTGAAGTATATTTTTAACATAACTTTAATTACCGATTTCCTTTTCACAATTCTTTCCTCCGAATCCTTTTGGGCATTTGCAAGTGTATTCATTGACACCATCGACACATTGTCCTCCATGTGTACAAGGTGAACTCTCACATTCATTTATTGGTTCAGCGTAGTATCTAGCCTTGAAGCCTTTCCTCTTATATCTAGATGCAGTATGGTTGGCTCTGAAGAGTACTTGCATCTCATTGCCTTCAGACGTCACTCGATCACTTGGAGTTGAGTAGCAACAGAATCTAAAAACAATATATAGAATTAAATACACAAATTCGTTCTGACAAACAATTTTCATGTAACGTAGAATATATCTGTTTGTTAAAAACTATTGATTTATAGCTTATATTAAACAAGAGTTTTGATCATTTTCCATTTATTGTGTATTTTAAGTTAAGTCACCTACCTAGGTCCAGTTTGCTCCTTATTGTTTTTGTATTTTACTTCAACCCAGTGGAAACATGCGTTTCCTACCGAGGGCTGTGTACAGTATACCCCAAATGTATCCACAAAGTACAACACAACTCGTGAACCAGCAGGTGCCTGAAAATGTAAGTATGAAATAAAATTAATTTTTCTTCATCTTCACTGACAACGATTTAACTAAGGTATACGTCATACTTAATTTTGGACAGTTTCATTCAGTATGCCATTTTCCTATTATCTATTGAAGAAATAGGGTCAATTACCCTGTTCTTTCTATTAGAAATCTTATAGGTGTTTACCTGAATAAGCCAGTTGCATTCCTGTCCATTTTCGTATTTGCCGTCATTGTAGCCTGGTGACTGAATACTCTGGGTCATTGTATTTTCAGTTTCTGCGAACAACACTCCGCCACACTTTGCTGGAATTCACAATGTTCACCATGATAACTGTCATGTCGATGCTGACACATGTAATATTCATAAATGTTTTGCACTGGTTTTATAAACTGAACATTGTAAGTACACAATATTTTCTGAGTATCATATTTACCTTCTTTAGGTGGAGCCAAATCTTCACAGTACTTTCCTGTCCATCCATCAGCACACCTACATCTATCACATGCCTTGGGGTCCTGGTATCCCCCGTGCTGGCACTGCTGTGATAATCCACGATGACATTTATCTGTAATGAGATCAGATGTATCAATACAATGGTAATCTACATATATAGCTTATCGTGTTATTTTTGCTTGTGGAATAACGCTTTCTAAAAGCTGAAACATAGACTATAATTTATATTCCTACCTGCACAATATGCGAGGTTGGCAACTTTGACATCAGCAAATGATAATGCAACTCGTTGCCCAATTGTGTTCTTGTACAAGGGATTTATGGTCTCTATTGTGTTCTGTCCAGTTGCTGTAAATGCCCTAGAATGATAATGCATAGCAGATCCCAAGTCATAACCAACTCCATAGCTGTCTGTGTTGAGCCAGTTTTGTTTGATAAACTGAGACTGTCGTCCGTTTCTGATATTGTTGTACATAACTTTGATGTGGTCATCACGGTCTGGTCGAGCGTGTTCATGCCAGAATCCTATAGCGTGACCAATCTCATGTGCCATGGTACCAAACTACAACGATTTTAGAAAATTTAATTTAGATGTATGATGCTGACGTGCTTCTTCCGAGCTGAGACGAACATAGATGTTGGATTATGATGGTCCCAGCTCCGAGTCGCACTCAATTACAACGTTCTATTGATCAATCAATCAATATGTCCAAAGTTTGATAGAGCAAGATGGATGTTTGGTGATTGCTACTCCGAGGGTAGATTATTGCAATATATTTGGACGTGGCTACTTATTTATTTGAACATCATGTAATGTACATACTATGTCAACTTACCCATCCGATACAGGCTGCTGTTAAGCTAACGGGCTGAGGTACAATCCTCTCTTGTCTTCCATAGAATGACGAACATCCACGGTGTTTGGTGAAGATTATATGGGACCCTGACACAATCTCGTTTCTTGATACTTCTTGGAAAGTCAAACAGGTCTGCTCTTCCCAATGTGATAAAGCACCTTTGATCTTCGTTAGCTCAAAAACAGCTGAAAACGTAAAATAAATATTTTGTCATTGACTCATTCATTCCATGATATTTTGATTTTTAAAGACATTTAGTGATTTCACAGATAACTGGATTTGTATTTATAGGTAAATACTTACTGTGTTGTCCATCGAACTTGTATTTTATTGGCTCCCTTGTTGACCACTTCTTTGTTGGGAAACGATCAAAACTATGAACTTTCCTTTTCTTCCTAGATTGCATTTGCTCCAGTATGAATTGAGCTTGCTCGATGGTCAATATAATGTCATCATCCATCAGGTCTGACATTGAAGATTCACCATCGGTTATTTCCTAAAAATTGAGGTTTTTAATGTGTAAGTGAATACTGAAAACACATATTCATGAAAACTACAGATATAAGTCATGTATGTATGATCATTATGTACTTGATTATTTCTCTGTAATAAGAAACTAAAACTTGGAAAACATATAAGATGAATACATGATCCGCATTAGTGCTTTATACCCGGGGCTTTATATTCTTCAATAGTACTTACAGAAGGGGCGTCTGAAGCAGGGCATCCTCCATTTTTCAGACAGTTCATCTGTTGGATTTGCTGCATCATTTCTTGCACCTTCTTCCACTCTTCCTCAGGTTGTCCATTGTTCTGGAGCCACTCCTCTAAACTTCTATTGTTCGGTGGTTGCCAAAGAGAAACATTTTCCTGCGTTCCATCACTAGTTGTCGCTTGAGTACTTGTAGATGACTGGATAGGAACACTCTGACAAATGATAAAGAAAATTGTAAGAGCATGCATACAGACGGCGTTATTCTCTGTGATTCGAAGCTAAGAATCCACCATTACAACATGTCATTAAAAAAAATAGAAGCATTTTTATTGTTAAAAAGGATCACAAAACAGGTCAAAATATTGTACAATTGTATTCAATTAAAATATGTCAGTGTGTGTTTATGATTCACTATTTTTGTTTAATGAGTCGTGAGTATATTTGGCGCAGTTCCCGGTGTCCTGGACGGTCACGATACCACTCTTTTACAATGCAGTTATTGAGGGTCTATTGTAAAGGACCTGAACAATATCGAAACAAAAATATGAGTAAGCCTTAACAAAAGAAATAGTCATATCAAGGACCCTGCCTCGTGATCAAAGCTAAGGGTATTAGTAAACGTTCGTGGTGACACCCATCATTATGATGTAATATATTATATCAACGATTTAGAATTTTGTTTTATTATCTAAACTAATAGACATTATGTTCAACTGTGCACACAAACTGTATAAAGATTACCTAATGAGAAACTATGGACATCTAGGCATTTGTCCAAGACATCGAAAATATATGACAAATGGAACAATAATACCTAGAGGCTTGTAATTGTGAAAACTATCATCTAGGTAAATAAAATGATTAGAAAATAAAACGTTGGTTAAAATTGAGATGAATAGGCGCCTGTGTATATTAGAACACTTGTTGTTATCAGTTGACAGATCGGGACAAATATACTTTACATATTTTATTATCGCGCATCCCCTAGCGTCTTTTATGCTGCCAACATTCGCATGATATACTATTCATAATCAACCTTCCAAAGAAAAATCTTATCAGATTTTGGCATCCTGTAATCAGTGATATTTGCCAAAAGCAGATTTTTTTGATTTTTACAGAATCATTGAAATATTTCAGTAGATAATTGATACTGAAGTTATTTTAATAACGTTACCTTAGATAACTGATTAGAAACGTCCTTCTATTTATCTTGCCTTTCATTTTTGTGTTCTGCGGCACTAAATCATTTGTGACCACAAGTGTCAATAACAAAATATTTAGAAAATAGATTTCGCCTTTCTATTACAAATAAAGAAATAAGAGGGAACATACATTAAAGGACATTTTTTATTTCAAACTGACGCCTTGTTTCCAAAATTAAAATAAGAGAAACAATTGGGAAGAGCTACAGATAAGACAGATTGTGAAACTTAAGCTCTTCCTCATTCCAAGATTCCATACCACGTATATGCCTGGTATGATCATTCATTTTAAAACGACAAAACTACTATTACAAATATAAATAATATAATACTACTAACTTAAATTATATTGCTGAACAATTAATAAAATATAATTAAATGAAAAAGCACTCGTGAATTCTCAAATCACTCACCTGAGACTGTTGAAGAAATACTGCAAATAGTGCATATAAAGTTGCAATTGTAAATACAGAATTCATCATTTGTTTTCTGCTTGTCGACTAGATCTTATCCCGATATTATTCAAGTAGTTGCGAATCTGTTGTAGTTATTGCTTATTGTTGCTTGTTGTTGTTCAGTTGTGGTATCTTTTGAGTATTGTATTATTTTTAGATCTTCCTTTGTAATGTTACAGGTACGCAGTGTTCTGTAGTCGACTGGTGCTTCTCTGTTTAATGAAACTTCTCATTTCTACGATTACTTTTATAGATCCCATCTGATTAAAAGTGAGCGATGTATCCACCAATCACATCAGCGATTTCCTAACTGGGTTTAGGTCAAGATGACGTCAAGGTAGGATGTGTCATTAATTTTTTAATTTAAGTTTTGCTTTCCTGTCTGCCATGCGCACTGTAGTTCCGCGCCGATAGGCTTCTAATAGAAAACCCATGTTCTTTAACAAAATGATGTACATTAACTGCGATTTGTATGACCCATGTCAAAATTACCGTTAACTTTTTAGAAAAACATGAGTCATGCTTGGCTTTCCTGGGAATCCAAGGTCGTTAATACATAAATCAAAATCCATTTCCATTTCCTGCCGATTGATTTATGTTAACACAAAGGATAGGCTCATGGATAATTTATTTAAGATTATAGCATAAATTCTATTGAAGTTGAGAATTTCAATTTTAAGTTGAGAAATTCATATTTCATAGTTACATTATGCTTTACAAAGAATTATTTCAGAAAATATCATATTTGGTTCCGATTTGCCAGAAATTTAACCACAAATAAAGCCATAGTCGTGCCAAATCATTTAAAGAAATGATAGTGACTAAAACGATCAACCCCTCTGGCTATCACACGTCCATATCCATGGCACACTCAATTTACTTTGTACTTTTTTTATTTCCATTGAAAACAAATAATAAGCAGCTTGATCATATTGACCCAAGGCTATTATATATATACTCGGAAATTGACTTTGCTGCTTTATCATTATACTTAATTTGAATTATAATTAGATTTTATGTCACTTTTATTACTTCCTTGTTACGGACAAGTGACAGTGGTCATGCACTCCAATATATCTATGTATTTTGGGATTTAGTGCGAGGAGATAAGTTGGGTATTCTTAACGCTCGACTAAAGAGTTTTGATCATATACGCAAAGTCGCCATTTTATTAAGTTTAGTTCCAATATGCATTGGCCTTTATATTTTGTTTGCATTCATGACGCTTTTATTGACATTTTAAGGCATACGCGACATTTTAAACACATTTGAATATTTTTTATCAAAGGTACAATGTCACTATAAACATTTATGATTAAATAAATTCAAGTACATTTTCAAGTCAATGAATATAACATTTGGTACAGAGGATATAGATGATATAAACTGTATCTAGGTGAACTTCCCAAAATATTTTCATTATGAACATTTTTGATAGCTCAGCAATGCCTGTGTTACAGGTGGAATGACTCTGTGGCTCGTTTGTGATCTTCGAACCTCGGGTTGCCAATATTCGAAAACTTGGTCCATGTATCATTATGTTCGTTCACGATTAACCCAACACATCCGATACTTATGCGCTTAGTAGATATATGAACTTGACTTGTCGTATAGGTGCGCTCGCGTTTATCCATCTCCCTCTAAACCCAGGAAGAAAATGAGTCAGTCTAAAATGATCAAGCGCCAAATTCAAACTTTGTGTACATTTAAATTGCACTTGGAGTAGATTATAACTTTTTGATTTCTTTATTTATACGTCAACTGACGTAGCTGCTTATATTTGCAGAACTATAACATACGGCCAAACATAAATGTCACGAAACATTTATTTTAGTACAACTTCATATTTTTGAAACGAGTGACAATTGTTTTTGTAAGTTTTTGTAACACGAAATATTTTTTATCGCATCCTTGGGTGCCATATTGTGTTCAATTTGTCTGGAAGGTGGGTTCATTGCTTGATGTTTGTAGTGAAGGGGTGTTTGAAGAACCGATTAGATTTTTGGTATGCTAGGTAAATCTTAACGTTGTCAGTTTGATTTTCCATCATGAAATTGTTTGAACAAATTCTTGTTTATAATTATGCGTTTCAAAGTAAATCGTTCCGTATTTCAATTGTTTTGCCATCTTATAGGGATGTTTCTTGGTATGATTTCAAAAACTGGTTAGGTTTTGGGCATGCTTTAGCTAGGTTTTCAAGGCAGGCATTTTGGGATAAGCTTAATATTTTGGGATAAGCTTAATATTTTGTGGAAATGGATTGCATAATTTATATAATTTAGATAACTGGTCGCAAAATTTGAAGATTTGAAGAATGAATTTACATGTGCGTCTTGTTTCTTCTTTTAAGCACATACAATTGTTTATTGTACGTGCTGGTGGTGGATTTAGTACACAGACGTGAATTTTACACTCTCTCGGGGATGTTTGCATGGTACTTTGAGCTAAGATGTAATTTATCGATGGTTATTGTGGTGGATATTGGTCTTGATTGTTTGTGTTTAACATTATTGGACAAATTTTCCCATTCATAATTTCAATTGTGAGAAATCACTTTATTGATGATAAGATTGATGTTTTCGACTAATGTTCTAAAAATAGGAATCAGCAAATACCCACTTTTCTACCGATCCCTTTCCTGACCACATGTTTTACTTTCACTTTGTCACCGATATCGTCATGTTTGTATGCATCACCAGTGGTTGGGAATACCCCTTGGACGTTCATGTCTCACGGCATATCAACGAACCATGACAATTGAATTAACAAAATGTTTTTTCTTAAAAATAAGTAATGTTTCCTTGTCGGATGTAGATATTTGTGTGTGAACCTATATCCTTTTCATAGTGAGGGTCGCCATGGTAATTTGAGATTGGGATAATATTTCATAATTGTGTAGGTTACAACACTTTAATTATGGCCCATCACTCCTACATTAATCCCACTCAGTCGCTACTTTTTTTTAATGTATTTTCTCTTGAAAAGATGACCTTGAATTTGTTGGTAATTTGGAAGTGTGTATTGTTTACTTTAAATATAGAATTTAGTCTAAGCAATTCACACAATATTGACATGTCATGTGATTTAAAGACCTTTCGATGGATTATTCATTTTGGTGCATGTATATTTTTTATGACCACGGTCCTTTGACATGTTGACATTTACTTATTTCAAGAAAACGAAAATTTGAACGTGCACAGAAAAAAGGAAATTGGACATGTTTTAATATAATGGCGCAATAATGATGACATAAATGACGGAACCACACTATTAAATGTTAAGCCTGAACAATCTTGAATCGAGATAATACTTGGGGTTCCCCTTTGCTGTTAACCCATTGATTCCCATAACTTGATATTTTATAGAACATCTTAATTCAGCATCTAGATTATTATCTTGACATATGTCCAAAGCCAAAGTAATGTTATGCTGCATTATTTCAAAAGAAGAAACCTCCTGGGGTTTGTGCTGATTTTGATGATGCCAATATTTGTCTCTTGTTTATCGACTAATTTGAACGGGATGCCATCTTTTTCATTACACTCTCATTCTTTCTGTTCTTCATTAATAAGAGAATCTTCATGAGTCAGTTAGTTGCCCGCGACCTCTTTACCACTGTCTATCCATATACCTATAGAAATATAGACTTACTTAAAGACCGATTTTATATTGAATATGCATGTCTAAACGTTTTTTAAGTGAATGATTTTTGTGTGTTTGTGAGCATGAGAGTTAATACAGCACTTTGATTTATCATGAATCATTTACCAACCATATAAGGAGTATTGAAAACCACTGCTTAGTTAAATCCAGTTATCGTGCATGTCGAGATCGATTTTATTGTGGGATATCAGCCAATACCTGCTGCTTAAAAATATCGTCATTGATCGTAGAATTTAAATATGAAATAACCAAATTTAAGAACTCATACAAGTTCAATTTAAATATACAGCTTTCATGTTTGGTCAAATCAAGATAAGTTAGTTTTGAGCTGCGACATTGAATGGATCATTGCCTATTACCTTAAAAACCCGAAAAACACAGCGCGACGAATGATCAGAGACCAATAGTGAAGAGTTTGAGCCTACATGCACAAAGCTTCTGCTCATTGCCTGTGATACCATACAATGATGACCACCGTGATGAGATTACTCCGGGAAGGAACGACTTTCATCCTTCTGTGCCAAATAATTGTAGTTGTGAGTATATTTTACACATCATTGTTATTGCATTTACATACAAGTACAAACACAGTCCAGTGTTATTGGGGGCATCATGCAAACTATTAAACCAGTGTCCCATTAGACCTTCAGTCATATGGCATACTTTGATGGATCAAGATAGACATAAAGGGCAATGTGGACTTTCTGATTGATCAAATTAGTATAGGTTCATAACTCTATCTGTGATTGTGAACCAAATGTTCTGCGTTCCCTGACCCACAGGACTCATGGCTAGCTATTTTGATGACAAAAGTAAAAAAGTATTGTTTTGCAGAAAGATTAATTTTTTTATTGTATGTATTTATTAAATTATTAATATGAAGATTGTTGTGCGTCTTACCATTTTAAGGGAAATGTTCAGCATCTGCCAAAGGAGTTTAATACCTCATTCAAATGAGAAATAATTTTAAACAATATACAAATTTCAGAAAAGTGAGCTTTTAATTAATAACTTATTGTATAATGTGAATGACTTCAGATGAATACGGGAGTATAATCAATGGCAATGAAAATTTAACACGACGATAATAATCCAGAACATAAAGGATACATTCAATTCGCATATTAACAGTCAGCTGGACACGAACATTGATCCCAAATCTCTTTATAACACATCTGCAAACGTTGTATTACCTTTATTGATTTGGTAAAATATATAAATATGAAACTATTCAAAATAAAAATTGTGGTTAAGTGTCACGATTCATTTTTAGGCCATGTGACACTTTTTTGCAGGAACATATATGTTTTAGTTTTTGCGGTTGTAACTGAATGTTTGTAGATAGTTTTATACTCCTGTATAGGATGGCAAACAGGACTTGTCTTTTTGACAACCTGGGTACATGTTGTGACTTATCTTCCTTTAGTAATTAAAGGTTCAATTTGAAAAGTTACAAGGAATTAACCTTGTCGAAATCTCATTTATTACAAGGAAAATGTAGGAAATTTAACTCGCACTACAATGAGTGGTAATAGTAACAATTAAAACCGATACTACATTGTAGATACGACTAAATGCTTCGCCTTCAATCAATAAACTGTTTAATATTCTTTCATAATAATTTGAAAATATAGTAAAAATATATTGATTATTTTTGTTTAACACATGTTAGCAATGGCCGCAGCAGGTTCAGGTTCATTGTCAAAAACATAAGTAGTAAATATATATAATTAAATAATGGTTTGGGAAAGAACACATTGCCAAAAAACTGACGTTTAAATATATTATATGCTTAAGCAAGAATATAGACATTTGGGCTAAACTAAGTAGTATAAAGTAGGTCTTATGTAGGTGTACATAGTTTATTACTTATCGTGCACATAATAATTAGGAATAAAGGCTGCATTTACTTTGGTTCATATTCAAACATCACTTAGATGAGAAATAAGTATATTCAAAGTCGTTTGTAGTAAGGATTTTATGATCATGTAAACTGTATGAGTCAGCTAAAAATACATCCTGATTCTCTCAGGGTTTGCTCTTTGACTTTCATTTCGTTTTTTGGGAATCCAATTACCTGGCCGTGTCACTTATATATTCCCACCTTCGTGAGTCAATCACAATGGACTTAGCTCGTTTTTATACATGAAAGACATATACCTTATTGAGATGTTTTAATTGAATCACGAATCCCAGGATAAAAGCAAAATGATAAGTTTGACCTGAGACTGAATTCAAGTGCGTCTTTTATATTTGCAATAATTGTCATTGTTAATTCAAACCACAAAGTGTCAAGTACAGTCATTAAATCACTTGATGATTTTTTAAGTTACTCCGACATACACAAAAATTGATTGATTCTTCCTCTATATTACCATATCGTGAGATGGTTGAAACAGTCATGTCCTGGGCCATTGAATTGAAAACAAATAAGCTTTTTAAAAAGCACAAAATACCACGCTACAAACAACCTGAGACTAACATATTTTTTGTTAGTCTCAGATACAACCGATATTGACAACGAATTAATATATGATAATCAAAATGTTAATGTCACCGATTAGTTAATCACTGATTACCAATGTTATCTTCCCTCAGCATCAATACAGCTCAAACACATATTGCAATTTTCAAGTGGCAATTGGCCACACCCGTGCTATAACACACATTTGATCATTAGATGATGCCACACATGCTGATAGTTATTGATAAATAATTCAAATGAGTCCTAATTGAATAATGACTCATAGTCCTGTCGTAATATGTAAAATGCAGAAAGCACACGATATGATGGGTTTCATTGCACACATGATCCTACACAACTCAGAGGCGAGAATGCCAAAATGATCCTGAATAATTCGATAAATTTTATATTATATTTTCAAATAACAATTTGGGTCAAAAATGTGTCATATTTGTAGTTGACGAAGTTTATAGGGTTTCCCTGCTTCCTTTAACTCCCCCTGTTGCGCGTTTACAATATATGTACCCAGTTGTTGAACTTAACATTTCAAGTATCTCTGGGATAACTGAGTAAACTTAATATAACATTTCAAATTCTTGAACTGAACTGTCAAATAAATTAGAAAATTAGACATGCTGTGGTTTATTTGTAATATTTTGAGTTGTTATTCGAAATTACCTACACAGGCATGGGGTCATAAAATTCCAAAATTGTTACCACTATTTGTTCAGTGCCAAATTTCATAAAGGTATGATGTTCGTTTTCAACTTCAAATGGATCAAGTAAATAAAAATGTATAGTCGGGTCAAACCCCTTGATAAATAGTGACCTCAACATTTATCCTAAGATAATAAATTTAAAAATTACCCTGACATCTCTGACACACCAAGAACCCTGGATCAAGTGTGTTTGGCATTCCCTGATCACGACTATTGGTATTTACATTACCAATCTCCAAAGATCAACATCTCCTCCTACTTTAACCACAGGGCTATTCTAGGCAAAATAGATTGTCGTGTTCACTTAAAAGATATAAATGAAGCCGCCATAGACATGATAGACTCTGAGGAAAAAACGTTAGTCACGGACTAATTTCCACGTAAGTCCAAGCGTATAGATAAGTTCAATAAATGATAAAAAAAACTGTCAGCATGATCCTTTTGTGAACTAGTTGAAACTTTATATTGGTTCAGTGTGGTTTATATGATTTGTGGGGGTTCCGTATTATTTTCTTCTCCAATCCCCATGTCCTGTCTACATATCCCAATGCCTTGAAATTAGTTACTATTACTAATTACCATGTGGATTTAGCTTTCTAAAAAGCTAAAACAAAATATTGAAATAGATATTCTTATCATCCTCGAAGCAAGAAGCGAAAGACCTTTTAAAGTTGTACTATGCTTTTAAAGTTATGAATTTTTCATCACAATTCTGTTACAATATATTATTTTTCTTTTTTGGAGGCTGTAGCCTTACCAAAGAGACAGATCAGGGAAAGGGTACCAGAAATATGGCGACCTGGGAACATGACAGCTGAGGAGTGGTACGAAAGCCATGGCCAAACTAAAGAAATATGGGGGGTTGTTGTAGAAAAAATGAAACAACTACAAGACAAGTATTATAAAACCTTCATCAGTGATGTCCCGCCGCCACAAGGACAAGTGGTAAGTCAGTTGTATACATGCATATTTTTATTCGCCCGATCTTCGGGTATATGGTCTGATAATTGATTCTTTGAGAAAAATGAAATATTCGTTTTTTTACAACATAAGATCCATTTAACTGAAAAGCATTGCTAGCAAGATGTGAAGGTACAGAGGATAGAGTAGGACACGAACATATTTACAGTATGTGTCTACTTTAAACATTCACATAACATCAACACTTAAGGTTTAATATACTTTCTATTTGAGCAATGCCATGCGACCCATTATGGAGTAAATAGGTGGCACTGGGAAACAAATTTAAATTTTTTTTACAAGCTGCAACATTTGGGGCTTGATCCCAACAAGGGGGCAACTATACCAAAAAGGAAACAAAAGCTTAAGAGAAAAAAATTAAGAAAACAACAACGAAAATGCAAAAGGCAAAGAAAAAAGAAATGCAAAGTGTTTAAAAATAAAAATAGTACATTACCAGTGAGTATTTTGTATATATGAATACTACATATATTAAGGGATCAGGGGTAAAGGTATTGCTGTTCATACTCTACTGTGTTCTTTTTATCTGTACGATTAATTTATTATGCACGGTCAACTTACTTTGCATGTTGAAACCCAATTAGACGACTAGGTGTTCTCGATGACGGATAGCTATTTCTCATGTTTCTTTTTCTTTAATGTATATTACTGCATGCGCATGTTTTGGGGGTCGATTATAATTAGTTTAAAAAACATTTTCGTTATTGTAATCTACTTTTAATTTTTAGTGAGTCTTCTATGTTATATGTTCTGTTATATGTTCTGGCACAAATTCTATGATGTGCGTTTTGTGGTATCTTTTATTGATGTATTATAATTTATTATCTTTTTATAATACATGGGACTTGGGACAATTGGAGAAGCTTCGAAAAGACGCAATTTTACAATATTTTTTTTAAACTAATCGTTCCATGTCTATTTTCAAAGGTCAAACAGTTCTCACATTATTTCGAGATAATCCCAAGATTTTAAGGTTCTCTGGTGTACCTATTTCAATTTTAATGAATCAGGACATTTCTGTATTTTATATATTTAAATTTTATACTAGATCAGATATGTCAATTTTATTTTCTGAAAGCACAGTTGGAATTTAAAGGAAAGCATTTGATTGTTTTTGAAAATATTGCCTCTACCCTTAATCTCTTCTATTTAACAATGAGCAACTATGTGTCCAATTACTTACATATATAGCAATTCTTACAGTCTGACCCAGTGCCTGAGGGATCCTACTTGATGGACGATGACATTCTGCTGACACCTGAACAGGTGGACTACCTCATAAGCCTAATGCCCGATCCTTATAGTAGAAAGAAAAGAAAGATTCAGCCTTTTGACAATGGATTTCCATTGGCAAAATGGCCATTTCCAATTCGATACAAGTTTGATGGCATGCATTGTAAGTACTGATAGTAATTCTTACCATTAATCTTTTCGAATACAAATCTTCTTCTTGTGGAATTACACATTCAGTTCAACTGTTATAGCATCTTAAAATTTGCTATATTTCTAGCTGAATCTCAGAGGGCAGCCATACGAGCAGCTATTGTCGACTGGGAAGCAATGACTTGTCTAGAATTCGAAGAGGTCCCCACGATGGAGCCAGTCAATGAGCCTCATATCATATTCACTAAACTGTCGGGGTATGTCTTGAATATTGATTCCCCTTAGGTTACATTAAACCAATCAGTTTTCCAAACGTATGCCTTGTTAAGTCAATCCTTTTGGAACTAGGTTTTGACAAATTAGAGTAATCAATTTAACATAACAATTTCAATGAAACATGTTATACTGGTTTAACCTCTTAATCTATTGCACAGAGTGTCCATAAACAGTTTTACACCCTGTACATCATGTTCCTTGAATGTCAGACCTAGTGCATAAGGTAGATTGTAGATGAAGCTTTCTTTTAAAGAAGCTAAATGAAACTGTTGTGAAAGGTATATTTTATGTTGTCTCAAAGAAGTGTCCTTAACACAAATCTACCTGTTTCCTTTTCAGATGCTATTCTTATATCGGAAGACAGGCCTATATCGTTCCTCAACAAATTAATTTAGCGTCAAACTGCATCACCTGGGTAAGTATGTTCAATGAAAGTACCAAAACAAATCAAAGTTTGTGACTGTATTACCACCTAGCATGCTGGTTAAGTATTCCATTGAAACCTTTACTGTTTAGCTTGTGCATAAAACCAATCACTGAAGTTGAAAAGATTCAATTTTATTCACTTATTTTTTTTAACATGCCAAAATGCAAGTCGATTAAATTCACAATGATTCAATTAAAAATACCAGATATATGTAGGCCTAAAAGGTTTGAAACTTGTGTCACGGTTCTCGTATTGTTAAAGTTCATGTCAGAGAAGTTCAATTGCATTTCTGAAGTTGAGAGATTTCAATTGTTCAAGTGAAATTCTTTCTTTACAAATATTTGTTTGAATTCTGAATAATTTTTTTATATTTGTCGATAAATATAATTATTTATTGAATAGGTAAATAGATAATGTTCTTTTTATTCAATACTTTAAGTGTATTTGTCGTGTTCTTAACATTTAGTTTTAAAAACGATTGATTATCACAGTAACTATGAAATATAAGATATTCAGGAGAATCGAGACTACATCCAGAACAGACGTCTTCCATAATATCTTAATTTCAAAAAATCTTTAAACTCAGCATCCGATTGAGGATTAACAAAATGAAGGTTTATCATAGATGTGTTACAGAAGATATGTCCTATATGTGAAATAATCAATGACCGTTGAAACAAATCTGAAATTAAAGAATTTGGTCACTATTCTTGATCCTGTGTATTAATTTTTAAAAACTAGAGTTTTGAGTCAACTTTCAACTTTTTGTTGATTTTAGCATGGAACAATCGCTCATGAAATAGGACATGCAATAGGATTCTGGCATGAACAAGCACGGACTGATAGAGACACCTATGTTGAAGTGATCAATGATAATATCAAGAATGGTTACCAAAGTCAGTTCATGAAGCTATGGGCTGGATCAATTGAGGATTTAGGTTGGTGATGAATTTTATTATAAATAGAACATTTCTGTTTCTGTTTAAGTTTATTGTCATTCGTCTGATGAATCTAATAAGAAAGTTGGGGACATTGGTTTTCATACAAAGGACAGAGCACCTTTATCAAGGATCTTTTCAATGTTGCTTATCCTTGCCAAAATAACATAAACATGTTGTTTATTTCAAAAATATCGTATGTTTTATTCAGGTGTAGAATATGACCTTAGCTCCGCAATGCACTACTCATCCAAGGCGTTTTCTAAAAACTACGGATACACCTTGAAAACCAAAGATCCTCTATACCAAAATACCATCGGCCAGAGAACTGGTCTTTCCTTTCTTGATGTGAAGCTGGCAAATATGGCATATTGCAAGGGTATGTTAATTATTTTGCATTGTCCATTGTGGTAGCTTGAACAAGTTCAATATTTGTTTTTACGGTACGATAAAATAATTAAAATACTTGGGCCACAAACAATTGAAATAACTGTAAGCTGTAGATATATTTATTTTGGTACATGGAAGAAGTAGTTACAAATACAAATAGACCAATAACCGACACCGCCTTCGTATTATAAGGTGACACCACAAAGAATATACTGAGAAAGTCTAAAATGTTCGAAGCAATCTTTTCAATAAACAAGTCAACCTGCCCTTTTTATATTTGAAAAAAATACTTAAAAGATATATGATCAAATATGAAATTAATGAATGAAAATGTCGCGCCTCTATTCATTTATTTCTACATAAATGCGGGCTGTAATATCATACATAACTTTCAGGTAAATGCAAGACTCCTTTGCGTGAACATTGTCAGCATGGTGGCTATCAAGATCCCCTTAAGTGTGACAGATGTAGGTGCCCCGACGGTTGGGCTGGGACACATTGTGAACAACTACAGTCATCTATAAATGGTGAGATAAGTGGGACTGATTTAAACATCTTTTCAAAAACGTAATATGGGTTTGATGCCTGCTAACCATTTTAGGTGAAACTTGTCGAACAGAAACCATCATGTGTATTAAAATACTTATACAAGAAGTTGTTTCTTTGAATTTTAAGTTATAGACAAAGCCTCTTGCGCAATCAGTTCTAAAACAATATATATTATTATATACCCAATATGTAACTCTAATCCTGATTGGTCAATACCTAGTCACGTGTTCCGAAATAGATTTACTATTTCCCTCGGAAAGTTATATTCCCTCAAATGTGACGTCAGCGGGAATATACATTTGAACTATTGCCCGCTGACGTCACAATTGCAAGTTCTATTACCCTTGGAAACGTCTGCTCATCATCACTGCGCAGACGAAAAACAGAAAAATGCATGGAGGATGAGCACAAACACAAATCAACTCCGTTCACCATGACAGACGTGCGTGAACGATACAATATAAGCAACGTGTATAAAGTTCCCTAAGCTCAATACGTCAGTGTAATTTCAAGTGTTATGATAATCTATTCCGCGTGTTAAACGCGATTGAATTTGTCAAGTGAGAGTCTCCGAGGCAAAAATTTCTGTTGAGCATCTGATGACGTCACAGCTTATAATGCTAACAATGGACCCGGGGAGGGGGCTTTCTAAGCCTTTTTGGCCTTCGCAGAGGAAACGGGACAAGAGTCAGTATAGGGTATATAATAAAACAAATAGTGACTGCCTAATTTCGAGCAATAGTTTAAATGATTTCCCCTTGGGAATATCCTCTACAATATACTATTCCCTCAGCCTGCGGCTCCGGGAATAGTACATTGTAGAGGATATTCCCTCGGGGAAATAATTTACACTATTGCCCTCAAGGGCAGTCACTATTTGTATAATGTTAATCAACATGACTTTACATAAAACAATATTGGATTTCAGCACAGTGTGGAGGGAAAATATTGCTGGAACCAGGCTTTCAAAAATTCATCAGATCACCTGGTTATAATAATCCTGGACACTATGACAATAATGTGGGGTGCAACTGGCTGTTTGAGACACCTGTAGGCTACCGACCAGTTTTGACCTTTACTGGTGCATTTGGCTTGTACTGTGTAGATTCTAGTCTTGGGAATGCATGCTTCCATTGGGTTGAAATACGCAAAGAGAAACATCTCGGTCTACCGGGCCCAAGGTAGGTTTATAATAGATTGGGTAAAGTTACAAGGAAGGATGGGGACATCAATCCTAGATGTAAAATTTGGTTAGTTTGTCAAACTAGATATTTTTAGAATTTCTTTTTGTTCGTTTCATAATCCAAGGCTTTTCTATATCTAATGTATCCCTTTGTCATGTCCCATTTTATAGTTGTACTTATTAAGATTTTTGGATAATCTGTTTTCCTGTTTTTATTCTATTTAGATTTTGCTGTTATTCAACACCACTGGAGCCATTGAGTGCTACTACAAACCAAATGATGGTTATTCTTAGGTCTAACTTCACATCCAGTTCATTTAGAAGACGTGGATTCCAAGCTTTAGTTTATGCTGGTAAGTCCTTAGATTTAAAGAACTGAACATGCACAGGCTAAACTGATGATCAACCCCATCCAAGTCAAAGACCTTTGATAAAATGTTACATGATGAATAAGTCTTGCTCCAAGACCCTGGACCCTTACTCCCTTATCAGGGGTCTTGAAGAAGACTAATGATGAATATTATATTTCAGAAAACATCAATGAATGTGAGGATCTACCTTGTAACAATGGCGGTGTGTGTATTGATGGAATCAATGACTACACGTGTAACTGTCCTGAAGGATTCACGGGAAAGAACTGTAGCACTGAGAGTACCAATCCATGTGATAACAATCCTTGTTTCAATGGTGGCGAGTGTGAACCAATCAACCATAATACCAACTTCAAGTGCCATTGTCCACTAGGGTTTACTGGATCAAGATGCATCTTTGGTATGTGATGAAAAATTATTTCCAGTCATTTTGGCGTGTGGTTCTATTAAATACACAGAAGGCGTAAAATTTGATTTTTTATTGTGATATAATTGCTTTTTCACTATATGTTTTTATATACATGTATGATTAGGTTGCGGCGGTTGCTCAGATGCGCTTGTTCCTGGTACGATCCAGCCTCGTTGCAACGTTACCGTGAATACAACGTGCTACAGATATGAAGACGATTATATAAACAACGAGGTCGTCTGGAAAGTCATTCCATATCCATGTACAAAAGAAGAACCCATCTGTTGTAAAAGAGCTTTATTCAACCCTCAGATCAAGAAGTGTGAAGGTATTTTATAGCTTTGTTTCATAACTGCTCAAGAATATATATTTATCAGGAGTCAAAATAACAAAATATGAGCAAGTCAGTCAAGTTAATGAGGGAGTAAAATAATGAGGTTCTTGAAAACGAATTGACTATCATTACGTTTTTCATATTTCAGTTCCCAAGTACTCACAATGGAGTGACTGGTCTCAATGTTCAGAGAGTTGTGGTGCTTTTGGTAAACGACACCGGTACCGTAATAATATTCTTAAACAGAGCATGAGAGATGTTACCAAGGGATTGAACTTGTAAGTTAAAACGTTTGAAACGTCTGATGATCTTATAATCTTTTACAAAGCTAACAGAGCAGAAAAGTAATCACTTATGGAAAATTGAGCTAATAGTAATAAAAATTAAAATGCTGTAAACAATCAATTGGATGATGAATGTTGAATTGGAACAAGTGAAAATATAAATAAAAAATATTTTGTTTTAGTCGAGAAACAGACATCGAGCATTGCAATTTCCAACAATGTCCTCAAACAAATGACTGCCAGGCTGCTAGAGATATTACATTTATATGCTCATATTTCCCATGGTATCCACCCTGTAACAGGTAAGGAGCGAAATAGTGTAATTAAAATAAAACAACTTTCAACTCCAAATATTAAATTGGTAAAAGAAAAATAGTGCATACATGTATACGAGGGGTGATCACTAGTATGTGAAGGCTTTTTATACAGACTTATATCATAATGTATACTAGTATAGGGATATCCTTTTGATTTTTTACCAGTGATAATTTACCTCGATCAACCCTAATTTCCAACTAAAATATCCAGCATTTTATGGTTGCTTACATATTTATATCTGGGCAGTTTTTGCTGCATTTAAATATTTCTGCACTTTCATAATATAATGTTTTCAAACCAAGGATACATTGATAAAGGAATTAAATATATTAAACACATAAGTGATAATAGTAAAAGAAGTGTCCATTACTTTCAGATCATCCCTCGTATAACAAATAAGAGTAAGGTTTAATCCCTGGTTTGAAGTAGGTAAATAGATTTCTAAAAGTACACAGGACATAATTATTCTCTCTATATATATTCTGTTTGTTATAGGCCCTGTCCAGTTTGTAAATCTGGTTACACAGTGAAAGATGGAATGTGTACACGATGAAATTAACATAACACGATTAAATATGGGAAATCAAGAGAGGACCAACTTTGAAAGCACAATGCAAGGGTAAAACAACCAAATTACTATTACATTAAATGAACATTGGAAATGTGGTTCACGCTGCATCATTGAATTAACATTTTGATGGCTTTAACTGTTAAAGGAGGAGCTGGTCTCTACTTTCCTGAAACACTATATTGTAAATCATATTTTGAACCAGTAGTATGGTATGTACCTCACTCATACTGTTTCTACACAAGTTGGTTGGAGCAGAGGATTCAGTGATAGAATTCTAATCTAGGCTACCATGACATCAAAATGACTATTTTGTAAGTTGGATGCAATTCAGTTTTAGTGTAGGTTTACTGTAATTCTATATATTCAAGAATGTTATCCTTTATACCTGTTATACAAGTATATGTATACATTTAAATGTGTTTTGTATGAACAAACTGTTTGCACTCTTATGTAAACATTCTCTCATATGTAGATATAAATTGCCAAATTCCAATCCACTAAGCCGAATAGTCTACAAAATGTACAATATATCATATGATATTATTACTTTAGTGACATTTGTCACAATAACATACACTAGCAATATTGTTCAACTGTACATTTATTTTATAATGTTTTTTACTTTTGTACAGTATACACACTTTTGTACCATCTACAGAACTATATAATTATCATATAATATTTATGTTACTCAATTAGTATGTATTTGTTAACTATTTAAACTTTGTGTAAGGCTGGACCTTAATATTAAATTGTACATTATGATATATATGTAAATACAGACATTACAAACATCACTGTGAATGTAGGTAGCTTATTACACAGTACATGTACCATACATGTAGAATAGTATGTTTTTGTAGTTTTCTATAATATATTCTGATATATGCAGTAAAATGCATCTTGTTACTTTTGTAAAAATGCTACTTTACACCAAGAGAATAAAAAGATGAATTATAAATTGTTTGTTTTGTATTGTTATTCTATTGGATCAAACATTCACACTATGAGCTATACAACATAACTTTTTTTTAATTTATTTAAAATATTTTGTTTGTTCACAGGTAAATTATCCTATTGCTTAACGTTTGAAGAACATAAATATTATGTAGAGCTCAAAATTCTGACGAGCTCCTATATCATGTACATGATACAGATGGATTTTTGACTTGTTTAGATTTTAGAATATCCTATTATTGAAACAATTTTGGGCTGTTTGAAAATGCTGCATGTTATCTCTTATTCTGATTCATAAAGATTCATAAATTAGTTTTTGCTAAGAAAATTGTAGATTTTAACAATATTGTGTTCAATTCTTTATAGTTTATTATTTGAGAGAAATCAGCACTTTGAATCTGAAATAATTTCACCACACATATCTTTTTGGGACATTGTATTTGAACACAAAAGTGACATCTATCTTTTAGATATTTTTAAAATCATTATTCAATGTGTCTGCAAAGCTAACATTATAATTTTTAATTTCAACTCTTAGTATTGGTGAGCCTCAAATTACATCTGAAACATTATATGACACTTTTGTGTCTTTATCATCTTGTAGCCTATACTGATATCGAATTTTTAATTTCAACACAGTAAATAATTTAGTTCTGTGGGTTGCTATAGGCTAATTTATAACATTTTCATTTGTTTTATGGAATGTTAAACAAGCAATAACAGGTAGCTCACAACCTCTAGGCTTTAAAATCTCCTAGCATGATCAGTGTCTGAGACACTCGAAGGCACTTAAATTCTGCATATATCTGGAATATTAAATGACTCGTGGTCCATTCAAGTAATACCCCACCAGTCATTGAATCTAGTATTCACCCAACTTAACTCAAAACAACAGGCATGTGTCAAATACTTACTTCCTAGATATACCTTATGACTGACAGGGTTTTTTCTTGTATTAAAAACGTTAAATCCCTGAGACTCCAACCATTTGAGGTCTGAATAATGTTCCCTTAAAAGTTCATTATTTACACTGTCTAAATCACCTGCACCAATGTGTATTTCTAAAACTAGCTGTTTCACATATTGCAAAGTCCCTTCGCTCAGCATAGTGCGCAAAGATTCCCATTCCATACCTTCAATGTCTATTTTTAAAACTGCAATTTTTTCCTGGAAATAAAATTGCAGATTTGTGTCATAGTTTTTATCCGTGTCTATGTATTTCTTTATTACAATCAGAAAAGTGGTATCAATATAGGCTAGACTAAAAAATTATACAATGTGAGGTACTGTACCTTTTCTATTTTCAAAGTCTGCATAATTCCTGAGAGTGTGAGTAAGCGCCATGTTGGATGATTGATGTCCTTTGTGTCAGTTTTAAATGAATTCTTCCCAGCCAGGCCTAAGTTGTAGAAGTACAGATTGTTGTCTTCCTTATGGGTCAATTGATTTATGCTAAAAATAATTGGTTTTATTGTTAATGCAAATGTTTTACTCTTGAGAACACTTACATTTTATCTAATAATCAGCTTATTTTTGAAAGGACACAAACAAAATGAGAGACAATGAATAAAAAGAATATGTTGAACTGTTTCATTGATTCGATGTATGATTTATATGAGCTTGTATTATTTTGCAAATGATGCACTTTGTGCTTTTCATCGCAGAGTCATCTAAACATGCAATGTGACTGTCAAGTATGGTTTACTGCAAAACCTTTACTTAGACATATATTTATAAAAGATTTTGGTGGAAATAAGCTAACCTTGGATCAAATGCATGTACTTTACATCCTTGCTTCGCCATATCTTTATCAAATGACCAGTCATCTCCAATACCAAATGATAGCACAGTACAGGGTGGCCCACTAAATCCTAGGTCTGCATCAACACAAATCACCCAGCCTCCTTCACCAGCATGGCCCATCCTTTTCAGATTTTCACATTTCACCTATTAAAAACATGTTATTCTACATTCATAGTGTTTACAATTTGCCCATACATATGTTTTAAATGTACAATATCCATTATTTATTCATTGATTCTACCCCTATGACAAAATCATGTATGTGAATGTATAGTCATTTACTAAATATAAAAAATAATTTCAACACTTTATTCTGGCACCTATTGGTTCAGCTGAACGCACATCAGATGGAAAATTTAACATCACTACCATTAGAAATTAACCTTTAAGTCTCTATGATTGGCCATAATGTATTAAATATATCAGTTATTCGTACCTGGTTTGTACTGATGTATGATAGTAATCTATCTGCCTCTTCATCAAGACTACCACGTCCTGCCACTTCTGCTACAAAGCGTTTTGTCTCAAACACATCATGTTGGAGAACATCCTTAGTATTGTCCTTATCACTATATTCTATTGTTTTGGTTTGCTTCTGTGTTGAAGCATCACTTTTGTTCACTAAAATATATTATGTAATTATATTAATGAATGAAATTAGGTGACCTGATTGCGATTACATTCTGACCTGTTCAGTATGAAACTATAAAACTCTACAAGCTTCAAGTAAGGTGACAACCCCAGTTATCTGATCGCATACTATTGGAAGTGGTAAGTACATGTAGTCTACCCCTAGACTATATCCTGTTTAGTCTGAATTATATTCAGACTATAAGGCACCTATGTTAAAGTTTGGTAATTATAGATATTTGTTTACATAGGAAGTGCTATTCAAAATGGTCGATTGGGTAAAATTAATTTGCAATTTGTTACTTCAACTAGCTTTATTTCCATTTGACAATTAGGCTAGTAGAATGGAGGTCTGAAAATTGTGATTAATATACACGAAGGGGAAAAGGACAAATGAGGTATCGTTGTAAAGCTAAGGACTTCAGCATTTCAAATCCACTTGTACCTAAGTTTGAATTTGGGGCAAAAATTGCAAAAACACCCGTTTCCATAGCAACCATTTAAAATATAATCAATAAATCAGAGATCACCTTTCAGATCATAGAACGCCTGTTATCTGTCCAATTCTAATGATACATATATCAAAATGAAGCCATTGACGCCCCCTTGTTTATAAACAAGAAAATTAGCTAATTTGCATATTTTCTTGTTTATAAACAAGGGGGCATCAATAGCTTCATTTTGATAAATCTTCAGTTTACGAATACCTGATAATAATAATTGATAAATACGAATTCCTTACACATTTCGTTATCTTATTGTGAAATAGCAAACTAAGAGATATCTTTACTCGCTAGGAATTAACATAATATTATTTGAAGCGATTTTAGAAATTTTGAAACCGCCATCTTGGTAATATTGATGACGTGATCACCATCGGTCAAGGTCAGGTCAAAAGTCATCCATCTTGCCATTTGCCCGGCGTTTTCTTACCAGTCGACAAAAAACGATGAAATCACGTTGAAAATAAAATATACACTTTAAAATTGAGGCTGATCGAATATGACAAGACTCCATTGAATACAGCTGTGCAATTTACAGTCACCAAGATGAGCTAATTTCGGAGAGATTCGGGAATTAAAAAAGGTAAGCACTTCCGGTTTCCCAACTTAAAAGTATTTGAAGTCCCAGAATTTTGCCAGAAACATTCTCTCTGACTGTGCAATAAGGACTGTAGAGAAAATAGGAAAGTTTTTTCATTTTTTCTGAGCTATCAAGGCAACATTTGGTTTAACATCTTCTTTGACGTACCTATTTTCTTAAAATGTATGGATAAATTATCAAATTCAGCATTAAAGTGTCTTTCTAAGACTTAGAAGGAGAAATTTGAGATTTCGAGCCATATGTCTCAAGAAAATGCTCTTACCTTTCTAGTAGGATGAGTTCAGGTGCCAAAAACAGCTGATCAAAGGATATATATCATTTTCTAATTGAAAATTTTTGTTGAGCCCTGCATTTTTAACACTGTTTTGACAGGAAGTCATACCCAAAATGAAAACTGAATAAAACAACATTTATCCTAAATGTACATCAAAATACTTACTCAGACATGCAAAATGTTATTATTAGTAGTAATGCTGATCATTTTTAAGAAATTTAAGCATGTAAATAAGACTTTTTTCGTCCATAATTATACATAAAGAATTTCTTCCTTCAGAAAGCTCTGGCACTGTGGTGTAGTGGTTATAGCTTTGGGCTCTACCAGACTTTTATTTCAAGAGATCTGGGTTCAAATCCCAAGGGTGGAATATGTTTTTATTCTTTATTTTTGTTTTTTTTTCATTTTGATCCACAATATTTCTAAAATAAATTTTTATATATGGCACTCAAACCATATTTAGTATTTCCAAGGGTTTTAATTTTTAGATGAAATGATAGAAAGTTACTTTAAGAAGTGTAAATTCAGTTCAAAGCTTCAAAAAGGGGACTTCCACTTTTATATTTTTAAGATCCACCATGTTTCAAGAGGAATATCAGCTAAAATAATGTTTATCTAGGGGGTTTCTTTGTAGATAATAAAAATAGATGTTAGTCTTGATGAAATATCCAAACTTAAATATATTTTGACACTGGTCCATGATCGTTGAATGACCCCTCTGCACTAATTATTGCACATTTGTTACCTCAACTAGCCTTATTTCCACTTGGCAATATGCTGTGTTACTTTTTATTGCATTTAATTGTACCTTACTATTTAATTGAAATTTTGTTATGTTTATTTTATTGAAGAAATGGTTCCTCAAATTGATAATTTTGTGCAAAATATTTCACTGCAATTTCCACAGGAAAGTAGTACATCATAACAGACTATACTAGTCTACATCAATACCAGGAAAAAATAAATATCTTGTATCTCTATGGTATTCTAAGGCTACATACACTTACCCACATATAAAAATACAATCGCATCTATAATAGCAACAGCAGCAATAACCGTAATAATAACTCTACTTTGAAAACATCTGAAACTTTTCATTTCTTTCAGAACCGGAAACTGTAGGGTCCTTTCGTTTTACCCCTGATTCTGACCCCTGATTAAACCCTTGGTTTATATCGAAAACAAATGCGTTTTTTATATTGAAAATGTACTTTTTTCGAATAAATTTTGTCTTCTCCATACAGATTACATTTCTATCTTTAATAATATCTGAAGGTTTGAGGAAAATATATCCAGATGTCTTAGAAAACTGTCACCAAACGTACCGTATTTTCTTCAATTTTTTTCAAAACCCTGGATTAGACCCTTGGTCGGCGTTGGAAAAAAGGATCAATTCCTCATAAAATATCCCAATTTATAACATCTAATAATTTGAAATGTTAAAAATACATCTAACTTTGAAATATAAAGCAAAAATAATTCCCATATCTTCAAGTTTATTACCTAAAAACAGCTTATCAAAAACAAGTCAAATTATCATGGAAATTTTCAACTTAGCCTACTTGATTAGTGCTGCCATCTATTGATAGTGATTCAGAGTTCATAGCCTTTATCAAGATTTTCTTAGATATAGTGCCAAGATTGCTTTTATTATGTAACATAGATATGTGCTTCAATACTATTTATTTATTACATTGAATATGATATATCTTACTCACTTCGAGAGCCATGTTAGATTTTGAAACTTATGCTATTATATAATCCAAATAGCTTTCGCAGGAAGTAAGATATATCCATTCCTCACCACACCCATTCCAGAAGTTCTCGCTAATATGACTGATGGTGCCCAGGATCTAAGAGCAAATAATAGGCTAGGAAGATTGACTCCTTTCACGTATATGAACACCACCTAACACATGAACACCTGAAGTCCTATTGTATGAATCATAAGGTCATCCATACCAATCCTTCATTTGCCACCTTGGTAATATGCTTCATCTATTTCTTAGTTCAGCTTTGTATTCGCCCACACCGTGCTACCATGCTTCATGGTTTTTTGCTGCATGATGAGTTTCCAGGTTAAAAAAGCAAAAAACTAAAGGAATACAGAGTGGCTTGAATAACACACAGACCACCTATATCAGTCAGTCATTTGCCACCTAGATAATATGCTTCATCTAACATTTCTTAGTTCAGTTTTGTATACATTGTGCTTGATTATTCTTTGGAAAATTATAATGAATTCATATGAGTTTTGTCTCTCTAATAATACACTTGAGTTTGTAAATTAAAGGTCCATTATGGAATCAAACTGCCTCATGCATTTCAAATATGCAGTCTTGTTCAGGAGAAAAACATGATGCTTTCATTGATAAAGTAGCCTATTTAAGATCATAGGCTATTTGAAATGAAATTCTTGCTTGTTTATAAGTTTCTTATTTTTGTTGATAAAGTATGCATCAAGTTTTTCTTTCGATCAATTCAGATCTCATCAGCTGAACTCTACTGAAAATGTTACTGATTAAAAGTTCATGTTAACCAACATATTACAAATTATTAAACAAAACATATTATTAGCATTTCATGATTTATTCAAAATATACATACATGTACATGTACATTATACATAAATACATACATTATAGATACAGGATTGCAAAATACACTTAAAAATATACACAATGTTAAAATCCACCGAGATCTACATAGATTACATATTATAATACATCATTGCCAAACATACTAAAATCTAAATTCAAAAATTTTAAAATACATCTATGTAACCTGCCAACCTACTTATATGAGCATGCCTACTATCAATTAATGATTAGGACAATACATCTTCTTTGAAACTTTCTTAAGCTTAGAACATTTTTTATGATACCATGTTTGACATTCATGCTTTTTACTCACAAACTCACAGCCAACCATATCTTGTACTACATCAGCTTGGCCACATGGACAAAAACAACTTACTTGGAATGTTGATGTGGCAACTTTGGATAATTTTAATTTTTTCTTAGTCTGTTTTGGAAAGGGAAGAATTTTTTTCTCTGTTAAACAGGATACCAAA